GAGAAAAGTTCGGATTGGAGGGAGAAAAACTGCTCGAGTTTGTGCGGGAGCAACAAAAGTTAGAGGAAGAAAGAAGGAGGGAAGAGGAAGAAAAAGAAGAAAAACGTAGACAGTTAGAAGAAGAAAAAGAAGAAAAACGTCGAAAACTTGAGGAAGAAAGAAGGAGGGAAGAGGAAGAGAAAGAAGAAAAACGTAGATAATTGGAAGAGGAAAGAGAAGAAAAGCCTAGGCAGTTAGAGGAAGAAAAAGAAGAGAGACGTCGAATACTTGAAGAAGACAGAAGAAAGGAAGAAGAAGAGAAAGAGGAAAGGCGTAGAAGAGAAGACGAAAACAAAATTCACTTTTCCCCGGCTAATCCTAATAATAGCGCAAGTTTTAAAAAGAAAAATGGTTGAAAATCACGGGTTTTCCTCATTCACAAACAACAAACAAACTTATGAATGAAGCTGCCAACGATTCAGACCGGGTTAGCGGGCAAGATCGTAAAAAACCGCCCGCTCTCGGAACCAATCAGATTGCAGGATTTGGAGGATTCCGCCCGCTCGCAAGCTTGGAAAAAAATAAAAAAACATATTTTAATAGACGTATTGCCTCGGAAACTAGAGCAGAACGGAAGATCTTTTTCTTTACTAATTACCTCGGTTTTGTGAATAGAAAAAATAACAGATTTAAGCTGCAGCGTAAGATTAGATGAAGCTGTTATAATTAATCCGTTAAATAACAAAAGCAGAAACATCGCACAAAAAGAAATTACAATAGAGAATAGAAATTATTCAAAATATTTTTTCTTAAAAGTTTTTCTTTTTTTTTGTAAAATCAAATAAGTGCAATGAATATGTGAGCTTAGGATATATGAAAATGCCTGGTACGGAAAAGAAAAAAAACTTATCTCAAACTCAGAGACACCTGCTAAAATGGTTTAATTAGTAAAGCTAGAGGAAAATTTGTAAATTTTCGCAAACCTTAAGTCAGAGCTTTTGCTCACCAAGAAACAAAAGACCAAGGTTATATGCGGGATCAAGCATTTTAGCTTCTTGCCCCCTCGGTAGGGTATATACAAACACGTTTTGTAATTTGTTTGGTTAATATAAACACGTTTTTCATTTTCGATGCGTTAATAAGTTCCAGCAAATTTTTAATGTGGCCAAGAACCAGGAAAATTGACGCAAAAACAATAAAAATGGGAACCTTTTTTACCTCTTGGGTAGTTCTTTAATAAGAATTTCTGTTGCAGTTGAAATACATTATAAGGATCTCTAGCCATTTTAAACAACTACCTTTTAAACTGTGCGTTGAAATTGTCCTCGTTTGCATCTTCTAATTGAGAGTTGGGCGTAATGAAAAGTTCCGCTGTTTGAATCAACAGTCAAATGTCAAACAACATTGCTCACACAATGCAAACGGCGCAGAATTTTTCACAAATTTATGCACGTTACCGAGTTCAGATAACTTTAAAAAATGTTCTTATACATGTAAAAGGATTGAATTTTCCATTAAATTGAAATAATTTCAGTTTTCGCATTGGCACGACAAGGAAATAGTTCTAATAATACGACACTTTGAGATACGTTCACGCACTTTATCCGTGCCTTTTTTCTTGAGGAAGATATTTAATTAAACTAAAAAAGTGTTGATACTAGGTTACTAACCTTGTACAAAGCGCGACTATAGCATTGCTTGCAGGAGAAACTTTCTCGACAATAAACCATATCTAGCTTTAACAATGTTTTGTTAAACACCTGCAGCCAAAGCCGAAAATGAATTCAAATGATGCTGACTGTTATTCAGATTAAATAAGTACAGGTAATGTTCTTTAATGATGAACGAAATTAACGCCGGTGAGGCTACAACATTTTAAGTTAATCGGAAATTAATATAAGTTCTTTATTCTTAACTGCTAATGTTATTGGGCCAAACTTGCCATGGGTCCCTTTATAAATGATCATGGAGATTGCCAAGTCCCCATTGAATTTGAAGCAAGTCAGATTCTACAAACAGATACTGACTGATTCCAATTTGACATGAAACTCGACTGATAGTTTAACTTTAAATAGTCGCACCAAAGATGGCGGTTGCTTAATGTTATTTACACTTTATCGGCTGAAATTACTGGATAATTAAATTTTTGCTTAGCTACTTGCCTAACAGCTAAGGGTGATTTTGTCAGATCTTTCTCGTTAACAAGTATGCGAAATGCTTCGCCTTGTTCACATAAGGAAGCCTAAATTCCTTTGTTGGGAGCAAGATATTTTTTCTTCTTAACACGCAGTTATGAAGCAAAGAAAGATCCTCTAGGCAATTCGTTTCGTTTTCAAACTTTTGACAGATTGGCATTGATACGACATAATAGGCTGGTTCAGCAACAGAATGGGAGCGTCAGTTGACAACGGCGCACGCAAATCAAACAATTGGCTTTACCCATGACAGAGCGGCAAATTGCGCACCGGAAGTCACGTTCAGTCCTTTAGGTGCTCTTTCCAGTCGTCAACTGACGTTCCCGTTCGGTTGCTTAATCAGCTCTTACTGTGCTACATCAGCTGAAGCAAATTGTCAGCTTTAATTAATTTTTTCATATTCACAAAATGCAGAGGCGAAAATTAGCCTCGGAAAATGTTGAGCACAAGAATAATAATGAATTGTGAAAATTCTTAAGAATATAAACCTTTTACAGACTCCAGTGAATGGTAATGTGTTAATTAAGAGAATACACATTTTCCACCGTAATAGTTTTTAATAAAACCTCAAGTTTGTTTTTTTCATATCGTTCATAGACTCTCCGGCGTCATGGAATAATTTAATGGGCGGGTAAACTTATCGCTCATAATCAAAAGAATGTTTCTCCAACATAGACTAACATAAATGAATTTATACCAGTCAAAGTCCAAGGTTTCGCTTGAAAACTATACATGCAATTTGTACAGCATACCAGCTTTCCATAAAATACCAAAGATTACTATATTAACAATTGCGCTATCGGAACGTTATTTAAGGAAAATATTACTTATTGACATGATGTTTTCTTTTCGGAAACATTTAAAACCGAAATAATTATCCAACCGTTTTCTTTTTTACTACTCCTACTCTGCGTTATTTGACTAAACTGGCTTTGATTGCGCAGCTAGTATAGATAAGCGGGGGATACTTAATAAAACGAATTTGTTACAAATGGTGAAAACTGTTGTACAGAAAATACGTGAGCCAACTAAAAAAAAATTATAAAATTTTACACAAAGTTCCTGTAATTTCAATTCAGCTAGTTATGGTATAACTTGTTCCACCCACACTGTTTTAGCAACGGGATCTCGCTAATAACGACAGTAATAACCGTGTAATTAGTGGTATAGTCGCTAAAAGCACTGTAGCTGTCACAAAAAAATGTTTAAAAAGCTAAAACATCTAAAGCATATTTTAATAGACGTATTGTTTCGGAAATTAGAGCACAAAGGAAGCTTTTTCCTTTATTCATTACCTCTGTTTTGTGAATAAAAATTAACCAATTTCAGCTGCCGTTTAAGAGCAATTCTCTGAAAGAATCAAGCAAAGTGGGAAATGAAAAATTTTGACCACCCCTCAAATTTTGCATGCAATTAGCTATTGTGGGGGGATGTCTAAAAATGCACTTTGTTCGGGTTGCTACTTTTTTGTTGTCATGGTAACACCAATTGTAAAAAGTGCAAAATGTGTAGCACTGTTTCTCAAGTCCATTAAAACGCTACAACCCAAGACTTGGATCAGATATAATACCATCATTCTAGTTTACATTTGCGTATATTGCTCTTTATTATATTAAATTTGCGTGGCATAAACGGTTAATCAACTACATAGAGTTTCGGCCATTTGAGTTGATGGTTGATGGTTGATGGCTCTGTCGCTCTAGAGAGAGTTAAACCTCATTTGGTTTTAGTCATTAAGCCAAAAATCCAAATTACAGACGTATTTAATAAAATCGGAAACTTCAAGTCGAGAAGCCGAGTGTTCTGTGACTTTTATTCAGAACCCGGGTTTGCATGGAACTTGATACTGTCATTCAGCTTGTCCCAGAAACAGGTAAATTGTGAGTCAGTAATTGCATCTTACAGATATCAGACACCTACCACTCAATAAAAACCCGGTATAACGGGAGAAGTTTGATGGGTCGAAGTTATAATCTTTGGATCAAGAAAATGTCTATACGTGAGCCCTTTTTTACATTAAAACTTTGTGGAAGCAGACATAGTTTACGGTTTGATAAGGGATCCATTAAGAAATTGACTAATTTCAATTTCCATTGAAAAAAAAAAAACCTTGCACTAGAATACTTTCAAGTATATTGCATTCTTTGTTACACTTTTCGAGGGCTATAAATGGGTAAAGTAATATGAAATAACTCCAAGGAAAAGGCTGTTATGGGAGCCCCAGAAAAACAAACCGTTCAAAAGCTTTAAATTTCACTAAACGAAATCTTACGCTTGACGATTTTACCTGTGTTTTCTCAGGCCCGACAAGAAATTGTCTTTGGTTTTATTACAGATAACTAATTACATTTATAGCCCTTGAAAAGTGTAAAAAAGAATGCGATATGGCCTCAAATATTCTGGTACAAGGTTTTTTGGGTTTTTTATCCCTTGAAGTTAAGTGTGTATCGGTACTTGCATTCCTTCCCCATCCTATTTCCTTACTTCTGGTTATTTGCTTCGAACTCCCAATAACTCGAACTATTTTCGATTTCCCTAGAAGGTTCGAGTTATCAGGAGTCGACTGTATAAATAAGTATAAGATAGATAGATAAATAAATAAATAAATAAAACATAACCAAGGTTAAGAGGGCAAAGGAAGAGATAAAATCATTTTTATTTCTAGAATGTTGTCTTTTTTGACTACACTGAAGCAGCCAGCGATGATCACCCAAACTGCATGCGTACCTGATCCGCCGTAAATACCTTGAATGGCTTGGGACCAAGTCCACTCACTGGCGAGCTACCTGTCGCTATGACACCGATGAAGTTGTGTTCACAGATTACATGCGAACATCCCAGGCAAACTGCAACATACTTACCTTGCCAGAAAATTACAATGGTCAGTGCTTTCAGTTTGAATTTATAAACATCCGGGGGCATGAATGCGTTAACTGTACAGTGCCCCTCTGGTATAAAAAAGGTCACTACCCTTTGCACACAGACAGTGACTCGAATAAGCGCGAATTAAGGGCAAACCAAGGCGCGCGTAAAAGCGAAGATAACTTTGGTAACTATTGGGTTATAAATTGCAAACATTGCTGTTCTTTTAACTCTTCTTCTACTACTCAGTTCTGGCTGGGAGGCCGGTGAAAAGTTGGTTTGAGACTTGCTAAGTTACTGAATGATATCGTTTCCGACGTATTTGCCCAAGCAGAAGTATTGTAGATCATGTAATGTTCCCAAGGGGAGGCTACTTTTCAAGCAGTCTAGTCAAGGGAAGGTTATGGTAATCACAGGATTTTGGTCTAGAATGAGACATGAAGATTGAGGAGTTTCTGGTTCACACATATCTCGCGACGATTATTGGTCATTTCCATCGAATGAAAATTAGGAGCTGTTTTTACGGAGGGAGAAAGATCCTAGCACCAGGAAGATCCCAGATAGCTGATCATCATGGCGCCATTTTTATGATTTTATCTTTATTCTGTTTACCCAGATGCAAAAGGTTGTACTCGTCCCTAGCGCTAGGGTCTTCTTTAGTTAGTAGTAGTATTTTCTTAGCTGAGAAATAGGAAGATCCTAGTACTAGGAAGATCCTGGCACTTTGCAAACTGCCTTCAGTGGGAAGATCCTGCTAGTACTAGGTACGAACCAAACAAAAATGGCGGTGGGTCGTTCAGTGGCATATCACGGCAATACAGGCCCACCCTGATTTCGTTTGGTGTTACCACGAGCTGATTATTGTGATAATTCTGCTGAAAGGTGATTATTAACACCAGTAAAGAGAGCATAAGGGCCCAAATTGCATTTTTGTTTATGTCGCTCGCCATTTTTAATTCCTTCTTGATCCTCCACTACTTGGGTACCACACGGACAGAGCACTTACTGCATGTAAACCCAAAGAAAAGTTGCATGTTTGGCCCTCTAGGATCTTCATCCCACCATGTAAACAGCCCCAACACTCCTTTGCTGAATCATTCAGCGCCTGTAAAAGGTGAACACACACGAATGGAAATGGGTTGACACATATAGTCCTTCAGCTTGGAGGGGGTTTGGCTCAGTTACTTGAAGGGGAACAGACTAAGCTTGTATAAACTTAATCTTTGACTAAAAAGCATCACAAAAATGTATGATAGCAAGGATAGAGCGGTAGCTTTCACTTTGTAAATCGAATTTTAAATGTCACTCATACCCTCCCTTTGGAGATAGACTAGTTTACACATGATGACGTCATATATGACGTCACAGTCACAGAAAAAGTGTATTCAGCTGCTATCTCAATCATCTAAATAATTCATTGGCAGAAATCGTGGACATTTCGCGCCCGTGATTAATTGTCAGCGGAATCTCATTTCCAAATGGCGGACAAAAACGATTATAGTCATGGAAAGCGTATCCCCTGCGATTTTTTTTAAATAATTTGAGCTCTGTGGATCCGTTTTACGAAGAAAAAAGCTGGAATAAAACACCTAGCAAGAAAATGTTAGGTTTATACTCGGCCGAGCGGCTGATAGCAACAAAACAGTACGCGGATGTACCTTTCGTGACATTTTCGTGACAATTTTGTTTTAAAACCAAGCCTGGTAGGTTAACGACTGTTTTGGAAACATCTTCCATCGCAGAAGTAATATCGAGTCGTGCAAATTTTCTTCAGTGAAGGGTTTATCCTCTAATCGACGAGTATTTCGCATGACTTCGGCAAGATTTTAAGAAAATGTATGGAGAAATGGAGGGTACAACGAGAGATAAAAGTGGCCACTTCGGGAAGTAAGTAAACCTACTTCTAATTAGCTATTTTTAACCCAGATGCGAAGGTTACACAGCACTTAACATGTTTCGAGTCGTGCACCGAACACCCGTGAGCTCATAATCGATATATTTGAAAAAGTTTCCTTATCTCCATACATTTTCTTATACGAATTCGAAGCCATTGTGGCCTTAGTGCGCACGCACAACCGCCATCTTAGCTTGTCCCTAATTTCTGGCAATGAAATTACCATTAAGGCTTGCCAAAGCACAATGCTAGAAGAACATGTTTAGAGCTGTTGTTAGGGCGTTTTCTACGTTAAGCAAGACACACTTCTACAAAGAAGCAATAAACGGCAAATCACACCAGATAACTTGCTCTAATCTTCAGTCTAGAGCTTGGTTGAGAACAAAAGCGCCATAATCGCATAACATCGTTCACATATCATCATCCTTCACTGCTAGCATTCGGGTTTGTAAAATATAACACAAAGATATATTTATATCTGATGTACCTTATTTGCGTCTCGAACGTCATACGCTGAAAAAAGGTTCCTACGCATGAGTTGCAGAAAGCGTTATACAAAGTGGTTTTCTGTCAAGAGAGATCTAAATGCCATATCAACCCTAAAGGAAGACAAAGAAAAACAGGTAACAAAAGTTCAACAGCTGTCTACGGTTCTCCACCTATGGACGTGATTCTACACGGCTTATCTGTATCAATCCTCTACGTACGATTGTTTGGAATATAAAGTTCTACCATCCTACAAAGTATGAACCCAAACGAATGAAAAAATGCAAAAGTAATTCCTAGTATGCACTTTTAGGCGTCCTACATGCCCAGCGTATTAAAGAGCTGGTGTCCATGAGAAAACCAGGCACAACCAGGCAAAGGGTAATAATGCTCAAGTCACCAATTTTATTGAAACTCTGTACAAGTGTTAGATATTAGAAGGTGATATCTCTGAAAAAAATATTAGGTCAAAATGTTAAAACCCCTAGCAGAAACGGCGTCCTCAGTAAAAATTTTGAGTAGGTCGTTTTATTTATTTACTAATTAAGTCTTCGCTCTTAACAGAGTATTGAAAACTGCTTTAAATAATAAAAATTACAACAATGAATACAACAATAACATAAAATTACTAATCAATATTTATGATTACACAGGGATTGCCAAAATGAAAATGGCGAAGTAGATGCTAAAATTTCTGGTGGGAGATTGTTCCACTGTGCAATTTTCCTAGGGCAAAAAGAGTTCTTCTAATAATCTCATGTACAACATGGCTACTCAAATCGATGACTGAGAGACGAGAGCCTGGTGTCTCCTGCTCTCATGTTCTCTCTGAAGTTTATCGCACTTGTAAGTGGCTAATCCATCACTCTGTTTGTACAGAAGGTAGAGAAGTGCGTCAGATCGGCTGAGCTCCAGAGATCTCCATTTGAGAGAAGATAACATATGAGTGACGGTGTCTAATCTGTCGTAGCGCCCGAGTACGCTGCGAGCTGCTCGGCGTTGAATCATTTCGACCTGTTGTATGTTCTTAACTAATTATAACTAAATGCGGAGATTGCGGCGTAGAAAGTCCAGAGTCTTGTTTGCTTTGGCGGTAATTTCATTTACATGATCATTCCACAGTAAATAATACGAGAGGTTGATCCCTAAATATTTAGTAGTATCAACAGTCTCTAGGACCTTGCAATGAAGTTTGTACTAAAATTTGAAAGGTGTACGTCTGCGTGTTACCCGTATAACGTTGCACTTAGTGCTTGGATTAAATTACATACACCAGTCTGATTTCCATTTTCCAAACTGTGAAGATCATCTTGTATTTGTCGAAAATCGTTCTCAGATTTTATTGTAAGATAAATGACAGTGTCATTGGCAAAAAGACGGACACTTGACTTAACATAGCATTGGAGATCATTAATAAAAATAAGGAAACATTAACGGCCCCAGCAATGATCCTTGGGGTACAATTGAATTATACCTCAATATTTCTGATGAGCAACAACTTATCTGTATAATTCCTACATGAGTGGTAAAAGCCATCGCTTTTGGAAAAAGTTGTTCAGGCATCTGAACATTTCAGCACCAGGCAGGAAGTGAATTACCCAAACATTTTATCAATTTTTTTTACAACTTTAAAAGTTGATTTTGTTACAGTATTGTTTACACGATTCGGTACTAATTATGCACAGGATTTTACCGCGTAAACTGGGCGAAAACTTGCACCGTTCAGGTGTTTACACGAGTCCACCTAAGAGTGGAACCGTGCCGGTTAAAAAATTTTGACCTTCTTCTGATCAGGACAAAAACTTTCACGAATGGTTTCGAAGAAATTTTCTTTTAATAACTCGAAATTTTACAAAGAATGTACGGCTCATTAACTTTTCTGCCACCCAGCAATTTCGATATTGCTATCAAAAAGCTGAAAATTGCACAAATTGCTCGAGCTAATCAGCTCTTTCATTTGTTCAATTTAGTTCGTATATACGGCCACGGCTTCTATGAGTTAAGTCGTATGCTAATGAGAAAAATGTAAACGATGACGCCAGCAAAGATTCGCCTATATCAAATTACCTAAACTTGAAATTCGGAAAATAGCCCCTGGAGATTTGATATAAATTGTTCAAAGATTTGACAGGCTAAATTAATAAACAATGAGTGGGTAATCACGGGACCAGCGGCGATGCAAATTAACTGCAACAAAGGAGATTGAGATTAAATACAGGAAAAAAGTTCAACTCTTACAGGATTGGTTGAGTGCGACAACATGGCCCCGATTTTATTGTTTCTCTACCTCAATATAGCTGCTGTTACGGGAAGTAAATTTTAATAATAATAGGTGGAATTTGTTGCTCGGAACACGTCAATTTAGGTTCTTTCCACCTGCCTCCTGACCGCTGTCGGACGCCATCTTCTAAAACGTGTCTTTATGCTAAAGACGATTGAAAAGAGACTTTGTTTGGTCGTTTCAATCGGGCTGACAATGTAGGCTTAACAAATCGACGACATGTTTCCAGGGTTTGTACTTGTCTCGACCATAAAAATGAAAATGGTCATAACGCATGAGAAACCAGTTCTACTAATGATATATTGCTGACGACTGAAATAAATAAATATTATTGTTGTTGTTGTTCAGTTGTTACGTTCAATTGATCTCTCTAGCTTTTTAACCTTTTTTTTTTCTCTTTTACAAGTCCTTAGGCTGTTCAGCAAACAAACCTTTAAACAAGAAAATAAAACATAGTAATATTTAGACGTCTTTTTAATCCAATTTCTTAAACTATTAAGTTAGAACAACAATGTAATAAAGTCCAGGGAGGATCTAGACCTTCAGATAAGAAGGGGGTGGGGGTGGGGGGGTCAGTTTCAAAAAACACTTTTTCGGCCCTTCGAGCCTCAGTTTGATCTAAAAATATAGAGAGGGCCTGGTCCCCCCTGGAACCTCCGTGGATCCGCCACTGAAGTCGTCCGCTTGTTTAATTTATAAGAACCACCTAAAGATCCCGTTCAATTCTTTACTCAAAGCACCTCTGACAAATTACATTGTTAGGCTCGTCAAATGTCAGTCAAGGTTAAATTTTTAATTAATGTCGAACGCTTTTCTACATCTTAAAGGAACTCTACTGTGGGAGCCGCGGTTAAGTAAAAAAAAGGTCAAATTTTGTACGTGATAAAATGATTTGGTTACTGATTTTCTGCTGCATCAGTGCCAAAGTTATTGCAGACGAAGATCAAACCTTTATAGCTGCCCACTTCATAAGAAGGGAAAATAGGCGTTTAGCTGGCAGAGCCGTTGCAAGAATGGATTCATCATCTGTTATGTCATGTTGTCAGGCGTGCTTAAGACACTCTTGGTGTACCTCTTCTAACTTTGAAGAGGCCTTAAGGAATTGTGAACTGAACAAGCACGAGGTCTCGCTAATTAACTATGATGACGAGGTCACTGAACAGAAAGGCACCACATTTACAATGCTTCTGAAGGTAAGAAAACTCTGATGATTTGTAAGGTTGTAACATGCAGTACATCGAACTATCGGTTAATTAACGCTGCAATGCCGATCGAGCAATAGTAAAAATGAAACATTGATAACAATCGCGATAGGGTAGCGAATTCTCCATAATTTCGATAATTGCTAAACCTCTAACATTCTAACTTCATTGGAAAATGGAAACATCCTTTTTACCCATCTTTGAATCTCAAGGTCACAATAACGGTAAAAAAGAAACAAAGCCTACTGCACCTAGAATGTTTGAGCGTCTTGATTCTTGAACTGCTTTGGGTCAAATGTTGGAGAGGGGTTATACAAATTGCTGAGATTCGTTCAAACTTCAACATGGCGGCCAATTTGTAATCGTCGCAAACAAAAAAGGAAAGGCTGCTATGTGGAAGTGTTTTGGCTTCATAAAAGAAAATAAAGACACTGCCATCGAAAATAAAGAGTGGGGCGCAGATTATGCACGACGACGCTGAAATACAGCGGGGACAAGACGAATCTGATGGACCACATTCGTCGTAATCATCTGGTCCTGCAGATTTGCGAGATTTGAAAGGTTCGACCTCGTGCTCAGATGCCTCGAGTCCAGTTCGACCCGAGTAACTCAGCCGACACAGAAGTGCTCTCGCAATTCTTCCAGCAACCCCTTCCACGTAATTCAAGTAGAGCAAGGGATATTTTTAATGCTATTTTGCAGTTTATTCGTAGTTATTTCTTCAAGTATAAGGCATTAAGCAAAAACAGACATTCCTGAAAACTATCGCAATACCATTGCAATAGTACCTCCACTATCGCAATACTATCGTAATATCAATAGTATGTGACCTATTGCAATACAACTGCAATAACTCAAATCATGTTCCTCAGTAGTCATCCCTTATTACTTGCTTAGGAGGTATTCAAAGTGCAGCTTCAAAGGTTTATAGTGCAACTGTAGAATAGCAAAAGAAAACAAATACGGCCAGCTTGAGAAGATAAGATTTTTTCTTCTGATAATGGAATGTTTCATTGCAATATACAAAAAATAATAATATGTGTCTTTAGAGGGTTTATCACATGGGTTATTGAACCTTTATTAAACTAAGGATCTTAGCAGCACCAAAAGGCACCAAACCCTTTCTCTAGTAATGCTGATGAAAATTTATTAGCTGCTCTGTCACAGGCTGGGTTTCATAAGATGCATGGGCCCATGAGTTCCGGAGGGGTTAGCTTGTTGTGCCTATGTCTTGGTACAATATTTTTTGTTCGCTTTAGCCATCCAAGCTGGGTTTAGTTCTTTTTATTAATGGAAGGCGAGTTCAGTTCTTCAATAAATGTATAGATTATTTGATAAACGGATGTATGTCGCCTTTATTTTCAAGATCCAAAAGTTAACTGGTAAAGTTAATTCTCTTTTGACGGCAACTTTTATTTTCCCCACTAAGCTCTTTTAAACATTGCTCAGGCTCAAATTAATCCTGCAATTAAACTAGGGGAATTCACCTGTACTGACAATTATACTCAGAGTCAAGATCCAATTGTTACTTCCTTTTTTCAAACAAGCAGGATTAAAGGGTAAGTGGGTAAAAATAATGTTTAATAATTAATCTTCTTGCACATAAACGATTCCACTGTGTTTGGTCCTTTGACGAAAAGTGGACGATGTCTCCAGAAGAAAGACTAGGCGGCCAAGAGTATGTAAGTTTAGGGAAGGCATGGTTAATCAAAACACAGAATCAAATCAAGCTATTTTTTTAGGCTTTTATGTACAAAAAATAAGGTAGTAAATCTACTGAATTGATAAATGCTTTGAAATGGATACCTTGTCTGTTCATTCTCACGATGTTCAATATTACATTATTAGAAAACTTGTGGGGTGCAGGCTAACTACAAAAAAATATCGTGCTAGGGAAATATAACACGGGGGTACCCAACGCCTGTTTTCTGCAAAATATTTGTTCGGAAAAGTAAATAAATTTTTACTTTTATAACACCATTGAATTGCATCTATAATAATAATAACAATAACGATTTTATTAGCAATACTTCCACGAAGTGGCTCTTATATTATTACAAAAAATCATGCCGATTTTAAATTAAAAATGATATATACCATAAATTAAGGATAAGTACAAAAAGTTTGATAAAAAATTTTACAATTAAAATTTTCGGGAAAATAACACTGCGGCAATGGTAATTTCGAAAAGACGTAAGTTGCCCTAGTATGACCGAACAGATGCAAAATTTGTAGTGCCGCTTAGAATGCATCCCTGAAGATTTAAAAGTACTCTGGATAGCCTAAAAAAGCGTTTTCGATGTATTTAGGAGGAAACCGACGTTAGCTTGGGGCGACTGAATTAAAGAGGAAAAAGTTGATAAACGTGAAGTTACCCTAATTTTCAACACCTGTTTCTATTATACCATACCTGCTCGTGTTCCCACAAATTACTGAGGGGCTTCTAATTTCTTACCGACGCCGTCCAATTATATGGTAAAGACAAAATATTGCAAATTGAACGCAACAAATTAGCAATTCTGACTCGGCAGTCTTATGAAAAGAGTTGACGTTGTTTATATAAAAGCCTCTTAACATGAGCCCGGTTCACTGGGCTGGCCGGGTTTCTCAGATCTCGCCTCACCTCTACATCCTTTGTAAAATTTTTGATGTGTTCATATGAGAGACCAGGCTGGCTGGGTTCCCGAGATCTCGGTTTTTCCAGTGGTGGGTTATCTGACTAGGAAACTTAATTTGCTATATGAACACTTCAGCCCGGTTAACAGGATGAAAGCGTGATGAATTCTTCTGTAACACGGTAGCCCTGAATGGCATCGTCTTGCTTTGCAAGCTGTATTTTCCACATCATATTTAACTGCAGTGATACAGCTATAATAGTTGCCAATGATATAGTTTTGTGTTTCTCCATGTTTTCTTTGTGTCTCGAATTTTGAGCCAGAACTCGCCCCTAGGATCTTCAGTCTTTTATCATCTCGGAAACCGGGCTGAAATTTCTCATTGATCCCGCTGACCTGGCCGGCTCGGTCAACAGGGCTCATGTGAAAAGGCCCTAGGACGTAAAATACATGCTAATAAAATTTATGTACGTACAACGCTAACAATTAACGCAAAATGTAGCAACTGTTCGATCTACTATGATCCACCTGCACCACCTTGCACCTATCCCGTAGTCATGGTGACCGTTGGGGCGCCACGCACCTAGCAAACTTTTCGCTCCATTTGATTCTGTTTTCATATTCTCTTATGGCGTTGCAAAACTTCAACCCCGTCCACTCAGAGATGTTATTCTCCGAACGCTTCTTTTTCTCTTCTCCATCATTGCACTGTTCCTTGTAAAATTGTCTTGGCAAGCCCTACTGATCCTGCTATGTGCCCAAACCACTTTAACTTGCTTTTCTTTACCGTGGTTAGGCAAGGCATCGGGCCCTATGATGACATCTTGATTCTGTCTCTCACTGCATCATTAGTGATGTGGTCTCTGTATAAGATGCCAAGCCTTTATGGAGCATTTTGCATTAGAAAGTGCAAGCCTAAACTCAATTCCCGGGAGGAACGTAGTGAATTCACAAACCTTCTATTTTAGTATTTCAGAGACCATTCTTAAGAGCTTTTAGAGGTCCTTTGTCTAGAGACATTCCATCATTATAGCGTTGTATTCCATTCACAGTTTATTTCTATAGCTTTCATACATACTTCACATCTTTTACACATTTCACCCTACACTTTCTTTGCATATATATAGCGCGCGCGGAATATTTTCTCATCCCTGATGATGCCGTTGATCGAAGAAAGCTTGGATTTTGGATTTTACTTTTTTTAAACAGCAGTTTGAGGCCTCACTAGAACAGTTTTATATTTTTATTTTTCTAAAGCATCTCATCTCAGTGGCCTTCAATTCCTTCAGGATGTCCGCTGTCAATGTCCAGGTTTCACAGGCGTACAACAGTACTGAGATAACCAGGGGGCGCATAAGTCTAATCGTTGCACTTAGAGAGATATGCTTATCGTTCCGGTTGGTCTTAATCTTGCTAGTGCTGCTGTTGTCTTTGCATTTCTGTACAGTACTTTAGGCTTGGAACTTTGGTCTGTGAAGACTGCGCCCAAATACTTGAAGCTGTCAACTTCGTCCAAGTTTTCATCGTTGATTCTGATGTCAATGCTGATGCCACTTGTGATGTTGGTCATCAGTTTGGTCTTCTCCAAAGATCTTCTCTTCTCCAAAGGCTGCGGAAGTCTTATCCAGGCGATCTACTAGCAAGGCTTGTTCTTCCTCTTTTCCCGCAAAGCCATCAATGTCATCGACAAAGCGGAAGTTGGTAATTGTTCTCCCTCCGGTGCTGACTTTTCCTTGGTGATCTTCTAGTCATCAGTCATAATTCTCTCAAGAAAAAAGTTGAAAAGAGTCGGTGAGAGTAAAGATCCTTGTCTGACTCCGACTGTGGTTCTGAACCAGCCTCCTATGCCGCCATTAATTAAGCTAGATTGCACTAATGGCCTTGTTGTAGAGGTTTTCAAGACTTGGATCAGGTTGGCGTTAATGTTATAAAGCCTCAAAGTAGACCAAAGGGCTTTATGCCATAATCTGTCAAACGCCCTTTTACAATCAATAAAGACGTGATAGAGGTCTTGTTGTTGTTGGAGGTACCTACAGTATCCTAAGATTGAAGATCTGTCTATCGTACTACGCCCTGTTCTGAAGCCTGCTTGTTCTTCTACGATGACTGATTCTGCCTGAGACTTCAGCCTGTTTAACAGCACCTTCAGTATGACTTTACTTGGGTGGCATATTAGGCTGATTAGTTCTTGCACTGTGTAAGGTTACCTATCTTGGGAAGGGTAATAATAAGAGACTGGGTCCATGGTATGGGCCACGTGGATCAATACTAAATGCACAGTAAACAGCGACTAAAAAACAAGTTTGGTAAAGACGACCGTAAGTAGAGCTGTCCGCTTACGAGAAGGTCCATTAAGAGAGCTTCTACTGTATGTTTGCTGAATTTGGGTCTCCCAAATCAATAACAGTTTGAAAGTTACAGTACAAAAGTCATGGGAAGGGCTAGGTGTTATAGTACCACAATTGTTTTCTTTCACTTTCATAGAAACACTGCGTTGCGTCTTGTGATAAAATTACAGAGGTCAGCGGCTGCTGCAGGAACAATCCTTGTCAAAATGGAGGAACATGCACAGAAATATGTGAGCCCACAAGCGTTCGGTACAATTGTTCTTGTCCAACAAAGTTTATAGGTAGACACTGTGAGTTTGAAAGAAAAAGCTGCCAGGCCTACAAAGCTGCAGGAGAAAGTAAGTCTGGATTGTACACAATCACTGATGACAGAAATCAATCCTTCCAAGTGTTCTGTGACTCTGACTCTGAACCCGGGTTTGCATGGAACTTGATCCAGTCGTTCAGCTTGTCCCACAAACAGGTACATTGTAAAATAAGTTAAGTCGACAGGTCAACGGAAACCAAGATATAGTGATCAGGCGCATGCCCCTTAGAGAAGATTTGAGTGATTTTCGTGGTTTTAGGGATACTGAAGATTACTGATACCAATTCTGAACATTTTCAATTCTTGCGTGGTTGATGTTATTTTTTATAACAGCATTACATAAAATATCTAAATAAATATCTAAAAGTGAAAGATTCATAGAACATGACCGAGCTTACGAGGGCAAACCGATTATCAGCTAAGATATAAAATCATTTTTGTTTCCAGAATATTATTTTTTCTGACTACTCGGAATCAATCAGCGGTGATCACCTAAACTGGCGTGCGTACCTGATCCGCGGTAAATATCTGGAGTGGCTTGGAACCAAGTCCACTCACTGGCGAGCTACCTGCCGCTATGATATCGATGGAGTTGTGTACACAGATTACATGCGAACATCCCTGGCACATTGTAACATATTGGCCTTGCCAACAGTGGTCAGTGGAGCCTGCTTCCAGTTCGAATTTATAAACATCCGGGGGCATGAATGTGTTAATTGTACGGTGCCCCTCTGGCAAAGTAAGAGCGGTTACCCTTTGCACACAGATACGTCCATCAAACACTGCGAATTCAATGGCAAACAAGGTGCGCTTTACAGCGAAGATAACTTTGGTTTTTACGGGGTTGTAAATTCGCAGCATCGCTGTTCGAACAATTCTCTTTCTACAACTCAGTTCTGGTTGGGAGGCCAGTAAAAAAGGTAACTCGTGACTTAGTTCACAATAATTGCTAACATGCTTCCAGTCTTGAACGACGAGTTAACGCAGACCATAAATGAAAAGCTAGCATGGTATATGCGCCGATAGAGTAGAGAAGTGATGACGTCACGAAAACTTAATTTGAGAAATTATTGGATAGGCTGGGATAATCAGAAAGTGTCCATTTACCAAAATTCAGTTTGTTCAAGCAAATTGGCCGTGAGTTAGTGAGTGCTTGCCTTAAGAATTCGGTCGAAATATAAAATAATTAAAAATAAGGTCTTTATTGATTCCAAAGACAAACGTTCCTGATTACAACTGACAATTAAATAAAATCAAAAAGACACCTATTAATAAAACAGTGTTTAAACGGTGAGTCCTAATTTGAGGAAGTACATAGGAGTCACCACGATTACTTAGTTAAGTTGTTTTACTGGGTGGAAGGAGATCTGCCAAAGGGCCCTCAGCAGAATTTGTGATGTTCTTCCAAAACTTATTATCTAAGGCCTCTAGAAGGCTCAAAATGGACGTGGCCTCTTGAGAAAGCCAAAACGAACTGCTCTCTTCTGCAACTTATCAATTTTAGAAAAATACTTATAACTGGGTCATAACTTGCAACACCCCATACTGAAATGCCATAAGTAAAAAGAGGTATAATCAGACTATGGAAGAGGTGGTGTAAAGAGTCTAGACTATAACTATACTTCTTGCACACTGGTAAATAATAAATGGAACGGATCGGTCCGGCTGGAAATTTTCCGGAAAAAGTGGTTTACCCTTGAGATTTTCCTTCCGGTCAGACCGAAACTACCGTTCCATTTCCAAAAATTTCGTTTCCATTCCCACTTCGCTGAGAAACAAAATTTCGGTCGAAAAGTAAAGGGAACGCTTAAGCCCAGTTAGAAACTTTGTTTTAAGCGAAAAGTATTGTTCTATATTTTTCTTTTTTTGGTTTGTTTCAATGACTTCTGACCGGTCGGTTGGGTAGGATAAAAAGTATCCATAAACATTAACGTTATGCTCCGATGATACCATGCAAATTCTGAAATTGGCTTGGAGCGTACCTTTTACGATCCAGGTCAATTCCAGAAGGATTTGTATGGAATCATCGTAGCAAAACGTTACTTATTTCTCACCACCAATTTGCTCGAACCAGCTGAATTTCGGCGAATTAACACTTAACTCTCGAGCGACTGGGTCGGACATGGCAGGCATGGAACGTGTCTTTTGGGGCTCCTCAAATATTCCAGTACAGTTATGCCAATTTCTGGCTCATCCTCGGTGTAAGAACCTGTTAAACTCACCGGTGACGCAAAACAAAGAAAACAAAGAAGTCAACACAATAAAACCTAGAAAAACAAAAGGTACAAAACAAAGAAAAAGTTCACAGGTTCTTACACCGAGGTAAACCCCAATTTCTTGTTAGCCTAGTTCATCAGCGGCATAATCAACAGCTTTTTGCTGGCTGCTGTTTTAAGCTCATCACTAAGTGTTAGTAATTCTCTTGTGTATATGTCGCTGTTCTATATCTTATTGTTATTAGTCATAATATGTATGCTTGCCTCACAGATGAAGGTTCTTTGTTATCAAATAGCGTTAGTTTGGGAATTGCATATTAGTCCTATGGGTTTTGAGATGATGTTCCTCATTGTGAAACCAGTTTATGAAATGGAGCGTCGGACAGCGAAAGAGAGAAATAAATTCTCCTTTCATTTCAAGAAATGGGATAAGCTCCTAACATGCACAGGGACATCATATCAAACTCCAATAACTGCTATAACTCCTATAAACATCGTCACATATCATCATCATATAAAATAATTATAATTATTAGTATTTTTTATGGAACTATAACACCATGTGAGGCTACTTTATCTCTGAATATGTATTTGTACATTGGTTGTAAGTCTATGGGAATTTGTAAAACTGGAGTAACTGAAAGAAATGTGTGTGGGAGTGGGTGTGGGGTGGGCGTGTAGATGATGTAGATGTGTGTATTTTTGTTAAGTGGGCACTTCTGTTTACTGTTAACCTATATAGTTAGTAAAGCTGCCTGTAAAAAATTATTGACCAAAAACCAAACTTTAAGTTCCTAGTGTTGGTTTTCAGTAGCAGGTCTAGATCACACAAAATTCGGCTTTTATCAATTTCAAAGTTTTTTGTCTATTGTTATCATAGTAATATCGATTTTACATAAAACTACATTTTCACAAATTTCAATCCATAGCCAATTACTGGTGAAAATTTATAGCGATCGGACAAGGAAAAAAAACACTTTTAAGGCGATTGAAAAATATCGGTATGGCCTCTGAAAAACCGTATCGAAACACCTTAAAAATGGAGGAGAAATCAGATGAAATGACCACAAGCTACTGTCTACAATTGAATACACTTTAAGACGGAAAACGTCAATTCTTTCCCTACTCACTTAATTGCACTCTTATTGTGGCTACTATAGTACACATGTTGTCTACTTGAAATAAATTAGGTGAGATCCCCAAACCTTGCATTGATATTCTGTTGGGTTTTGACAACACGTAACTGGTAACTATTCAGTTAATCAATTAATTTTAACATAAACTAGATGTCCTGAGAATCTAGGTTGCTCGAGGCGTAATTACGCTACTTTCTTGCTTAACAACCTCCCTCGTGTGTCTATAGCACGATTTTTTAATTATTTAAATTTATTAAAATAAATAAGACATTGCATGATTGAATGTGTTTGACACTGTCATGTGTACGTCACTATCTCTAACCATCACAAATTAAGCAAGTGCACATTTAATTAACTCCTGCTCCTGCTAAAACTAGTCAATAAAAAAATAAACTCTTGTAATATATGTAAATATCGTGTAAATGATGCGTGTTAAGCAAGCTGAAGTTATATTAAAATTATACATGAAAATGAAAGAAACACGACACGTGCAGCATCTGTTTAACATGAACAGTCCTCAGTAGCACAAGAAAGGCAACGAAATGGATGTAACGACATTATTGATGATTTCTCTCCTCCATTTTCGGGTCGTCAAAGCTAATGACCAGTCAGTATAGAAAATGGCAAACTTATTCTCTTGATATCTAAGTAGATGCCCTGGAGAACTCTGAGTTAGTTGCCCCGCCTTTCACGCGTTTGCCAAGATCAAACCAATTCAATGCTACTCATGGTATGTAGATGACTGATCGGTGTTAATCGTTCAACTACAAGGAAAATAACGAAGGAAAAGTTATTGATTGAAGTTGAATGCGAGTTGAATGAGGGTAGTCACTTTACAACCCGGGCTCTCTTAGGCATTCCCTGGGGTCACGTTACCACAACTTTGACAGGGAATTCAGCCAAAAGATATTAGAGTGATTTTACTTGAACCTGAAACAGATACTAACAAATAGTGCAAAATAGAGAGGTAAACAAAAGAATACAAGAGAATTAGTGCATAATTGTGTTTAGTATTCTACTTCCTATTTTACGTACGATTCAGAAGTAAAGTCGTTCTAACTGATTATAGTCAAAACAAACTACTGTTACTTTGGGCCAAGTGATTAATACAGGTATCTGAGCAAGAGCATGTATTGCTGAGAAAAAGTGTTGCTTGAACATTATTTCGTTAGCGTAATCGAATTTATCAGTAAAAAAACAACCTATTTCCAGGGTATTGGGGACTTTTTTAAGGAAAGGAATGCTAACTGATAGAAACCCTATCACTTAAGAAAGCCGTGTTTTAATTGAGCCCAATTCCTATTTGGATTGTTGTATTTTCTATCCTCGAATGTGTCATATTGGGATACCGACGTGTATTAGTTTAGCCTGGCAACAAGTGAAATTAAAAACAACAAACAAGTGCATTTTGTATTTCAATTGAAATGATTCAAAAAATAAGCACGGTTTTCTTTAAAACATTAAGGCGCTTCCTCGTGTATCCCGATTAGTCTCATACAATTTTAGAATCATTGTTATTCCAACTTTTAGAGTCATAGTGTAAAGTCATGTGATGGTGACGTCACGTGTATCAATGGCTGTTGCAAGAACAATTCTAGTCAAAATGGAGGAACATGTACATAAAGCTGCCAAGCCTACAAAGCTGCAGGAGAAAGAAAGACTGGTTTGTATACAATCATTGATGACAGCAATCAATCTTTCCATAAGCGACTTTGACTCTAAACCCTGGTTTGCGTGGAACTTGATACAGTCGTTCAGCCGCTCAACCACAGATCTGGTTTAGATAAGTTTTTCTATGTAATACTCGAGATTCTCAGAACTCCAACCTCGCAATTATGTTTCGAGTCGTTTCAGACAGACGCAGAGGAAAGATCTTTGCGTTAGTAGTATAGTAGGCATGTCTTACTCCTTTTTTACAGGGGAATCTTACCAACTTGCGGAGGAATACATTAAAGCCGATGACGTCATAACCTTTTTTTATCTCATGAATAAAATGCGGGGAATCTCATTCATCAGTGCTATTTTCAGGAAGACTGCACCGACTGGTGATGTATTCTAGTTACTTCTCGGTCGATGAAGGTCTTGCTGGTTAACAAAAATACTAAGAAAAGAATTTTACGGAACAAGAGCTAATTAGCCTGTGACTTGAAATTGCTGAACGTAATAATACAAGTTTTTTTTTTCCTGCCGCTTGCATTGCCCAACAAGTTGTTCCAGTTCTGGTTCACTGATTCTTGGCGCACAAATCATGCATGCATATTTAATGAAATGTCACTTACAGAGTGAAGTTTCCAGTCTTTCAAACTTTATCACTATGGTGAGATTGCTCCAAGACCATAAAATTTCTTGGTAGTCGTGCGCGTTCGCTATTCGGTGAACCAAGCAACGTCTACTATGACTCCATGTCTCCTTTTTCACCCATCTCAACCAACCCTTAAAAATAGCCCACGTTCGATATAGTGAAATTCCAACATGACTTCTATGCTTTGTGGGCAAAATTGCAAATTTTTCACGACTCCATTGTCTCGCAATTGCCAGAAGAAGCTTGAGCGCAAAGAAATAAACCAGATATAGAAATATGACCAGAAAGTGTCGGAGTGATGTTAGAATTTTAAAATATCTAACGTGGGCTATTAACAATACTACTGCACTCACACGTGCGATGCGACACTCACGGAGCCCATGTGTACGCTCTCATAGCGTCTTACTACAAATGCAAAGACCATATTTTTTGAAAATTTGTTGAGGAAGAACATCTATGCCAGGCGGTATGGTTTTAAAGTCATACTCAACATACTTGGTTAATTTCTTTTAATAGGGCAATACACGTCATGCCTAAGTAATTGGAAAGTAAGCGCCATCACGCGGGCGCCTTTAAGCCATTTAAAAATGGCTTTTTCTTAATGCTGGCACAAAAAAAAGATCTTGGAATTTCTTGTGTTTTGATTTCAAAAAAGAGCCTTATAAATCACAAATTTTGTTAAAGTTATGATTAATTGGTAACAGAACTTCGTGTCGTCCAATTCGGTCTGTAATCATACTGGTGATTAAACAAATCGGACTCCCGCTACGCGGTCGTCCGATTTTGTTAATCAGTCGTATAATTACAGACCAAATTGGCCTAATCGCCTAATCGCCTTCTTGTTGTTTCAATTACTGATTCATACAAAATGAAAAGAATCTCTTTCAAAAAGGATAGAAAGAAAAACAGATGATGAAAATCAGTAAACACAAGTTGCTGCCTACAGTGAAATGCATTTCAAAGTGACAGCTTTAAAATCTTATTTCTGAAGGTTTTATCGAATCCGTAATTCTGACTAGACTACTGTACAGCGCCCGAAATTAATTACTCTCTGCCAACAGTGGCTTTAATAGTACAAATGTCATTGCGTACCTCCTTAATTAAATTCAAGAGAGGATAAATAAGCTATCCACCTGATTGGATATTGTGTTTTGACAACACGTGGATGGAAATGTCCAATTAACATATCAATGATAGCTAGATGTATAATATTCCTTTTTCAAATATCAGTCCCTTTTCGGTAAATAATTAAAGTTTTTTTTTAGCTTAACCTTCTAAACAGCGTTTCCTTTAAAAAAAATTATCTAAAAACTCTGGTCATCTATATCTTTCACTCCAGACCAAATTTACATCTTCATAACTTTTCTGGAATTTTAAAAAATTTACAATCTTAGTCCGGAAACGACTATCGCTGGATTTCAGGTAAAAACCAAATGTTTACTAGAAGGAAAAAATTAATGCATGGCAGAAGGTGGATAGTCATGAAAATTGTTTATTAAGCATGCTGGAGTTATAAATACTTAAAAGGAACTTGACAAGGCAGGTACACGCAGCTTTCCTTTAACAGGAACCGCCGCTCGCAGAGGAACTATAGAGTGGACCTCATAATTTGAGATGGCCATAGCGAGATTAGTGATAATTTCACTCCTCCACTTCGTGTCCGTCAAGGCAAATGACCATTGCAGAAAGGGAAAATGCCAAACTTATTCTCTTGATATATACGGAGATGCCATGGAGAACTCTGAGTTAGTGAGCCATGTTTTTCACAAGTCTGCCATGATCAACCTTATTCAGTGCTTCACATGGTGTGTAGATGACTGTCGGTGTTTGTCGTTTAACTGCAAAGAAAATAAAGAAGGAAAAGTTTGCGAGTTGAATGAAGGCAGCCACCTTACAAACCAGAGCTCTCTTATACATTCCCTAGGGTCACGTTACTACATCCTTAACAGGACATCCAGCCAAAAGGTATTACTTGATTATAGTTATTGAAACAAATTACTGATAGTTTGCGCTTTTTTAACACAAATCAATCAGGTGACTAATACAGTTATGTGAGCAGAGCATGAAATGCTGGGAAAATGTATTTCGTTGGTGTTATAAAATTCTGGTGTAAAAAACCAACTCATTTCCCAGGTATTGTAGACCTAATTTTGAGGAAAGTCCTGTTAACTAATATAGAAACCCTATCACTTAACAAAGTCGTTCTTTTATATGAGCCTAAATCCTGTTTGGATTGTTTTGCTTCGTGTACTTGGATGTATCATTTTGGGGTTCGTCCATACTAAACTAACACACGCTGCTAGAGGTGAATTAAAAAGACTGAACGAACAAGAGGAATTTTGTGACAGATGTTTCAATTAAAATGTTTCGAAAAATACTGAAGTATACAACACAAGGTTTTTTGATATAGTTGTTCACAGACCATACTGATATTTTTCAATCGCTTTAAAAGTGATTTTATCCTTTTCTGATAGCTATAAAATTTTCACCAATGATTGACTATAGATCTAAATTTGTCAAAATGTAGGTTTTAGTAAACTCGATATTACTAGGACAACAATAAACAAAAAACTTTGAAATTGATAAACGCCTAATTTTGCGCGATCTAGACCAGCTACTGAAAATCCAACACTAGGAACTTAAAGTTTGGTGTTTAGCAAATAACCGATCCGTAAGAAGTAAAAAAATTCTGTATGTTTGATTTCGACTAAAACGAAAATATATTTCAAACCTTAAATTTTCAATAGCCGTGATAGATTATATGATAAAAACGTTGTAAATGACTCAGATTGTTCTTAAGTAGCATCAGAATGCTGCTTAATATCATATTTCGATGTTCAGAAATTGTGGTGCATTTTCGTTCTTGCGATCTCAAAAGCTAACCCGTTTTCTCAGCACCTGTCTAAGTGCAGCTTCATTCAAAATTTGGACTTTTAACGCTTTTTTGTATATCTATGAAACGACTCGAACGAATTTTTTAAAATATCTTCACATAATCTTTCTATTGTATATAATAATGTCTGAAACTTTCATTAAGATTGATTCAAACTAAAATGTACTAGTCATGGAGGTATGTATAGCGCGCATTTTTTTTTTTTTTGGAAAAATTAGCATAACGTCAAAATAGTGAATGTTGTAACGCAGACTTTTGACAGGTGCGTAGGATAGGTTTGTCTTAAAATTTTAAGATGATGCAGTGAATCAATCTCAGTGAAAGTTCGGACCTTATTATATAGATTATGTGAAGAGAGTTTTACTAAGTTCGTTCGAGTCGTTTCAGAGATATACAAAAAAGCGCTAAAAGTACAAATTTTGAATGAAGTTGCACTTATACAGGTGATGAGAAAACGGGTTAGTTTTCAAGATCGCAAGAACGGAAGTACACCAAAATTTCCTGGCATCAAAATATGATATTAGGCAGCATTCTGACGCTACTTAACAATAATTTTTGAGTCATTCATAACGTTTTTATCAATAATCTATCACGGCTATTGAAAATTTAAGGTTTGAAATATATTTTCGTTTTAGTCGATATTCAAACATACAGAATTTTTTACTTCTTACGGAGATTTTTTGCTAAACACCAAACTTTAAGTTCCTAGCGTTGGATTTCCAGTAGCTGGTCTGGATCACACAAAATTCGGCTTTTATCAATTTCAAAGTTTTTTGTTTATTGTCCGATTTTACTTAAAACTACATTTTCACAAATTTCAATCCATAGCCAATTAATGGTGAAAACTTTATAGCGATCAGACAAGGAAAAAAACACTTTTAAGGCTATTGAAAAATATCGGTATGGCCTCAGAAAAACTGTATCGAAACACCTTAATCCAGATGTCTTATTATTTTCTTCAATATAACTCAAATTTCAGTAAGTGTCAGAAAATTTCGAATATCAGGGTATACCTTTACCACACTTTTTAAGACAACACCTAGTAATAAATGTTAAATTAACATAAGCTAAGTGAAGGTCTAATATATATTTTTTTCAACATCTCTTTTCAATAAATAAATAAATAAATAAAGCGATTATGGTCTGAATTTGAACGGTTTCCCATAAAACACGGGCGCTTCCTCAGGTATCCTGCATGATTCGTCTCCTCTGATTTTAGAATATTTGTTATTCCAACTTTAAGAGTCATAGTGTGAAGTCATGTGATGGTGACGTCACGTGTGTCAACGGCTGCTGCAGAAACAATCCTTGTCAAAATGGAGGAAAATGCACAGAAATATGTGAGCTCACGAGCGTTCGGTACAATTGTTCTTGTCCAGCAAAGTTTATGGGTAGACATTGTGAGTTTGATCGAAAAAGCTGCCAGGCCTACAAAGCTGCAGGAGACAGTAAGTCTGGATTGTACACAATCATTGATGACAGCAATCAATCCTTCCAAGTTTTCTGCGACTTTGACTCTGAACCCGGGTTTGCGTGGAACTTGATCCGGTCGTTCAGCCGTTCTAATACAGATCTGGTTTGGGTAAGTGTTTCTACGTAATACATAAGACTTTCAGAACTCTCACCTCGCAATTATGTTTCTGTCTGGAGCCAATCGTGTCAGACAGAGGTAGAGGCATGCTCTATGTGGCACCTCACAGCTACAATAGCGAGTTTTAAAAGGGACCCCCACAGCGACACCAGAGAAAACGTAACTTATTGAGTAAAGCCGACAGTCTTTCAAACTTAGAAATGATTATTCCAACTCTTTCCATGTTCCTGAGGCAAATTTTTCCGGGAGTTTGTACACTTAACCCGGAGTAGCTTGTCCGGCGAACTTTCGGTAATCGAACTGAATGGAACTCACTCAAAACTTTTGCCAATCGAACACATTCGAACGTTCGAAAATTGAAGCTTCAACAATCGTACACAAAACCAGTTTCATCTGGTTTCAAACAAGGCCTTGCGAAAAACAAATACGTTATCAGTGTGTTAGCTTCAAAAACGAGTGCACTACACAGAGAGAGCGGAAATCAAGTAGATAACAATTGTGGAAGCGATGGTTAAGGCTACTACAAGTTCTCTTTCGCCCTCGGTGTTGATGAAAAGTTCCTTGTTAAGAAGAAAAGGGGAGCGGGGTTTCAGCTCCTGAAGATAGCGACGGCCGCCAGCTTGGACTTTGCAACGGGAACTGGTGCCTCAGTCAGCGTTGTCCATTGACCGTCAAATTTGGAGCGTAGGTCCCTTGTAGCTCTATCAAGTGAATTCCATATATACCACAGTGCCCCGGTATGCAAAGCTATTTCCTCCCTTTAATGAGCCTGTGAGCAAGCTCTTCGGGGAGCTCTGGCGGCGGGGAGCCACAGGGAAATTGGAGGTGGAATTTAAATTTCAGAGACGTAGTTGCAAGCTCTCCTTCCTTTTCCCGCCCGCTGCCAGAGCACCCCGGAGAGCTTGCTCGCAGGCTATCCCTAACTCTGTATTCTTCCATTTTACCTCAAGTAATAAACCCTTACACTTAGATTCAACAAAAATAAAAAAAATACAGATCAGTCTGATTGGTGGACTTAACAATTGTAGAAATTTGCGGTCGAACCTCTTGCGATAAATAATGTAAGAACTCAATGGAGTGAAATGATTATTGTTTGTTTTGCTTTTGTAGCAGCATGTTATACTTTCCAGCTATTCTGATGCCAATGCAGTCAGCGGTGATCATCCAAATTGGCAGGCGTACCTGATCCGCCCAACATACTTTGCATGGCTTGGGACCCAGTCCACTCACTGGCGAGCTACCTGTCGCTACGATACCGACGGAGTTGTGTTCACAGATTACATGCGAACATCCCTGGCAGACTGCAACATACTGACATTACCGACAGGGGTCGATGGAGCTTGCTTCCTGTTCGAATTTATAAACATCCGTGGACACGAGTGTGTTAACTGTACAGTGCCTCTCTGGAATATAAAGGGCACTTACCCTCTGCATACAGATACGTATTTCCACCTTTGCGAATTCAATGGCACAGAAGGTGTGATTAAATTCGAAGATAATTTTGGTTTTTATAGGGCTATAAACCCGTCTCATCGCTGTTCCTCGGGCCCTAACTCCACTACCCAGTTCTGGCTGGGGGGCAAGTGAACCAGCCAGTTTTTTAAGAAATTCACACCCGGATTTTTTTTTCTGACCCCCCAGTTCATGGACTACTCGCATGGTCTACCCATATGGACCACCCTAAAATGGACTACGCTGCTGAAGTTTTGTGATTAGGGTTAGGAAACTGAGTGAATCAAGTTTCGGGTCATTTTTTCCAGTATATTGAACATAAATGGAACATGATTCACTCCTAACCCTAATCAATTAACTTCAATGGTGTAGTCCTTTTTGGGGTAGTCCATGGACTATGGGCCAGTGTTTTGTCCTCACCCTTAGAATCCACAGAATAATACACCCAATATTTCCGACACCTAGACAAGTTGATTGACACATCATATTGTTAGATTTACTGGAGAGGAATCAAAATTACATCAATTTGTTTCCCTCGAAGCGAAAAATACTTAAAAAGTAAAGTGTCTGACAAATCCCAGAAGTAACGGATAGAAAAGGATTATCGAGCCACCAAAGACAAATTTTCAATCCGGTGAGCTGGAATCCGGTGAAGACTTAGCTCATGTCAACACTTTGTCCAGGAACCGATTCTTGCAAATTTTGTGGTACCTAACAAGACTTATCTTGTTGTGCTTTTAAGAAACCTGAAGAAATTCGTGGTTGTTAACCTTGAAAGGTTTTAACATATTTTTTAAGCATTTCACTCGTTTGTTGTGTCTGTTTGCACCCTTCCTATTACATCAACATAATGATACCAGTTTTTACTAAATATACTGCTACATTTTGACTATAACATCGACGTTTTTCAAGTTTATTGTAAATGGATTTGTATTTTAAGAAGTGATGTCTAAGTTGTAACTTTTTTGGGTCAGAAGCCTAGTCATTTCAAAGTTTTTTCTGCACTCTACAATACTGTTTGCACAATTATCTTAATTTATGTGACTCATGACGTCACACATTTGTCATATTCCATAATTTTGTGGCTGTTCTGAAAGAAAATTTTCTGTACTTTCAAAATATATATGGGTTTGTTGTGTTCTGCTATAAAAGACATGTCAAGTTATTTTGTCATTACGGCTACATTTTTGTGAAATAAATACCCCCTCCCCCCTCTCCCCCAAGGAGGGGGTGTAAGTTAGAGTTAAAGTATCCATTAGTTTTATTCTTCCGTAACAGAGGGCCATCAAAAAGTGGATTTTTTGGCTGCTTCTAGAATGTTTTTAATATTAAAAAATGAGACAAGTAATATTGAATGCGGCTGGTTTTACATGCAGTACAATTCAACCTGGCTCGGTAGAACGACTACGAGTAAGAGATATCGGCTGAAGATATCGTGTTTTGTCAAAAAATAGAAATCCGCAACGTCTTTATTTCCACTAAAAATGGCACTTTATTGATGGAGGTTACTCCCTCTCCCTATCCCAAAATGATAAAACCTCTAACATTTCATAACTTATTTCCGCCACCACGACATTCTAGCTAAAACTCGTAGTAGAATAACAACAGCTATTAAGGCTTCCCCCCAAGGCGACGCTGGTTCACGCGCGAGTACTACTTAGTGTTAAGAAACTCTCGTAGTGGTAGTTGCCCTCGTCTAGAAATCTAAAGCTGTCTTGCTTAGTCCCCTGCCTCATTATTCGATTATTCCGCGCGTCCTATGAGTTTCGGGTCACTTGGTCCGAACTAGAACTAATTTGACCGAGAAGGCCTGGGAAGCCGCTGAACGGTATATATAAATTTAATTTATATCTAACTTAATATTTAGTCCATATCAATATTATTAATGTTATTGAATATTTATTTCATATTAGTTCCTTTTTTAGAGCCCTTATATGTCCACTTTTAGAATAATAAACTGATCCATTGAGGTAACATTTATTGTAATGCTTATGGTATATTGTTGACCGATAGAAAATAACAGACTGACAGTTACATTGTCGTTCTTATGTTATATTTAGAGATCGAATCAGTAGTACTAAAAGAAGGCAAAAGGAGCGGCGTGGGACTGAGGCAACGAGGGCCATGCGGCGGGAGCTTAACCCTGTTTTTGAGGAACCTAAGAATATTGGGATTGTTATACGTTTCTGGGAAACTGCTCACCTAGCCCTCCCCTAAGCCAACATTTTGCCTCAAGTGAGAAGTAACGTGTTAATGTTGGCTAAGGGGAGGGGCAAATAGGCAGTTTCCCAGACACGTACGATGATCTCCCCTCCCCCATTACAGTCATCACTGTAGGGCCACCCCAACCAATAGGAAAGTCTCTTGTTCAAGGCAACAGCGCGAGGGAAAGGCTTGAGCCTTGATCTACAGATCCGAAGTTTAACGGAAGATTTAACATAAGTGCCGCACTAGAGTGACTGTAATGTTTATATTGTTCTTCAACGCGATCGTAGTTTGTAATGATAAATTCCAAGTGTAATATAAAATCGTGCAAAAGAGAAATATATACCCTCATATATCTTTCCTTGAATTTCATATCCACCTGAATACATGTGTGAATGTATTGTAGTTCAGCTAAAAACAGTCACGTCTTCTACCTTCTATTATTTAGTATGTAGTTCTAACTCTTGAGTCTGTGGATGAAATCCTACGGTGTTACCATTCAAATGAAACCTCTTCAGCAGTACTTTCACATGGTACTCTTTATTAAGTATGTAGTTCTAACTTTGGAGTCTGTGAATGATATCCTACGGTGTTACCATTCAAATGAAACCTCTTCAGCAGTACTTTAACATGGTACTATTTATTTAGTATGTAGTTCTAACTTTGGAGTCTGTGGATGAAATCCTATGGTCTTACCATTCAAATGAAATTTATTCAGCAGTACTTTCGCATGGTACTATTTATTTAGTATGTAGTTCTAACTTTGGAGTCTGTGAATGAAATCCTACGGTGTGACCATTCAAATGAAACCTCTTTAGCAGTACTTTAACATGGTGCTATTTATTTAGTATGTAGTTCTAACTTTGGAGTCTGTGGATGAAATCCTATGGTGTGACCATTCAAATGAAACCTCTTCAGCAGTACTTTAACATGGTACTATTTATTTAGTATGTAGTTCTAACTTTGGAGTCTGTGGATGAAATCCTATGGTCTTACCATTCAAATGAAATTTATTCAGCAGTACTTTCGCATGGCACTATTTATTTAGTATGAAGTTATAACTTTGGAGGCTGTGGATGAAATCCTATGGTGTTAACACCATTCAAATGAAACCTCTTCAGAAGCAATGTTGCATAGCACAATTTCAATTTTAGATTTTACAAAAAGATATTTTTATTTGAACAAAAATTGTTCGCTGTAACCACTACTAAGATGAAGGGGCTTTTTTACGCCCTGGACGTTTTCCTAATTTTGTGAGTCATCAGGGGCTGCTTAACCTTCGGAGAAACAAAAGGGATCGGAAAGAGTAGTTTGGTTGTCATGATAACGAGCCTGGATTTACGCTAATAATCATTTGAACGAATCGGCCCAAAATGTTTGTTTGTTTGTTGTTTGTTTGTTTGTTTCTTATCTTATCTTATCTTATCCTTTCTTTTCTTTTTTCTTTCCATTTTTTTCCGGGCCGTTTTTTCCGGGCAGTTGCTTATATTTCAAAAGTAACTGCTATGACAATTCCTCATTTTAATCAAGTTATTTCTCCTCATAATTTGAGTAAGCTTTATCAACCGCCACTGATGCAGGTTAAACAGGTACTAGGATTTAAATCAAATGGACCGTGAATCCGACAAGTTCTCAATTAGCGGGTGTCTGTTTTTAATCTTGAGTTCTCTTGTATCAAAACGACAAAAATAGCCAAATCAGGGGTTAATCTATTATAAGTGAACCTCATTTTTCCCCTGAGGATATGTTGAAATTTCTACTCATCGTCTGGTTTAGTATCAGCGTGGCTGAGGACTTCAAAGTCCCAAAACCGACCACAACTCAGGCTAAATGGCTAGATTACGAAGTTGGAGCTATAGTTCACTTCAACATGCAGACATTTGATCGATATATGAAACCAGGTAGGCACTTTGCCGGGTTTTTCTTTGAAATAACATAAATTTTTTCCTAGTGCTAGATAAATTCAGATGACAGGATGGTCTGATCTAGATGTAACTCTGCTAAAATAAGGAGAAATTAAATGCAGTAAATTCTGTGCCTTATCGTTTCTTTCAAGGGGGTGTAGTCGTTTGGAAAGCAAACTTTGACGTTTCGAGGCCTTACTGACTAGACGTAGCCTCGTACAATGAGATGGAACTGACCAAAGTATTCCAAGCGTGCTTCAAAGAAAAAAAAACACGTATAAACACAGGAAAATTAAAAACCCTGTCACGGAAGAGACTTTAATTGGCTTCGTCCTCCGGCGTTTAAAGAAGCGCCTGAGGTAAATCGTTGAACGTATTCAGGGTAGGCTGTGGAACGAAATTATAATAAAGATTCGCAATTCACGGCCACAGAAGTACAGTTGTGACCTTCTGATGAAGATAACCTTCAGCACTGGGCTATATTTTATGTCCTCTCAATCCAGCAATCCCAGGGGTTTTTTGAGCTAATACAGACCCCAAAAATACGTTTCAAAAAGCGCCTTACAGAGGGTAAAGTTTGTCGATTCTCTTCTTCTACAGCCTACGAGTACTTTTCGTCGCCCTATTCTTCCCGCCAAAATTTCCCAAAAATCACTGAGTGAGCCTGGTCGCAAGCTTCTTCATCTTTATAGAACCAACAGCGTATGTTCGGTAAAGACACGTCATACACACTGCATGAAAAATTGGATTACACAAAATTTACTCAGTGCAAATTTGGTGCAAAAAAGTGCAAACTAAGGTTAAATAAAGGGCAAAGATGGTAAATACCGTATTTGCCCTAAAATTTACACCCCCATGTACTCTGGCAAGCAAATGCCGTATTTACCATCTTTGCTTTTAATTTCCCCCTAGATTGCACTTTTTTGCACCATATTTACACCGAGTAAATTGTGTAAATCCAATTTTTCGTGCAGTGACAGTACAATTGCAAATAGTCGCTGGGCAAAAGAAGTCCGCATTCGACATCTCCCCGCCAGCCTGTCTCACGAAGGAACCTGAAGATCCGACTCGGTATATAGAGAGACAGAAATCAAGCCTAATCGCAGAACGGCCGCCGTTTTTTATCTTCGAGCCGTGTAACATGTCACAGCTCTCATAAGTTTGTATGCGGACGTCTTGGAACGTGCTGGTGTACAAGACATCAAAAAAGTTAAGCGGTGAATTATGGTCAAACATTTTGCGCTAACAATCATGACAGTTTGATTTACCCAAAACGCACAACCATAGTCTAATAATATGAAGAAAAGTAATTCTGGGTTAAATTAGTACATTGAGCTTTAAGATTTGTTCGCGGAGGAAAGCGAAATTCCTATCTGAATAGAATTTCGCCTTCGTCCCGCGAATACCACCCATGTAAACGAAATTTGCGTCGTCGCTCTATCTGGTCCTATCTCATTATGTTTTACCACTCCGGTCTAACACAAATGTTTCTTTTTGTCCGTGCAGCCGGCGTTGTCTTTGTGCGAAATAGCGAACAATACTCAAACTTACGGTCAGCGGTCAGCATCTGCCATGAGTGGCTCCAATGAAGTTCCAAACCTTTTCACATGTCATGTTACTATGATTTATTATATGGAGGAGAGTGTTTTACTGGGAACTAAACCACTCGTAGATTCCATACGCCACTTCATCCGAGACCCGAGTGGCGTATTTTCCGTATGTCACCTTTGTGAGTGTCGTATTGTTCAATGACGTCACGATTCCCGCCTTTTGCTTTTGTTGAATTGGTTTCTCCATATAATAAAAAGAACATTACACGTTGGCTCGAAGATATGAATTTTATGTTCTCGTGGCAAGAACAATATCTCACTCGTTCGCTTCGCTCACTCGTGAGATATTGTTCTTGCCACTCGAACATAAAATTCATATCTTCTCGACACCGTGTAATATCCTCTATATATATTTCGACTTAGACTCGCAATAACCATCCTAGTGTAACCAGCTCCGGGCAACTGATTCAAAAAACGCAGAGCGGAGGCTGAGAAGACAAAAGGGGAGGTGCCACCTCCCACTGCCTTAGATAACGCGCATCTTTACGTCATATTTTCGCTTATCTTCTGAACGGTTCCTACCATCATTTGAGAGGCTGGCACAGACTAACTAACCTGTCGAAAATCTCGTGAATCACATTAAATATTTAGACCTAAAACGTAGCAATGTTAATCTTGCATTAGGAAAAGTGGTAGCTGCAGATGTTTTCAACCCGTGTGAACTCTCGACCGACCAGTGGGTGAAAGCAGCAAAGAGTTTTGGTGCCAAATACATTGTTTTTACTATCGATCACTTTAGCGGCTTCCTCATGTGGCCTAGCAAAACTGATTACAAGTATTCTGTCAAATACACAAAGTGGAGAGAAGGCAAGGGGGATGTTCTGTTAGACTTTATTAAGTCAAGTAAAAAATACGGGTTGGAACATGGTGTGTTTTACAGTGTGCACAATAACTGGTACATGGGAGTAGACAACTATACCACAGGAGACCCAGCCAGCCAGGAGCGCTATCAAAAAATTGTAGAGGAACAAATGCATGAGCTGTTTCACGCGCAGTCTCTGTACAAAGACCCTTTTTACATCTGGTTTGATGCCGGTATTGTTCCTGGTGTGAGCCCCAATGTTGGCCCAACAATACGCGATTTAGCAAAAAACTCCTTGTGTGACGAATGTCCAACGTTTGCCGGTGATCAAGGTTTGAGATGGGTTGGGAACGAAAATGCTATGGCTCCTCTACCACACTGGTATGCTGTACCCAAAGGAAAATGCTCCATGAAGACAAATGATGGTGAGTAGAATTAATAATGGTATGGTATAGGCCTATATAGGCCTCGCGTGAGTTGGTGGTTTTGGAAATTTCTGATCCAAGGATTACCAGGGTTTGGAGGCATACTTTGTATAACATTTCAGTTCTTCAGTTTCTTTCAGCTAAGGATAACTAATGATTTCTAAATCTAAATCTAAATCTTAGTTTTGGGAATGCAATTCGCCGTTTTACAGCGAATACAACCGTCTAGCCAGCTATAAGGAACCTCTAGCGGCGAGGAGGAGGAGGCGAAACGGCTGTATTCAGGGCATTTGCAGAATATACCGTTTGTCCCTCTTTTAATGCAACTCCGAGAAATAAATTCGGGCCCCTTTGGTTACTCACAACAAATTCCCTCTAATATTTTCCGTGATCGTGCTGGAGTGAAGAGAATCCTGTGTTCTGATTGGGCTACCCGCGTTGGTCCCGCAAGAAAAAGCACCTCTCGATAATAAATCCTTTACTGACCAAGCTTGTTCGGCCAAGGTGGCTGGATATTGGTCTCGTCCTCTTTTGTGTTTTTATAGACCTTGTCTTCGTCTCAGTCCAAAAAAGCGCAAAAAAGAACTTGGCCAATATTTAGCCATCTTTACCTCATGTTTGGTCAATAACGCACTAATACAATCATTCTACAACCGATATCGAGGTCTCGGAGGGCCTGCTAGCAAGCTCTCAGGGAAAGGGGGCTCTGGCGAAGGAAGACGGGAGCTTGCTTGCAGGCTAAAGACAAGTAGGCCATATTCTAAACTCAGAGTGTGTCACTTTAAATTTAATTAATATGAACCTATAGGATGATTAACTAGGTCGCATTAAATGAAGGAAAGAAGTGCGTGTTATTCGGTCTTGTCTAGACTGCAAAGCGGTCGTTTTTTTCTCAAAATCAGTAAAGAAATCGGTAAAGCGTGGCGTAAGAGCCTTACGCGAGCGAAGCGCACGAGTCTCACACGCCCGTAGGGTGTGTGAGGCGAGAGAGAAAAAATTTTAGCGTCTCGTATTTTTAGCGTCTCTCTCCAGTCTCGCTCTCTGTTTTTAGCCTCGTTCCAGACCTTTTGTTTGACTGCTCGCGCGTACTTGAATACGCAAAAATACGGACTGTTTCGAAGTCTAGGTCTTCAACTTGTCCGGATAATTTCTTTTTTTGTTGTTTATTGATGTTCAGCTTTCAGGTGAAATCATTTAAAACTTATTTCAACCAACTTATTTTTTCTTCACAGGCCAAGTGATACAAGGCAATCCCTCCGGAGAACTATTTTGTCCAGCTAACTGCGATACAGTGATACGTGAACATTTTTGGTTTTGGGAGCCCGATACCGAATACTCTGTAAAAAGCGTCTGTAGACTTGTTCAGGAATACCTGACAAGCGTTGGACATGGCTGTACACTGCTTCTCAATATCAATCCCGATACCCGCGGGAAAGTACCCGAGCAAGACCTCTCCACGTATGAAGAGCTTGGGAGAGCGATTGAACTGTTGTATAAGGAGCCAGTAGCTAAATATTTCAGTCAGAAACTCCATGTAGACAAAGAGAAAAAATGGGAGTTTAAGACGTTCGTAAGCCTTAATGGATCCATCGTAATAATGGAGGACATTGCAAAATTCGGTCAGTTAGTCAGGAGCTACGAACTTAAGGTTAAAACTGGTGATTGCTGGATTTCAATAGATGAAGAGGGCAGTACTATTGGTCATAAGAGAATTCATCCTTTTCCAAGAGCACTAGCAGAGAAAAAAATATCAGGAATCAGTTTAAAAATAAGGAAGCTTGTAACAGAACAAAGAGATATAACCTTAAGAGAGGTTTCTGTATACAAATGGGACGAAGCTGCGAAACAAAATTTAATTTAATTGCGTTTCAAATTAAGAGAAAGTAAAATAGCAGTACCCCAAATCCTACTCACTTCGACTATGTAGACTGAAAACTGACTGCCGGGTGCCTGAAACTGTTCAGTGTTCATGGACAGTCATAAACAGTTCAAAGTTTCTGACGTTGCAAGCCAAGCCGCATTCTTTAGTACAATGTCTAAAGGAGTTCTTTTTTAGACACTGCGGGTCCGCTAACAACGAACCTTTCCGATGAAGGGAAGGAGGGAGAAGCACGAAAAAACGTCTTGGAACTTTGAAGATATCTTCTGATGTATAACTACTTCTACAACATTATTTTTAAACTGCTGTTATATCTGAGTGCCACGCAGCATACACAGTAGACTCATCCCTATTCTTTTTTTCACAACTTTCATCCTGACTAGAGAAGAGGAGTCCTCACCGAAAAGTCTTATTAACTGTGTCATTGTCAGAATTAATCAGTTTTGCCGTACGTTTCTACCTTGACTGGCTACAGAGTGCGTCACAATGATAACAAAGATACAGTTAACTATATGTGTGACGACAGAATGTCAGACAATAAATTATGAAAAGAGTAACGTTGTCTGAGTGAACATGGTGAATTGTTATTATTATTATTATTATTTTTTATTTTTATCATTTTAATAATCCAAATCTTTTATTGATAAGCTAACTATAAAATCCTAATTACAATTAATTTCACTTAAAAAACTATTCTGTCAAAGCACTATTTACATTATTCCTTTCGATTAAAAAAAAGGACACTTAATTTCGATTGAAAAAATTCACTTTATTAAAAATATATATTCGGAAAAAAAATTCAATTACTGAAGACGGTTCAATTCGACTAAACTAAATTAAAGAGCTCACGCCATTATCACACACGCTTGGGTGGCGTGTATGCAGCAGTCATCAATGAAATCCCCTTGTATTGTGGAATTTTGTGGAAGGGTGTCCTAGAACCTCTTACACATCTGTGTACCGACCTTAAGAGCCAATGTCGGAAAATATCGAGAATCTCAAATCAGTTCTAAAAATTCGAATTTTGGCTAATACCACCCAAACAACCCTTTAGGTGAACTATTTCAAGAAATGATATTAAGAAATCCCCAAGCGCTTTACATTTTGAGAAATTTGGAAAAGTTCGAAAATTCGATAAAAATACATTTTTTTATTCGCGAAATTGTTGCAAATTTCAACAATTTTCAAGGAAGCAGTACAAGCGCGCAAAAGCTCCTATTGACTTGATGTCGCACATGCATTTACCAGTTACTCGAAGCTTTAAGACTGCATAAAAATGTCTCGCAAAATAACGTTTGTAATATAGTTTTGGGCTTTCCGCATTGCTTGCACCTTGATGGTGTGCTGTTTTGGCGATCGAAATAACGCCCAACTTTAACCGCAAAAAGTCGATTCTGGTATGTCTCAAACTTAGAATATGATTATACTACATGAAAGAGCTGTGATTCTTTTAACTAGATCTGAAGTTTCAGCTCTGAGAATTTAAACGCTTAAGAAAAATAAAATTTTAAATATAGCCCCTTGGGCCACCGTAAGCGACAAGAACGTGAAATGTAAACAAAGCGAAAACGGTGTACACAAACGAGAAAATCACACCAAAGTTATTTCTAGCCGACCAAAGCGTTAAGAAATGATAGAAATTTCGGCATCTGAATAGGTATTGTTACCTGAAAAGCTAAAAAGGCGAAATTGTCCGTTGAAAAATATAACTGACGAGAAAAAATTCCTGAAAACCGAGCAACTGACTGATCGCGTCGGGTGATCATTTTTAAATTCGGAAGTAAAAATGCTTCCGGCTGGTCAAGTCAAAAAGGCTTTAAGAGCTGTTTGCGAAATGCCCCAATAAACTATCGACAAACTAGATCAGATGATAGATTTACTTTAGTAAAAATGAAGATAACAAGAAGTCGGAATCATGATTACAGATGACCCTTCTACAAAATGAGTTTTAAATGGAAGTCTTGGATTTTTACAAAGTTACCTTTCAGTGTCCATTTTTGTCTCGTGATGCAAGGCTCTGCAACTCACCTTCATGACATGACTTAAAAACTAGCAAATAACTGAAATTTCAACATTCCGCTGATTCGTAAAACGGTTGCGGCCTAAAGTTAGTTCCTAAAAGCATGTAAGAGAGACGTGTAACTTGGTGTCATGTTACGTGTATGGTAATTTGAGTAAATTACCCTGGAGCCCCTTCACGCAATCTTCCACAGGGTAAACGTGACACATGCTATCACTTCTAGCTCTGAAGGCGTGTGGACAAAACTTTGTGTAGTTTTTCGACCCTTGTTGATGGCAATTTTTACAGTCGGTGTTAGGGGGGAATATCCTTGTCAATCCGAATTTATTCTTCCTTTTAAATTGCGAACGAGGCGTTTGAATGTCCTGGAAGTACATGGCATAACCTCATCAAGGAAGATCCATCGTTGAACAAATAAAAAAATAACTTCTATTATCTCGTGCTAGTAAATGACAATTGGTTTCATTTTTTCTTTGTTTTAGTTTCATTGAATAAGAAGATCGCTTGTGTTGAACAGGGAAATAGCTGGTTGTACCTTGAGGGAAACTATAGGAAGGGGCTTGGCACGTGGCCTATCGCCCACGCGCACTCGGCAAGTGCGCTGAAGAAGATATACATACAATTAACCGTAAATGATCTAATAAACACCCGCAGTGACCCGCGGCGTCTTTTAACTTTATGGGTCTAAGCGGGGGCGTTTAATAGATTAGACTACGAGTAGTCCCCCATTTTTCGTCAGGGATAGTAGAGCGAGCGAAACGCGAGCGCGCGTGAAAATCACCCCACGCGAGAAAAGGCGACACGCCGCGTGTCGTCTTTTCTCGCGTGGGGTGATTTTCACGCGTGCTCGCGTTTTGCTCGCTCTACTATCCCTGAGGAAAAATGGGCGACTACTCGTAGTCTATTAATAGATAGGAGGCTTTTGAAAGGGAGAGGTGCTTATTGTTATAACTGTACCACTCAACAAAAATTATTTCAGCAAAAAATATCATGAGTTTAAAAATAGCGGAATATCCACTCCATTAGTTGATATGTCTGGGCCGTCTTGAGATCTATATCGCTCTTCTCAAATCCCAACCCGTCCATATCAGAATCCTCCCTCAGAGTTATTGCGTTTCTATCGTTGGTCTATTAACAAGACGAAAATAAAAAAAAATCAATCCCCCGGTAAATCAAGCAAGAAACTGAATGAATTGAATGATTTTCTCCGTTTTTGCTAATTCCTAGCAGTTGGGTGTAGTTCTCATAGGGGGCGTCTATTAGACAGGGGGCTCAAATACTTTCAAGAGCCTGCTATCCAAGCTTTGCTTCTCTTAGACGAAGCGAAATACCATTGGTAGAAAAATAACTCACCCACAAGTAACTGTAATCGATGTCACTCGAGGTCTTGGCTGGCTGACCCGCCATGAATTTTGTCGCTCGTTTAGAAACACGGCGCTAAAAGAAATTGGAAAGATCTACACTGTGCAAGGAAGAAAATTCCTCCTCTCTTTCCCCGCCCCTTACACTTGGGACCAACTTAAAACAAGGGGCCTAAGCTCACGGCTTGCCCAAAGCGCCAGCTCCACGCAACACATGTGGGAGCTGTTGGCTGGGAATCGCACGGCAGTTCTCCCACGACATGCGCGGAGAAGGCGGATCATGAGTTACCCTGTCATTTGCCAGCGCGAGATTATTTTTTTTTCATTTGTCCAACGGTGGATTTTCACTGATGCGTTTATCCCATGTACGTCCAGGACATTCAGACGCCTCGTTCGCAATTTAGAAGGAAGGATAAATTCGGATTGACAAGACAAAAGGATTTTCCATATTAACACTGAATCCAAAAATTGCCATCAACAAGGGTCGAAAAAACTGCACAACATTTGTCCACACGCCTTCAGAGCTAAAGGTGATAGCATGTGTCACGTGTACCCTGTGGAAGATTGCGTGAAGGGGCTCCACGGTAATTTATTCAAATTACCATACACGTAACATGACACCAAGTTACACGTCTGTGTAAAGAACCAACTTTAGGCTGCAACCATTTTACGAATCAGTGGAATGTTGAAATTTCACAGACAGTTATTTGCTAGTTTTTAAGTCATGTTATGAAGGTGGGCTACAGAGCCTTGCATCACGAGAAAAAATAGACACTGAAAGGTAACTTTGTAAAAATCCAGGACTTGCATTTAAACTCATTTTGTAGAAGTGTCATTTGTAATCAAGATTCCGACTTCTTGTTATCTTCATTTTTACTAAAGTAAATCTATCATCTGACCTAGTTTGTCGATAGTTTATTGGGGCATTTTGAAAACGGCTCTTGAAGCCTTTTATTTTGGACATTACCAGCCGGAAGCATTTTTACTTCCGAGTCCACAATTTAAAAATGATCACCCGACGCGATCCTCAGTTACTCGTTTTTCAGGATTTTTTTTCTTTTCAGTTATATTTTTCAACGGACAATTTCGCCTTTTTAGCTTTTCAGGTAACAATACCTATTCAGATGCCGAAATTTCCATCATTTCTTAACGCTTTGGTTGGTTTGTGTACACGGTTTTCGCTTTGTTTGCATTTCACGTTCTTGTCGCTTACGGTGGCCCAAGGGGCTATATTTAAAATTTTATTTTTCTTAAGCGTTTAAATTCTCAGAGCTGAAACTTCAGATCTAGTTAAAAGAATCACAGCTCTTTCATGTAGTATAATCATATTCTAAGTTTGAGACATACCAGAATCGACTTTTTGCGGTTAAAGTTGGGCGTTATTTCAACCGCCAAAACAGCACACCATCAAGGTGCAAGCAATGAAAGCCCAAAACTATATTACAAACGTTATTTTGCGAGACATTTTTATGCAGTCTTAAAGCTTCGAGTAACTGGTAAATGTATGTGCGACATCAAGTCAATAGGAGCTTTTGCGCGCTTGTACTGCTTCCTTGAAAATTGTTGAAATTTGCAGCAATTTCGCAAATAAAAAAATGTATTTTTATTGAATTTTCGAACTTTTCCAAATTTCTCAAAATGTAAAGCGCTTCGGGATTTCTTAATATCATTTCTTGAAATAGTTCACCTAAAGGGTTGTTTGGGTGGTATTAGCCAAAATTCGAATTTTTAGAACTGATTTGAGATTCTCGATATTGTCCGACATTGGCTCTTAATATCTCAAAAGAAAGCAATGTTCTAATCTAAGTAATAGTAATGTGATAAGGTTCCTCATTCTTTTCTGAGAGCTTCTCTGCTAGGCGTTTGAGAAAGCAGTTGCAGTCGGCTCCCATGCCACCGTTGGTTCCAAAAACTAGGGGAGTGAAAGATCCCATTTCAACGTCCAGCACCCTCTGTTGGTACTTCCGCTTTTTCTCCTCGTCCTGCTCCTTAAAGATTGTGGATGTTTCTTTTCCTTGGTTGCACTTGGAGTTAACATGCGTTACTCTGACATCAAAAAAAATTCTGTAACTCCACGAGACCAAAAGCCCCCTGCCTTAATTTAACAGTCTGTCCTCTCCGGGCTTGTTACCACGGTTCTGAGGATGAATCGCTCATGATCGAGAGGTTGTAGTTGTGGTTCGACTTCAACGTTGGTGCAAACTATAAGTGAGGTAATTGTGTCTCTGCGCCACGAAACCTCCCTTTTTGCATGACAGGGCATGGCAGACGGTATACTTCTCACCGCAAACACACTTGCTTGGTAAGTCGGACAGGGGCATATCATACCTTAAACGCAGAGAGTCTCTGAATTCTTGTTTATTCAGCACTAAGCCTTGATCGACAAGAGGCACTGCGGTAAGCCATGAGCTCACACCCTTGTCTCTCTATTGGTTAAATGACCGCAGCAGATCCGAGGGTAGAGTGGGATCAATACTTTCCATTCTCGATTTCACCGACGCAGTTTTCAAGGCTTGATGTTGTCTTTTTAACTCCTCCGTGGAATTCTCGCCTGACACCATGAACTTGCTCTGTCCAGTAATAGAATCTATTTGCGGTGCCGTTATTAACGTAGAAGCAGCAAACTGCAGTGGAGCGGGTGTCAAAGTAACTAGCTGACGCAGATCACTAGGGAGGGGCTCCGTTTGACCGAATAGTGTTGGGAGAAGTAAGTCGCCGATCGCTTCTTTGATAGGGTCAACGTAATCTTCAAACGACTCTATTCTTTCATGAAATAGGTAAACTTGGATTTGTAACCATTCGAGAAAACAGTGTAGGTTGCATGAGGCTGGCTCCTTGCTATCTCAGATAGTGCTTTGAGTTCTCCTTTCCATCTAAGGATTTTTTCCCGACAATATTGATCCTTGAACTCTTGAGATCCGATGACGGCCCCTAAGTGGCGCTGACCTTCAGTTGTAACATTGACCTCATCTCCAAACACCCTCTTTGCCTCATCTCCAAGGACGTCCGACTTGACAATCAGCCAGCTTTTTGATACATTCACTAGGTAATCATACTTCTTATCGATTATTATTGTGGTGATTATTTTCAAAATCATTTTAAAAGGAATAACACACAAACTGCAGATACAAACATCAGGAATAACAAACGCATTGTATAACTGACTTTTATAACATCGAACGTGACGTTTCGTATGCTGCAACATACATACTGATGACGTGTCCCTACCCTGATCTTATACGTCATTTCGCGGAGAAACCAGTGGTGACGTCGCGAAATGTCGGCTGTTTTCTCAGGCTAGCTAATTCTGGGCAGTGTTGCTACTGTCGCAGTTTAGCTGGGCGAGCTTTTCTCTTGTTTACGCTCTGTCGCTAAGGCGATCAGTCTCCTTCGCAGCCGTTTTTAGGCTCGTCACGCAACGCTCCTTCCAAAGGGGAGGAGCGTTGCGTGACGAGCCTCACGTCGGGCTTCCCTTGTTGCAATGCGTTCTTGGCAAATCTGTCCCCACTAGACTGGGGACGAGCCAGTAGCCGTTTGCTCTTGCGGCAATTTGGCGGCCGCTAAGAAACGGCCGAGTCCGACAAAATTGTCCGCACATTTTACTTCGCACAGCCCGGCGTATTTCACCAGGAAATGAATCGTTTGGAATCAAAGAAACATAGTCCAGCTCAAGTGTTTGCTCAGTTTACTTCTGCGAGTGAAAGTGAAGGCATACCCGGTGCCAAAACCAGTTGTAAACACGAAGGAGAGTACGCATCTGACAACAGACGAGAGATACAGATCACAGAAAGCGGAGAAGTTAGTCTACCTCCTGACAAAGCTAGAGTGTCAATAGTCTGCTCCAACGCAAAAGTAAGTGATCAGTATTTTACAATGGCAACAGTGAACTGCTGTTGCATGTACATCTAATAATAGAAGTACAGTACTGCAATGAAATATGCACGACAACGTAGACAAATGTAACCTGGTAACGTAAAAAGCGTTGAAGGGAAGTTTGTGATGCATCTTAGCCACCAACATCTCAAATATGTTTAACACTTAAGAATAAAGGTATGCGAATATGTTTATAGAAATTACTAGTTTTTTGCCTGATCTTTTTGCCTAGTAAATACAGGTTATGCATTGGTTTTTTTTTTGGTCTGCGACTGGAGAAACATGTGAAATGATCACCCCAGGCGACTGAAGGAGCTACAGTAGACACCGGCTAATAAGAATCTGTGGTTTGAGAACCTGCTGGCAGAAATTTGGCACTTTAATACCCAAAATTTAAGAACCTGTTTAGCCAAGCAAAATCAAGCAGGTTCTTACGTGTGGTTAACGGGTAAATTAAGATAAACATTTTAACCAAGGAGTTTGACGTCGAGATTGCCAATTAATATTACGAGAAGATACTGCACTAAACTGCAAATAATAATAGAAGTATTAGAGACCTTTAGGGGGTGTTCACATGACCCCGTGGCGACTTTCGCATCAGCACAATTCACCCTGGTTGTTGTACCAGAGCGAAAATTTTGCTCCGATGTGAAATGGTATCATGTAAACACAAAATGACCACCAGTTTCAGTGTGAAATCAGTCTGCCGGTGGACTGGAACAGGTAGCACATGCAGGTGTAACGTGTGCGATTTTGAATGGCACACGTGTGTATTTTATCAACATGAAGTGAACCTTCAAATAACCAAATATGAAATAACCCATCATCATGTAAACATGATACAAAATCAAAAAGTCATTCCAGTATGAAACTCGTGCCCGTACGAGTTTTCTCTAAGTAGTGCTCACGCATGAACCAGTGTCATTTTGGCGAGAAAACATGATAACCGTCATCATTCTACTACAAGTCTTAGCAAGAATATCACAGTGGTTGAAACAAGTTATCTAATGTTAGAAATTTCAGCATTTTGTGGTCGGGGAAGGCCTAACCTTCTTCAATAGAGATAACGGTGCTAATTTTTGTGGTGAATCAAAAGTACAATGAAGCTTTCCGGGGTGTCTATTTTGGAGAATGTATGAAAAATCTTAAAGTCAAATCTCCTACTCGTAGTCATTGACTCGCCTTCCAATCTAAAGGTCTCTATTACTGTAATTCTTACAATGACAAAAGGTTAATAAAATGTACTGATTGTAATTTCTTCTTGGACGTTGCATAAAGGAGGTTTTCAATGTACAGTTGTGAATGAATAATGTATATTTAAGGACCAACCTCAAGTTTCTCGATTGGTAGTAAACAACTATATCTCCTTCGTAGAAATCAAGAACCTAATTTAAGAATAGCCTAAATTGCCAATAACTACAATGTACCCCCAAATAAAAGAACCTTTTTTCCAGACCTTAAAAAAATGCAGGTTCTTATTAGTGGTTGTTTACTGTATATTCATGGTGAGGTCAACATGTTCTGGTCAAAGCTGAGCTGAAAGTAGCTGGGTGGAGGAGGTGGGGATAACTTAAGTTAGTTTTTGCTGGGCATGTGCCACTGACCTCTCTGAAGCCCTATCCTATTATAGTCTATTCTGTGGCCAATTATACAGTGGTCACTCTAGAAATTGTCCAAAGCGGGACAGTTGTCCCCTTGCTTAAAAAACTGGGGACATCAGACTATTGGGAGGAGACATTTTGTAAAATTTACGGACAATTTGGAATCAACTTTAACACCATTTTCTGCAGGCTTTATTCATATCAAAGCTTAGCTCTTTATTATTCCCATCAACTTAGCTGCAACTCAACTCCGCCATGTACTTGTATGCCAGGGTTTTGCTTTGTACTTCGTCGGTGATTGCTTCTTTGTGATCTCTGCTTTCAGCATGCCTTTTAAATGTCGATGCTCTGAGATTGCTGGTCCCCTCGGTCATGGAATTCTTTATGTTGTGCTTTACCAGGTTCTGTGGAACATTTTCCCTCCTTGTTCATAAAGCGAAGCAAGTCGTGTTTGCCAATCAGTGAGTGTTTCAGCTTGAGGTTTGACTCTTGCCTTCTTTGTTCTTGGTTCGCCTGATTCGCTTCGTTCTTGCCGCTGTCTTACTCTTTATCGCTCTCTGTGGCTTCTGGAATATTTGCTGGCTTATCAGCTTGTCCATCATCGACATCTTTCAAAGAAGCTGTTGAATAATTAAATATCATGAAGCGCAACCTGCTTTGTTTCAATTTTGTCGCCATGTTGAAAGCATGACGATTGACTATCATGAGGCAATATGTCTAGATCCCAGACTCTGTGCGATGAAATTTTTTGTTTTCATTTTTGTTATTTTACAAAATCATTCCTTCACAAAAAAGGGTCACACTGACCCTGGAAAACAATTGCATCAGTAGTTTGTGAAAACGTGCAAATGGCACAAAAACGTGCCCTGAACACTGATTATAGACGGGCCCCATCTTAGTCACTTTTGCGAAGATGTAATTTTCACAATACCAACTTAGTAACTGTCTGTTTACACATATACCTTATAAAGGCATTGAACTAGGTCATCCTAAAATGAATTGACACGTTACTAAGCTTAATATAGTAAAAATCTTCCCATTTTTAAATCCCTTCCTACGGTATCTGAATTTTCTGACCTCCAATATCCAGGAAGTGGATGACCCCACTCCAGTAACTGTATTGAAAAAGCAACCCTATGACAGGTCAGCTGTATAGTCAATCCAGTTGTGAAAATGCAACCCCATACAGCAAAGAAATATATCAATTGGCCGAGAGTGAAAAAAACTAAGCCATTTTTGAAAGGCAACCAATATAAAACAAACTTGTGTCATGTTAATTGCACCACATGTATTAAAGGTGTAGACAGGGTCTAATTCAATACATGTTTTTATGCAGGAGTCTGTTGAGGAGGTGAAAACCAGCGTGAATCGTCGTGTGGACTATGTGCTACAGACACTGAAATCTTATCACATCAAGGATTTTACCATTCATAAATCTCTGCAAAGAGTTGAAAAACTTTATCAGATGGAAGTTGAAGTTGTCGTGGAATTTAGTGACTTTTCCAAGTGTGAACAAGTTTGTAACCTTCTGGTAGAAAAACTTGACGAGACAGTTAAAGTATCGCGTCCTTTTTTATATCATACACCAAGCAAGCTTGATTCATTAAGGTATGGATGGTTTAGACAGTATTTATACAGGGGTCAATATTCATTTTTTCTTAGAGTTGCCAGCTGGGCAAGTAAGCCTGATGGCATACCGTACTTGCCTGGTTATTTGCCATGGGTTGCCTGGACGAAAGTGCAGAATTATATAAAAGAGCAGTGAAAAAATTGTGTGCAACTTGAACATTTCATTTTCTATTACTACAGCACTTTATTTCTGTTATAGTTACTAAGAAAAGGTTTTAACTAAAACTATTTAGTACAACAGGCTACAGGCGTAGGCCAACACGGTTTATTTGCATTTTACAAGTAGCCACGGTTGGTCAGTTTGCCGTGAAGGCAAGACGTACTCTGCGCTTACTTTTTCCCCAGTATAATGCAGCGGCTCCTGCGTCGCCTTTTTTTTCCGTTAAGGCAGCGAAACGTATTCTATAAAACATCACATCTTGATGTGTATGAAGCCCTGGCTTCTGCTTCACCTTTTTTAACCGCCAAAGGCGACAAAATACCTTCTAAAAAACACCTCATCTTGATGAGTGCTGTCACGTTTTCTTTGAATACCCTCCTAATGCGGTACTTCATAAAAACTGAGCCTTCAATCATTTTGTAGAAAGTGCTGCACCATCAAAGATGGTGCCCAGACAAAAGCTGCTTGTTATTCTCCATTATTCTAAAAGTTTTCAGTTGAGAAGAAGTAATTGGAACACAGGGAAAATGTATAAAATCATGTAAGAATTTTTGAAGAGATTTTGTGGTTGAGCAAAACCTCAAAAATTGTCCTAAGGGCTACTTTTGAAGTTATCTTAATTGTCCGTACGGGATTACAGTAGTCGTCTGGAATGACTGGACGACTGGGAATATGGATCCCTGATAGTACTTAATTATTGGTAAGGGAAAAATGATTAAGAGTGAGTTGACACTTTTTTTGGTCTATTCCAGGTATTCAGATAGAAGTGGTTAGTGGTGCAAAAAAAAATTTAGTTTGGAGAGGATGAAAGGGGAAAGAAATTAAGGGAGATGGAGATTTGGGGGAATGCCTGTGGGATTTGTTTTCAAAAACTATTCCAACCACTTAGCCGGCTAGTAATCTAAAATACTTTTTGGCTTTTTTGCTCTGGAAAGTTGTTAATCAAGCAATGGGTGATAGACCTCACAATACTGTTAACTGGACACTACTGATTTTCAGTTAGATCATAGTTTAGGTAGCTTGTTCAAAAAAGAACTAGAGAAGAACTCTTTGAACTAACTCCGTTTTAATCAAAACTGAAGCAAAGAAAACACACAAAACCAGATAAAAGCATTGTCTGAGGGTTCCTTTTCCATGGTGGAGATGATGTAAGCACATGAAAGCATGTGGCCCAGAAGTGAAAAATGAAAATTAACTATTTACAGCAATTTATCATTACAATAATCCAGTGAAAGTTTCTTTGCCTCTGTATTTTATGAAATTAATCTGCTAAAAATTAATGCTCTCGTGCTCATGCAAGGTTCTCATTAAGTGCAAGCAGCCCGCCGGCTAAATTAACTGCCTACTTGGATGTTTGAGCTGTCTACTTTGTGAGGAAATAGGGTTAAGGGAGAGATTGAAAGCCTGAAACTGCCTACAGCACTCAGCTACCAAGCTGCCTACTTAATTTACATCCTAGCTGTGTATTTTAAAACTTAATGAGAACCCTGCTCATGTGTTATGGGTTAATATTATGGTTAAGTTTAATAATATAATTATGCCATATAAGGTTTAGAGAAATCATTGAGCAGAAGTCCATAATTAGAAAGTCATTCAGACTTCAGCACTGTGAACTTGTTTGGAAATTTCGAAAAAAATTGCTCTGAGCAGAACAAGCCTGCAATTTGAATTTTCAGATGCAGCCACCTTAAGTGTCATGGTGCTAATCAAGAATGTTGGGGCATGTGGCACATACAATTTAAAGTTCTCTTCCCTTTAATTATGATTGGTTTATGGTTGTTGTTTTCAGGCGACAAGCATGTGTTTGTGCTGTGAGAAATGCAAAGAACAAAGCACTTGAAGTTGTTCAAATGTTTAACCAGTCCTTGGGACCTCCTATTTTAATACGAGAAGAACATTATGGTGAATCTGTCAGGACAAGCACAGAACATGCAGATAAGACAGAGGATCAACTAACTTTTCAGCAGAAGGTTGCTGCAGGAACAGTAACAGTCAATGTCAGAATCTTTGTTATATTTGAGATCAAAGAGAAAGCAAGGGCTCATAAACGAAAGTAGACTTTATTATTTTATTAGCACAACAATAATTTAAATAATTATTATATATTACATATAGATACTGTCTTTTACAGGGAAGATACCTGTAGATGTTTCAAACTAATCTACTGTGGCTATAGAAAGTGTATGACTTATTTTTTTTCTATGACAATCTCTAAAATAAGAATGATTGAAAAACCATGCAAGGCCACACAAGTTCTCAATAGCTAGATGCATTGCAAATTATCTATCAATACAAGAAATGTACAGTCCATTTTTTATTACAGAAAGAGAAATAGTGATTGTAGATAAATAATAAAACTGTTCAATAAATAATTTTATTCTGGATTCATTAGCTGTGTCTTGCTTGCTTGATCCACCAAAACTTGTGAAAGTGATGCTTTAAGCTTTGTTGTACATGTAACCTCCTAAGCTCAGGGGTGTCACTAAGATTTCAAGTTGCTGGGTAAATACGACAAGTAGGCCGGGAATCAAACAGCTAGGGATTTCTTTTGGTTCCATAATTATTTCCCCTATAATTTTTCCTATGAAAGTCGCCAGGGGCCATGTTCATGGTAGCCAGGGGAAATCCGCGGCACAGCTGTGTAATCTGATACAGTACTCTAACTACTGGGTATTGGTTTTTACCAGAAACCCATAAGGGGTTGTTCAACCCCTTAAGAGTATGGGAGGTAGGTAAAACTCAAAGAGCTATAAGAAGTAGAGGAAAGAAAATTATATTTATACCAGCTGAATACAATTATTTTGCTTTGCCTGATAGGGGTGTTTTTTTTTTCAGGCTTGAGGTATATGAAAGGGTAGGGAAATAATGTCATCATCATTCCAGTCTTTAAAAGGATTTAAAAGGGCTAAGCTACATATTTTATAGAGGTGAAAAGACAAGAAAGCTTCCTGGTGTTTTAATTTATTTTTTTGAGACTGTGCATTTACAGCAATTAAAAGGGATGCAGTTTTCTGTAAACTAAGTACCAGAAAGGAATACCATTTGTCAATGGGATGTATAGTGTTTTTCATCACTAATACACTCATGTTCATTATAACAGGTAATAATATAATAAACAGGTTTTTTAATCACTTATCCCTTTCAAGTTTGATGAACTTTCAGAGATTATGTTCAAGTAATGGTCCAGATTAGAAGGAAAGAATCAAATGCAATTAACGCATCAGAAAGCAAAAAGGTGTTATCTTTACTATTGTCTCTACTACACTTTTGATTGGTTTACAGTTGACTCTCTCTTAAAGGGAACCTCCACTCTTACTACAGAATAAGTTTAAATCGAATAAAATTATGTTGATAAACAAATTTGTTCGAAATTTGTCTTAAAAAAAGTGTTTAAATCAGGAAAAGTGAATTTTAAAATCGCTTATTTTCACTTTCAAATTTTGCGGGCGCCGCCATCTTGAATAATTGTGACGTGTTACGGTTGTTCTATTGTTCTGACACAAAGAGCTTTTGTTTTATAACAATAGGGCAACCATTACACGTCACAATTATTCAAGATGGCGACGCCCGCAAAATTTGAAAACAAAAATAGGCGAATCTAAGAGTTATTTCTTTCGGATACAAACGCTTTCTTTAAAAATATTTTAGATTGACTTGACTGTAACAGTTATTTCCTGTGATTTAAAGTTATCTTTTTGTTGAAGTGGAGGTTCCCTTTAATGGACACCTCTGTAAAACGGACACCTAGAGTTGGTCCCTTCCTTTCTTAGCTCCCTTTATTTGACTCTTTATAAGACAGACATCTCTCTAAGACGGACACTTAGTGCCGGTCCCAAAGGTGTCCGTCTTGGAGAGAGTTGACTGTAAACCAGCGGAAAATTATGACAGAAATCAATAAATTTATTATACTATCCACTGGATAGTGATTTATTTGGTGGATAGCGCTATCCAACGTTTGAACAACCAGGGCCTGGAGGGTAGTGATTTATCAACTATCTGGCTTTTTACATGAATAGTCTGCTTCACAGCCGTTCTTTGTGTCATCACGCAATGCTGTGGGGAGGAGCGAAGCATGATGAGACAAAAAAAGGCTGTAAAGAAGACTAACTTTTGAACAACCGCTGCCAGGACCATAGTGTCAGTGGAGGTTAGACCCTACTAGACATAATTTTCCAGAAGAAACAGGAAGTTCATGAATGTTGAAATCGGGCATTCTGAAGTGGAGACTGTGTTGTTTATACAACTGTTTTGAGGTTTGAACTTTGACCCAGTTTCTGATCAAATTTTGAATCCCCCCAAACATTCTCATAATGGATTTTGACAAAATAGACCACCAGTCTAACAGGCAATTATAACATAGCTAGAAAATTCGCCTAATCAAATTCAATAGCGCGAGCGTGCTTCATATTCCTATTGAGCACGCTGATGACGTCAATAAACTATTCGTAATTCCTCGAGTTGTTGTGAGCTTAGCAATCCTGAGTCTCCTGAGTGAATCCATAACTCAGCAATAGACAATGAAGCGTTTACCATGTGTTTTGTAAAGAAATTTAAGAGGAAACGTTTGAATTTGTTAACCGATAGTAAGGAAAAGAGGTGAGTGTTGTTGTTGTTGTTGTCATCTCCGCGAGCTGTGCGGGCTATGGCGTGAGCTCATTCTTTGCAAAGTTGTTTTCTCTCAATAACAATTTTTCGGGAAATTAATAGTTTTCCGACACCTAAATATGGATTTTACAATCATTTTAGAGTACACTTTCTCTCAGTTTCAAGATAAAAACATAAGATTAACTGTGAGGAAAAAAGATATATTCACGTAAACATTGACGCGTACTGCTTTGAGCGCGCCCTTCAATAATAAAATTTTCAGTTAACTGCTGCATTGATCGCTATAAAACAATTAGTTCATGCTGCAGCTGTGCGTATGTCGAGATATTGAGCACTTGGGAAGTTTGGAGAGCACTCAAGAGGCTAGAGTTGCACTCGGCTGCGCCTCGTGCAACTCTTACGCCTCTTTCGTGCTCTCCAAACTTCCCGCGTGCTCAATATCTCGACATACGCACGCTGAACTAATTGTTAATTTCAAAATGGCCCATATAATTATGATCTTGACAGATATAATGTGCAGGTATTGTTCAGTTACTATGACATCTTTTTCTCTCCCTTGGAGTTCCAAGCACTTATTAGCTTGTTTCCATAATACAGGCTGATGCCGTGAAACTGTATAAGAAAAGCTACAGCAGCCATTTTCATCGGTGCATTTTGCCATGCCTGTGAGGCAGGGGCTCTTCTTTGACGGATGTTGAAAAAGATATCTTGTAACATGGCACAAGCTCCAAAAACTAAAGGACCCACTCCAATGAGCAGAATTCCACATGCACTAATGTACATCTGCTTAATATTGTTTTTTGGAAGGCTTGCAAGTCCAACAACTGCAGGAATGATGCTCAGTAACCAGGCCAGTTCCCAGGGCTCTGGGTTTGCCTTGCTTAACCTGTGTATGAAGAACAAACCTGTTAATCTGTGTATGAAAAGCAAACCAGATAAGTATCAGGCCCATTTACTGTCACGAGGCCCCTTTTACCTTTGGGAGGTCGTATATAATTTTCTTGTCACGTTCAAAGATTAGCTACAGCTGTAGTCCCTGTCCAAATGTTTTAGAAAACTGTTTGGACTCATTATTTGGAATGGAACAGGATATCCTCATTCAAAATTTTTCTAGTAAGAACAGCGTATAATATTTCAAACTAAAGAAAACTTCTCAAGAAGAACCCAGCTTGAATGGGGTAATTAAGGTTTGGCCTCTCTATGGGAAAAGGTACCATTTTAAATCCAGTTTTATTTGGAATAGGATATGGATTTGGATGCACCCATCTAAAACCTACCTGATGAGGTGATCGAGGATGGGGTTGGGGACGTTCAATTTCAATATATTCGCAACCCTAAAAATGGCTGAAATCCAAACCCTCAATTTTGTGTCATCTCCCTTTGAAAAATAAAACCCAAAGGAACCTAAAGGGTTGACTTTTTAAAAAAAATGCCCTAAGGGTAAAAATTTTGACGGCTTCTATGACGAAAAAAGTGTGGGCCTCCTATTCAGAACCTACCATCATCTAAGTGTGGTGGAACTCTGTGAAACATGATCACATGATTTCGTGCAAACACATGGTGAACAGAATGTGATTGAGTCGTGTTGTTTACTTTATTAAAAGTTGAGTTTAGTGCAAATTCTCTCGCACGATTACAAGTGGTAGAGAATTTAATAGGGGGTGGTTGCGTACAAAAATGGGATGCACCCAGTTGAATGGTTTTGATGTTCAGACACATGTCAACTAAGAAGCTCCCGTTACCAACTATTGATTCTGCGAATTTACTTCACATTCAAGTTTACGAACCTACCCACTGTAAGCTGCAGTGATCCAAGCTCCGAAACCCAGGTTAAGAATTAACTGGAAACAAAGACAGGCCTTCAATTTGGCCTTCCATTGAACGCTTTCCTTGTAGTGGGAAGCCACACGCTGTCTGTGTGTAAAGTCTGATCCATCCGTACCAGAAGCACGAGGTCCATCTCTCGAGGCCATAATCTCAAAACTGTAAGATGGTTTATTCGGTTTCTTCAAAAAATTTAACTCTTTATTTATAATTATATCCGTTCTGATCGTCGTCTTATCTCTGATCTCTGAGGAGACTGGGTTCCATGTCAGCGGTGTTACTCTTTGCTCATGGGTTCATGAGCGACGCTGCTGCCATTTTGTTTTCACGAGTGAAATTAGGAAAGCATGAGTTTTATTTCTGACGAACTTGCCAACGTTTTAAAATCCGTGTACATGAAGGAAGAGAGTGGAAAAGTAGAAGAATTAAATTCTTCGATAAAATTAGACAAGGATGAAGTTGATATTCCTAAAGTAGAGAAGCGTTCGAGAAAGCACAAGCATAAAAAGCATTCGTCCAAGTCAAAGTCGAGAGACAAGAAAAAGCACAAGAAACGAAAACGTAAATCCAGATCCAGATCTAGTTCGGAATCACGCTCCAGATCAAGGTCGCGTTCAACTGAACAAGAAAATTCTAAGCCACAGAGGAGCCGTCCGCTTTCGTCAAGGTCAAAATCACCTGATGAAATTGACCAAGCTGATTTTGTTCTGCAGAAGGAGAGAGCAGACGAAGATGACGAAGATCTTAGCTCGGACAAAGAACGAAATAACTTAAAATCTAAGGAGGCTTTTGAGATAGTTTTTTCTTCTTCAGATCGTGGCTTTCAGCAAAAGTGTAAAGAAGTAGCTGTTTCTGAATCCAAAACGTTGGAAGATCAAAACCAAGGAGGTAATGCTGAAAGTGTGGATGACAAAACTTTAAACTTGCATAATCTCTCCCTAGCATCGAAAAAAGAAAAAGAAAGATCCAGCAGTAGAGGCAAATCAGAGGAGAAAGTAACTCAGTCAAAACAGAAAAACAGTCCTTCGCATTCAAGGGGTAAATCAAGATCACCAGACGACAAGTCATCTCAAACTTTGAAACAGAGACAATCAAGGTCACACTCCAGAGACCAACACATTGCAAAGAAGGTGAGATCATGTTCTAAGGAATCAGTGCATCGCAAAACATCCAGATCTAGATCAAGCTCAAGAAATAAAAAAAAAGCAAAGTCACATTCAAGATCAAGTTCTAGATCAAAGTCCAGATCAAGGTCACCCTCAAGGAATAAATCAGCGAAACTGAGGAAGTCCAAGTCTAGGTCACATTCTACAGGAAAAAACCGAAACAGGAGCGGTTCAAGGTCACGATCTCGCTCTCATTCACATAGTAAGTCAAGAAAGTCAAGGTCACGTTCAAAACAAAGATCAACCAAGCAAAAGAGAACAAAGTCCAGATCGCATTCTAAGGAACGAAACCGAAAAAGAAGTCTTCCAAAGTCACGTTCCCACTCTCATTCACGTAGTAAATCTAGATCAAGGTCGCGATCACCTAGGCATAAGAGAACACGTTCTAGATCAAGGAGGAGATCTCCTGTATTTAGGAATTTTCGAAGGTTTTCACCTCCTCACTGGAGGAGAGGCTCAGGTTCATTTCGACGGAGGTCACGATCAACTTCAAGGTCTCGAAGATCGAGTTCAAGGAGAAGAAGTTATTCAAGACGGAGAGATTCACGTTCCAGATCTGATTCAAGATCTAAGTCAAGACAAAAGAGTGGCCGGAGATCTCGCTCAAGATCTAGAGTGAGGAGATCAAGGTCAAGATCTCACGTACGAAATAGGAAATCTCGATCTGTATCGAAGGGAAAGAGAAGAAGATCTAGGTCTCTCTCACACTCAAAAGGGAAAGGAAGAAGGTCAACATCAAGGGACAGAAACAGAACCAGATCTCGTTCAAAGTCTAAGTCAAAAGATCAAACACAAACTGTAGGGGTGTTACTAAATCCAAAAACAAACACAGCAACTGCAAACAATGTGTCTAGTGCAACTGACAAGCCAGTTACTACTACTCTCTCTTCACAGCAGGTCAAGGTTGCTCAGAAAGCTGGAGGGAAGACCATTGCAGAGCTGACAGCTTTCTGCAAAAAATTACAGGAGGAAAAAGAAGATGGCGAAAATGTAAAAAGTGAGGATGGCAGTAAAGTAGATGAGGAGCAAACTCAGACTGTGACACATCATCCGTTTTTGGTGAAAGAGAAACCTGATATCACCATTCCACCAGTTATCTTTCCTGTAAGTTCACTTCAGTAAAATAATAGTAATAATAGGGCGATGGCTACGAAAATGTCATGAAAAAAGTCACGTCGTGCTGCTTCAAACTTTATTGCGCTTATTCCATCTCGTTCAGTTTGTCAAATAATGTCAGCAATTTTTTCTGGAGTTGAATTCTAAAAGACTATCAAAGTTCAGGAAAAGAAAAAGAAAGTTGTAGTCTTGTGTTCACATCCTCCACAAAAAGTAAAATTGGGCATTTTCATGTAACAGTCGTGCAGTGACAGCAAAGAAATGTACAAAAAATTATGATGCATGTGCAGAGTTGTTGTTTTGCCTAATCTAAACCTATTGCTTTTGTGCCGTCGTCATTGCTTAAGCTCTGTAATGACAAAAGACTCTTGTGAATACCAAACATGCATGTATTGTTCTGAGTTGTATCAATGTACAGCCATATTTTTCCCAGCCTGTAGGACAGTTGAATAGTTCAAGGTAGGCTTGTAACAGTCTCATCTGTACCCCAGGACAAGTAGATTTTCTTGCTGGGCAAGTAACGTTTTAAGCTTTCCTGCCCAATAGGCAATAGTCCAGGCAAGTCATTCTCTAATAAAATCATAAACTAAGATGAGCAAGAAGTGGCCCTGGACAAGCCAAATGTGACAGCTGGGTGCCTAAAGGACAAGCTGCAATTCAATTAGTTTTTTTTCAAGCCCTGTCAAGGTGGTCTACAAAGCTTACGAATTCTTGTATGCAATATTTAACACTAAAGGAGCTACTGTTGGCTGAAAAAGATAAGCGGGAATGAAGGAGAAAACGGCAATGGATTTACATGTATAAACTCCATTTCTTTGACATTGCCTCCAACCAGTTTTAATCCTTAAACTTGTAATATGAATTTGATTTATATGTTTCAGTTGTCTGCTTGGTCCCGCTAGCTTTTGAGCTATAGATATTGCTGAGGGTAAATATAGGAATTATTATTATTATGAAATTATTATTATTATTATTGACAACGAGCAGCCTTTCAAAGACACAAGGCCATGAGGCAGCAGCCTAATAGAGCCGTGTGTGATAGTTCCAGGGGCAGAAAAAATCTTGAATCAAAGTAACAGACAGCAAAGTAAGGCAACATTTATGACATAATGCGGAACAGGGAAGGCATTGTTTTCAAGCGTACACATGATACAGAACAGAGAATCCACAAGCCGTGTGCGTGCTTGTGAGTCCCGTGTTCATCCTGCCTTATTTACTATAACTCGTTATAGATCTATACAGTGTACAGTGCAAATGGTCTTGTCACTGTAACTTGAAGGTGTTTGATAAATGTAACTATGCAATATATTAATCAGGTATTTGCTTGCATGTAGGTTAGCATGAACAAACCCAGTCTCCCAGCAGTCGACCCAAACAAACCATTGCAGGAACAGTTCCCGGTCTCTTGTGGTAGTAAGCACAGAGAGAAAGAACATGTTAATGATGGAGCTGGGATAGTAGCTGATGTTGATGGCTCTGCAAATCAAGAACAGCAGATAAATGAAGTATTTGCACCATCAATTACTGAGGTAATTTAAATGTACATTTGTACAGTCTAACCCTTTAAGCCCTGATAGTGACCCACACCCAATTTCTCCCAACAACAATACTGCGTGATCAAACAGACAGGTAATGAGAATTAATAAAATGATCACCAAAGATGAAATGTTGTGATATTGGAACAAATTCTCTCAAGCAGTACCATAAGAAATGTATGAAGAACAGTGTGGAGAAGATGCGTGTTGATGTTGGGTCTTTAAAGGGTTAACAGAGTTTTATGTGACAACTAAGATTGCCAGTGCTACCTTTCAGGACAGTCAAGTTGTGTAAATGCACCAGTGTTTAAATTCCATGCTGTGCTGCGTGCTGTCTGTTGTTTTGGGTAGATTAAGTGAAGTGCAAATTTGCCTCTTCATCTCTTTCTATTCTTTGATATTAAGTTATGTGATAGTTGCTTGCGTCCCTTCTGCATACTTGCAGAAGAGTCACCAGTATTTTCTAACCATATTCAGCATGCAAATAAAGTAGTGTCCGATATCACAGGGCTAGTGGATTTTGCTGTCAGGCTAGTGAATTATGTTCCTAACGTGCTTGAGAGGCAAACAAAGTTTTTGGGGGAATTCAACATACAGAAGAACTGTAGTCAATCCTGCACATCAAAAACGTTTTTGGGGGCTGGTTGAAATGACTTTTGGGCAAGTGCATGCTAGCTACAGTTTGCCATTGTAGTTCGCACCCTGACTGCATACAGGTGATCTCCATCTCGGAGCCTGTTGTTAGTGTTGAATGTCTGTGGTACTTTACCTCCAATTGGCAATTCAGTTGTTGCATGTAGAAAATATTTACATTCCTAAGACTATCATGTAGTTTCATAAAATTAGTGACATTTTGGCTTTTCAGAAACTTGACATTAGTGAGCTTGTTGGGAAAAGGATGGAAGCTCAAAGACGACTTCAAAGTGACCCTAATGATATTGAGGCCTTACTAACTCTGCAGGAAATTCAAATGAAAATGCAGAATTGGTGTCAGTCAAATGTGAAACCTGGTCAGTTTACTGGGGAGCTTGTTAAGAACCTTCTTCCAAAGGAAGATTTACAAGGAGGCTTCCAGGCATGGGCCAAAAAGGTAATTTTCATACCTGTAGTTTTTGCTTTTTGACCAGTCTGAGCTTTAATAACTATAAAAATATCAAAGTTTGCCTCTATTTTTGACTTGATGCTGTTTGCTCTGGATTGTCCAACCCTCGTGCTGTCCAGAGCAACAGCTGCAGCAGTTTAGTTTAAATCTTATCATTTCATCTACTAGATTAGCTATAATATACAGGGCTGTCACTAAGGTTTTAAGTTGACTGGTACACTAAATTACAGTAGTACCCTGGTAACTCGAACTCTGAAGGGAAACGAGAAACAGTTTAAGGTAGCAGGGAATTCAAGTTATTGGGGTAAATTTCAGTGAGATTTTGATCAAGGAGAGGAAATTTAGTTCGAGTTAGCGGGGAATTCGAGTTATCCGAGTTCAAGTTATCAAGGTTCTACTGTGGTAAGTGGGCAATGGAATAGCTAAGAATATCTTTTGGTCCTATTTTCCTTGTTTTTGTTATGATAAAGTAGCCAGGGGTCATATTCATAGAAGCTGGGGCAATCCCCAGCCACTGGCACTTAGTGACACCCCTGTGTGTAGGATATCAGCGCGCAAAGAAAGTTGTGTCCGATAGCCCGGGGCTAGTGGATTTTGCCATCGGGCTAGTGATTTTTGTTCTTAACTTGCCTACGGGCAAGTGCTGTTTTGGGGGGAAATTCAAATTACAGAAGGATTGTAATCAATCCTGCTAATCAACAAGGGTTTTGGGGCTAGTTGAAATGACTTGTGGGCTAGTACATACTAGTTAGAGCTTTCCTGAATGGCAGGCCATAAAACTGACTTTCTTTGCACCTTGGATATATTATTATTATTTGTCACATCCATAAAGCTTTAGTAGATTTGAATGATAATTTCAAGACCAATTTGGAATGGAATGATATTCAAATATTTTTTAACCGACTCTTTTGTTGTGTACTTTGTAATTCTTGTCAATTTGTGATTTTTATTGTATTCTTAACGTATCTTCATTATTTGCAATGGGCGTATGAACTTATTTGTATGGTATATGGGCAATATAAGTTTTATATTTATCATTTATTAACCAATAATTTATATTATTATACATTGCACGCACTGTCTGTCTTCTCGTTGACTAAGAAGCTTCAGTTGATTTTGGAAGTTGGAGGTTTCTGACTAATCTGTACATTGTGTGCACAATGCATGATTTCCAAGAGCAATGTCAAACTGTGTTAATTGTTTTTTTTATTATTATTAGATTTGGCTTTTGTGATATCCAGAATACACCCTAATGAAGGTCGCGGTAAGTGTTATCAGCCTTGGCCTTCAGCTCGGCTGATAACGCTTACCTTGACCTTGATTATTCCTGATATCACAAAAGCCTCATCTAATAATTGTTTATTTATTCTTTTGCCATGGCAGGATATGTTTCACAACCTTACACCAGTTTCTGGAGGAATTGGAATGAAGCTTCTACAGAAAATGGGTTGGAAACCTGGACAAGTTATTGGTAAAAGAGGAGAAGGGTATGCAGAACCCATCGCTCTGACAGTGAAAATTGATAGGAAAGGGCTGAGTGCAGGAAAAGAAAAGGCTGCAAAGAAGAGCACTCCAGCAGTTTTGGACTTGCAAGGTACAAATATGATAGTTTTCATTATTATAAATGATACTACTTATAAATAATTATTGTACACTGTAGTTTATTTTGGTATACAAGGTTCAGCTCAGTGGTAGCATACACTGTACAAGTAATTGGTACTACTTACACTGTAGTAAACTGTATTTGCTTTTAAAATACTTCTAGACCATTATTTTCCTTGTAAATTGTAAAGAAAAGTGCCTGGATACATTATTTTATGGCCAGTTTTGAGGCCAAAGTTATGATTTTAAGATTACAAATTTTTATCAGACTTGAGAAGAGAGTTGTAGTTACAATGCTGAGTTGAGCTTTGTAGGTAGTCAAGATTAAAAAAGGTAGTTTCATATGCCGCAATCTCTGAGTTCACCTTGCACTTTCTTCTGGAGGAGTGTACACTCTACTGTGGCATAAGCAAGTGTTGTCTGCTAAGAGGCTAGATGGCTTTCCTTAAGGCAAAAGGGACACCTCTAAGATATTGCCCACAGTTCTTTCTCTACCACATATCAGGACAAATTGTTTGTGGTTCATTAATGTTTAATGTACATGTAGAATTAAATATTATTACTTCAGGAGGCATTGGAATTTGAATTGCTTGTCATTCTTTAACAAATCTATCAGACTCATACATTATGCTTTCTTTCTTTAGTGGCTATCCACTGTTACCAGCCATCATTGTACGTCCTCCATGTTTTTTTCTCTTTTATGATAATGTGTTATTTTATGCATGTACATTTCAATAATTAATTTTTTGTACTCTTTTTACTGCATCACTTCTAGTTTTTTTCCTCGCCATCATCATGCAACTTTTCACCTTAAAAGCTTTTAGAACCCAGTCACCATAGAATGGCCCAATAAGCTGTGCCATTCTATGGTGATGCATAAAACAAAATGAATTTCTCCCCCAGCAGTGAAGGGCTTCAGTCCTTTCTTAGTGAAGTCTGCACACAAGCAATTCAATTTGCAATGCCTCTTGATCCGATGTTGCTGAGAATTTTAGCACAGCAAGAAGCTCGTTCCATGAAAATGGTCATCATCATCGTGTTGAAGGCAGGTAATAATATTATCAATGGCTCTGTCTAGTTCCTGGCTACTTTCATTCTTGGGTCCTGAGTGAAATTCAGAACTATCCATTCTAGACCATGATAAAATTTAATACTATGTAAGTAGAGAAAAGAAAAATCTAATCGGTATCCACTTTGAACACACTAATTTGTTTAGGCGATTTACAAAACTAGTTTCATGTCGTGAACCTAGTTATGAAGGATTATTTTTGGTATTTTTCGTACATTGCTACGTGACATGTCTGTTATTTCAAATATTGTGTGGCAAACAACTGAAGAGGTCAGAAGATGAAACTAGTTTTGTGAATCACTTAAATAAATTAGTGTGTTGAAAGTGGATCTCGATTACACTTTTCTTTTCTTTTCTGTATTGACACAATATTTAAGTAACACTTTCTTGGCTTCAACAAACAAAATCTTGCAACCATTAAGTATTGAAAGATGATTACACCTAAACTTGGATATAAAATGGAAAAACTATGATATTCATTATTTTACAATTGTTCTCAAAGTTCTCCTTCAAAACCTCCCAGACATGAGGTGGTTGCTCTATCCAGACTTGTAGTACAGGCTATGGGAATTGCAACATTTACACTCATGTAAAGTGCGTGCAATATGGTGCATTTACATGCAAAATACGTGCAAAAACGTGCATCAGGCAGGAGAGTAGATAGAATAATAAGGCAATAGCTGGTCCACACTAGATAAAAACCCTAAATTTATAATCTGCAAAACATGCTTGAAACAAGCTAGAGACTCTATTCTCGACGCGATTCTCAATAGCTTGTTCTCGATTCTGTATTCGCGCAGGAATCGAAAATCGCGAATCAAGTCGAGAATTGAGACTCGCAACGGACTGTCAACCTACTTTTGAACGGTACTGTACATATTATTTCCCACAAGGACATTGCAGAAAATGGCTAAGAAGTTGCAATAGGCTTTTCAAGTCATTCACACTATGCTAGCTGTAGATTGTTGACAAAAACAAACCGAAAAGTATCTCTGATTAATCAGGTAGCAATTTAAGAGAAAAGAAACTAATGTCAGTTTGAATGGCATGTGCCTGGATAATGATTTTTTGCAATGGCATCTGTGTCCGCAATCAAAAAAAGCAGTAAGATTGCTCATGTGCTCATTAGACTTTGTAACTCAACAGATGCTCTTTGACCTTTACTGACAAATGGATTGACATCTCACCAATGTACATTTAACTGGATTCAAATCCCACACTTCTAAATATTATTGATTTACAACCATGCATTTTAAAACGCCTGTTATAAGTAGTTCCTGTTCTCAAAAGGCAAAAAGACAACATTATTTTGATGTCTAAATCTCTGAGATGCAACTCCCATTACACAACCGACAGGTCACATAGCTAGGGTAAGGGACAGTCTGTTGACTGTCATATTCTCATTTGCACAAGCATGTTATGCTGCAAATACCAGTGCTTGGTTGACTGCCATAAGATTTTACACTCAATTAGAGATGCTTAGTCTGGGACTTACGTTAAAGGAGGCTATCTACATGTAAGTCACTGTCAAAAAACAAGCCTTATATGTGTGGGATTTAACTTGGTGAAGCTCACAACATTTTTCAGCCAGGGTCAAAGAGCATAAAAAAAACTTTATTTGAATGTCAGTGTATTTAGCACAAAAGTGCTAATTGGGACACTATATTTTTGTCTCTTACTGGAGACGGGACCTCCATTTTACATGGTCATTCGGGCCACACGAAGGTCTAGCCATTTGCAGGGTAAAGGCAGTACATTCATTTCTCAGTCATTTTAAGAACCTTAGTGTTGGTCTGGTCCTGGGAATCGAACCTGTGACCTCCTGCTCTGCAGTCAAATGCTCTACTGACTGAGCTAATCCTGCTCCATGTGGATAGCATCTGTTGACTGACAGAAATTCTCACATGCACAGGCATGTTCTCTCTTCTCCTGACTGCAGATTCAAATGTTCGGTTGACTGCCTGAAGATTTTAGACTCGGTAGAAATTCTCTTTTTGAATCTTAAGTACAGGGTTTGTACACAGTCTTGAATTCTTGAAAAAGTCTTGAAATTTGCCCAGCAATTTTCCAGACACGGAAAAAGTCTGGAAAATAGAGGTAAAGTCTTGAAAAAATAGTAAAAAGTCTAGATTTTTTTTTAAGCTACAGCAAGTGCTTAACAAGTGAAATGTTTTTTGTGCAGGTCAAATGTTATTAAATCTCGCCTGCCATTGTGGAAAAAGCTTTGTTCCTGCGTTTTTCTTTTTATTATTTTAAGGTCTCTATTGATCACCTATTTGATAACCTTGAGTCTGGAAAATGACATTTTGGAAAAAGTCTGGAGAAAGTCTTAAATTTTGGATCAAAAATCTGTATGAACCCTCTAAGTAAAAGCAGGATATAAAAAATTTTTAGAAAACAAGGCTTTACATGTGCAGGACATTGTGAAAGGTCACACCATTATTCCACCAGTCTCCAGTGTTTGCTGACAGAAACTCTCATGTGCACAAGCATCTGCAAATGCTCATCAGTTGTCTGCCTTGAGATAACAGACTATGGTAGAAATTCTTCTTTTTGGAGTCTAATGTAGAGGTTAAACAAGGATATCCACAATAAATATTAATGTGGACATAAATAGTTTGCACTCAGAATTAAAACGTGCAGTTGCCTCATGAGAGTAACATTATTTTTGTTTTCAGTGGTTTAATAAATTCTGGAATTGTGAAAATGTTGTGCACAGGCACACTTTATTTTGCCCAACGTTTTGTTGTTACTTTCGTAGAAAATAATGTAACTGTCATTGTACTGGTAATCAAATTTGAAGTTACTTCTTTGGATTGTAACTCTAATAAGCAGGAGAAAAAAAAGTCATTAAACTAAAAAAGTAAACTCATGATGGCACACGCCCTGCACAAATAATTATGTCTTTAAAAACTTGGATCATTTGTCTTTTTGTAATAATTTTTTTCATTCTTGTCGTCCTGCAGTGTTTATGTGGCATTTAATTTATTCTTGATGTTCATTATTCTAGAAAATGTCGTCATATGTATTTTCAATTGCTAAAAGAAAAAGAAAACGTGACTTGATGTTTATTGAGTATCTTTGCCATGTTTAAAAAATCAACAGATGAGATGTATATTCCTTCACCGTGTGACTTATGAATAATTTCTTGTAAAATAAGTCATATTTACTTTACTATTTTTTCTGGAATGTCTCAAAAAACAAATTTAGCAGAACCTCATGGAAAAATCTTGTTAAATTCTTATTTAACTTATTCAAAGAAATGCTATTTTGCATTTCTAATAACAATTTTATTATGATTATTCATCTTACAATGTCAATATTGCACTGAGTGCTGATGATGATTATTCTAGAACTGTTGTCACTGTGAATAAAAAACGTGGCTTGATGTTTCTTATATTGTCATCTTGAAGACTTGAAGTGGTTAACGTTAAAAAATTAATGCAGATTTGACAGTTCTTCAAACATACCTGCCCAGTATGAGTTATGAATAATTGCACATGTAATGAGTGGTATGATATTTTTTTCTGTAATGTTTAAACCAGCAGACTAAATTTGAACTGCAAAGATACACAGTGGAGATTTCATTTGGCTTACAACCTCTCTTCATGGTTCAGATTCAGGCTGCCTACAATAATTTTTAGCTGTTTATAACCTTAACCGAGAGCTTAATGTTATTTTCTCTGCTCTCATGATCATTTACCCAGTATGAGAGAAAAATTCCTGTGCAGGGTGTTCGGTTCACTTAGCAACCAGATGCATTTTTATCCCAATGCTAAATTTGTTACATCGACATTTACTGCTGAGTGCCAGCAATGAAAAGTGATTCTTTTAATTATTTATTGTTTGCTTTGTGGAGAAAGAGTTAGAATTTTTTTGCCATCTCCTGTTATTGAACAAAAGCTTTGAGATACGCAGTAAGGAAAATCACTTGATGCTGAACTCTTGGAGCATACTGTGACATATTGTGGTAGTCTGTGAAGATCCTTTAAAGGATAGCAAGAATAACGACGTGTTGGCCAAGTGCTCGGGGATCTTGTGGTCAGTGCAGTGGGATCCTGTGTCTGCCATGTCGTTAGTCAAGTGTGAGCTATCAAAGAATCCAGAGAATGAAGACCTATTTGATGACCATGATCCTGAAAAGCTTTTTACTGATTTACGGGAAATTGGTCGTGGCAATTTTGGCACAGTGTTCTATGCCAAAAATATCAAAACAGATGAGGTTGTAGCGATCAAGAAGATGTCCTACAATGGTAAGCAACCCAGGGAGAGATGGCAGGCTATTTTGAAGGAAGTTAAATTGCTGAAGCTCTGTAATCACAAGAATACTGTTAGCTGTAAAGGATGCCTTTTGAAAGAACACACGGCATGGCTTGTGATGGAATATTGTGTAGGATCAGCGTCAGATGTCTTAGAAGTTCTCAAGAAACCACTGAGGGAAGTTGAAATAGCTGCAATATGTCATGATGCTCTACAGGGACTTCGATATCTGCACAAGAGCGGAAGAATTCACAGAGATGTGAAAGCAAGAAATGTCCTCTTGACTGAGAATGGGGTAGTCAAGCTGGCGGACTTTGGCTCTGCAGCTCTGTTGGCTCGCGCCAAGTCTTTTGTTGGTACACCATACTGGATGGCACCTGAAGTCATCTTAGCTATGGGTGAAGGACAGTATGATGGCAAGGTAGATGTCTGGTCCTTAGGGATCACCTGTGTTGAACTAGCTGAGAGAGACCCTCCACTGTTTAACATGAATGCAATGAGTGCCCTTTACCATATTGCTCAGAATGATCCTCCAATGCTTTCTTCCCCAGAAAACTGGTCTTCTAGTTTTGTGGAATTTGTGCAGGAATGCTTGAGGAAGCAGCCTTCTGTCAGGCCTACAGCCGAAGATCTTCTGGAGCATGCATTTGTAGTGCAAACAAGACCAGCAGACATCCTTTACAACCTAGTTAAGAGAACCAAACAGGCTGTCAGAACCCTCGACGATCGGATGTACCGCAAGATGAAAAAGATGGTTATCAGTGATCCCATAGGTGAAGGAGAAGATATGGAGAAGTCTGGTGCTACAAAAGAAGGGGACAGTGTCAGTAAGAAAAAAGCAAGTGCACAGCTTCCTTTCAAGACTAAGAAGGCAAGAGTTGGTAGTGATGCAGACGTCACCAATAGCACAGAACAACAGCAAGTTGATTCAGAGAGTGCCCTGGGAACTTCACCCTTTATGGTGCCAGCCATACCGCTCCATAAAAAGAAAACAAAGAAATGTACTCCAATGCCAGGGAATTGATCCAGTATGTGCTTCAAAAACATTATTTTGAATTATGGGAAAGAACTGAAGAACTGCAGGGACTGACTCCAGGGGTCGCCTAGAAGGATGTCCATCTTAAAATTTGTTGAGAGAGTTGACTGTATGTGAGCTTTGCTGATAATTGTTGTTGGGTCATTGTTATAAGGACCTGTAAAAAAAGCAGCTTTCAAAACATGCTTGATCATGAAATAGAGGAAAATGTGTAATCTTTTTATTCATTACACTTTTTGCATTATTGAGTATGAGCACATGCTCTGGAATCGCAAAGGAGGTTATTAGACTTACTAGTAGAAGATTTAATTTTCAAAACTTCCACTGCAAATGTTACTTTGTAACTTGCATCATAATTCAGACCAGGGGAGACTTTTCAAACTCATCATTGGAAAAGCATGATGAGGAGGAAAATAGTGTTGTTCTTGTTTTTGGATTCTCATCACTAGGCCACTTGCATGGCTAACTAACAAATAACAACCAGAAAAGGCCATAGTCACTTGTTATTAGGGACATAATACTCTGAAAATGCCCATCAGAAGAACACCTGGGACCAGAAAATTGTACATTAACATTGTACCTAATGTTATGCATAATGTTCGAAATCACCAAAGTGATTGAATGAAACAGAAAGAAAGAAAAGCCAGATAAGTTCATTAAAGAGGTTTAGCCAAAGTGAGTCCAATTTCCTTAAATTATCCAGCATGTACAAGGCAAGTTGGAATGAGAATCTAGCACTTTATTTTAATTTCCTCAGGGCTGTATTCTAGGCACCCCTGTTTCTTTGCCATACTTTAATAACAATATTAGTCATAACCATAACAAAATTCTCAAATCTGATTGGCTATCGACTGTCCTGATTTCAAAACTGATAGGACAGTGTAAAAGGGCAGTACACATTATGCCTAAGTATAGGACAGTTGGTGCCATCAGGCGCTTAAACTTAAATGGCTTTTTTTCACTGCTAGCAAAACAACTCAGGGAATTTCTTGTGTTTTGATTGTCAAAAAAACCTAAAAGATCTCAAATTTTGTTATACAGTGTATTTATGATTAATTGGTAGCAGAGCATTGTATGGTCCAATTCGGTCTCTTGACAAAGGTGAGGAAACTGACTTAATAATCATGGACTTTTCGAAAGCTTTCGATTAGGTTCCGCACCAGCCCCTCCTAATGAAACTGCGCTACAATGGCATATGTGGTATTCTTAACACCTGGCTAACAGAATGGCTTATGTGTCGAAGCCAGACAGTTGTCGTTGATGGGTGCAACTCCCCGGAAGTGCCAGTTCTATCAGGAGTCCCCCAGGGGACAGTTCTCTGCCCCCTCTTGTTTCTCTCGTACATTAACGACCTAGGAGAAAATTGTACCTCTAGGATGCGTCTTTTCGCTGATGATACTTTGATTTACAGCACCATTGAGTCTTAAAATGATGCCGCCAAACTGCAGTCAGATCTAAAAGCACTTCAAGAATGGGCCCAGAAATGGCAAATGAAATTTAACCCCAGCAAATGCCATGTCTTAAGAATATTGAGGATGCAAAATCCTGCTGAGTCTAACTACATCCTTATGGGAAAAGTTTTAAATTCGGTCACTCACCACCCCTATCTAGGCGTAGAATTGTCTAGAAACCTCGATTGGGGCCAGCATGTAAATAACAAAGTCATGAAGGCCAATCGATCACTCAGATTTCTCTAGCGAAACCTGAGCAGTTGCCCCGAGGGAGTGAAAGAGGCAGCCTACAAAGCCCTTGTGAGGCCTCACATGGAATACGCCAGTTCAGTTTGGGACCCACGCTTAAAAAACACATCAAACAAATAGACGGAGTACAAAGAAGAGCCGCACACTTCGTTAAAAACTTTTACACTCGGGAACCAGGAACAGTTACAAACCTCTTGAACAATTAAACTGGATACCCCTGAAGGTATGAAGAACAATCTCGCTGTTAACCTTATTCCACAAAGCAATTCATGGTGATGGCGGCCTGGCCTTCCCAGACTATGTTATGAAGGAACTCTAGCCAAAACAAGTTTATTGAACCGCTGCCAAATACTGAGACATATAAGAATAGTTCTTTTTGTAGAACTGTCAAGGACTGGAATGAGTTACCAAGCAAAATTTTTAACATTAAGTCGGCAGATCGTTTCAAAAAAGTCTTACTTGAGTATTTTAGTCGATGATGAATTTTAATACTGCATATTTAATATTGATGCTGTGGAATTTTTTATCCGTTTTATCTTTTATAGAAAATTTTTAAACGTCAATACTTTAAATTTTCTTTCATTTTATTTAGGCATCTCGTGTAATGGTAACCCCGTTGCAAGACTACAAATTTTTGAATTAAGGTTGAATAAAGGTCTGTAATCATACTCATGATAATCAGACTCCTGCTTGTTAATCACTGGTATGATTACAGACCAAATTGGACCCCACTCAGTCCTGTTACCATCATTGATGATAATAATTAAGTAATAATACCCAGGAATTCAGAATTACTGTTATGTTTCGGATTCTTCAAACAGTTTCCATTGCCATTTCAAATTGTGACGATGAATTATAATTATGTTATATGTTATGTTATATTATATATAACTTGGAAATAGTGACTAAATACAGTGCATAATGTGGATGGAAATGGCGTAGTATGAAAACAAAATAATACTATACATAGCTTTAAACATACTTTAACAAAACTTTAACTAAAAATAACTATATAGATTATTATAGCACAAGTAGATAGTTAAAACTACCAATTACACCCACTAAATAACAAACAATCACAATGAAGACTTACAATAATAGGTTTTAAAAAATTTATCCAAACAGCCTATTGAAAACATAGACTGGACAACAAAGAATAAGAGAGATCATTATTTGCTTTGAAAGTTAACAAATAATTATGTTGCTTAACAAGTTGAACATTTGCAACTGAAAATTATGCTTATCTGTATTACTGTGAATATCATAACATGAGTGAACACCAGAAATATTTCTGGAATGTTATTGTGTTCAAGGAGGAAACCAATCAGGCGTGGATTTAAAAACTAAACCACAAGCAGCAAAGATAATTTTTTTGTGGTTTTGGGGTGTGCCTGCCCTGATCTTAGCTGTGATTGGTGACAAGACAGTAAACATTCCAGAAATATTTTAGATGTTCACTTTTTTTTGAGTTTGACAAGATTAAGAGTAATATTTAAAACCCTGTAAATTATGGATGCTGCTATTCAAAAATAAAACATGTGAAATGATATTGAGGAGGCTGCCATTGAAGTAACTAGTGATTGACAAAAGAATTGCCTCTGAAGGTTGATGGTATAGTTACTAGGCTACAGGTGTAATATCGTTACAGTGGGGGAGGGGGGATTGAAGTGATAGTCAATCAATCAATCAAATCAATCAATCATTTATTTTAACACGTTGCGTCAAAGAGCTAAAAAACTCGTTCAAAATACGAACGTGTATGAATAAAATCTATAATAATTACAACTATATAATATTATTCAATTTTAAAAACAACTCAATTAATAGATACATATAAAAGACTTGGTATTAAAAACATAAAATATAAACAGCTAAAACCAACTGAAAAGCCACATACTAGAAACGTGACTAGGAAAACATAATACTCATTCTAAAAACAGTTGAAAGCTACAATCGTGCACTATAAGACACGTTCTAAAAAGCTGCAGTCGTGCAATCTACTTCTGAAGTCATTCGCATCACTTGAAAGACGTACTTGACAAGGCAAACTGTATTTTAAACTGTAATTTATTGTGAATGCTAGATAAATATATGGGTGAGACACGAATAGGACATACAGCTAATTGTGTATTCTTAACCTGTTACACAGCTGTAAAGGTTAAATTTAATAATTTAAAGAGACTGTGTACTGTATTCCAGATATAAGTGGACCATATCAGTCAGTAAGTGAGGTTGATTTGGTTGATCTAGACGCTCATTTCAGGTGAATGACTAGTTCTGAATTTCAAGTTGTCAGTACCCAAGAATGAAAGATCCAGAAATTAGATAACCCAAATGGAAAATAAATATCCACCAATGCAGGTCTGTTTATTGCAGTCAAACCGACAAAACCGTGAACACTTGAAATATTTCAGGAATGTCTTTTCTGTTCTGACCTGAGTGACAGCGAAGATCAATGCTAGACATGTGAGCTAGCCACAAAACCACAAACTAACATAATGCTTGCGGTTTAGTTCTCTCACTCCTGTTTGGCTTATTTCATGCTACACAATAACATTCCAGAAATATTTCTTGTGTTCATGGTTTTGCTGGTTTGACAGTAATAACTTTAATAATATGCTCCGAGTATCAAAATTAGTTGGAAAAGAAAACTCTTGGTGTCTTACATGAGAGTTGCACTGTTAACCTTCCAGGGATAAGTTGAATACTACAACTAGCAAGCTTAAAAACATTGGTTCATCTTCCACCAGGGATACTTGAAAATGTTCTTTTCTTAATGGCTTATCTTGTGGAGTATATATTCACATACAAACAAGTTCCCAGCTGTGTTGCAAGATATTACAAATAAGCTGTAATAAGAAAAACCACAAAATAACAGTGATTCAACATGCAAATTGGCATGATCCAAATATCAGGAAGAAAAGTGCAAGACTACCATTTTACTCCACTGTTCATGTAAACAACTTATGCCCTCGTTATTTGATATAAAAAGTTAAAATTCTCTGCAGTAGTTACTTATCATGTCAGAAGGTGGCTTTTAACCTTTTTATAACTCCTATACCTAATTATGAAGAGAAGATTTTGTCACAGAAACTTTTAAAACTGTGGATGAAATGCTATGGTACTACCATTCAAATGAAACTCTTTTGGCTGATTTTTGCATGGAGCCTTTTATTTCTTAAGTTTTTACCAGAGAGAACTTTTGGTTAGCTCTCTCTCTCTGGCCTCTGTTAGGAGCAAGTGAAAGTAATGGTAGTAATGATGCTCAGCATTTTTCAGCAATTTTACTGTGATGGATCAATGCTACCACTCCTTTTCATCTCATACTACAATAATTATGTAATTCAATGGAATATTGAATGAATGAATAAAATCAATTTTCAATTCACTAGAAAATCAGTGTGTTAACAATGGGAAGTTTGACCTGCCTTGGCTGTTTTTGTTGATTTCCTGGGCATTCCTCTTATGTCATTATTGTAGAGTCAGCTGTAGTGTAGATCAATCAAATTAAGAGAGCTAAAAATAATACAATCCTTGCTAAGCCACTTTAGTTTACCATTAATTTGTTAGAAGTAGCTGGCCAAACCTGGCTTACGCCAGTCAAAAATTTTGTAGAAAGAGTGCCAACCAGGTTAAACAGAAAGATTTTGCCATCTAATTCTGACAGGTTAATATTGATCAACATGACTGCATTGGTGGATATATAGGTTTTTTTCCAGATACATATTTTTCCTTGGTGACAGGAAGAACTGATTTCCTCCAAGATTCCAGTGACACCGCACCCGATCTTTGTGGAACAAAACATTGAAGGCAGATGTGTAATTTTGTTTCTGTAAGAAATACTGACGCTTCCATTCAAAGAGCTGACAACTTTACATAGCTAGCTAAATTATAAGTGTTATTATTATTACTAATATTATTGTTATTTTATTATTATTATTATTATTATTATTATTATTATTATTATTATCCTCCCTTTTATATTTTTGCCATTATTCCCTCCTTTTCACAGTTTGAAAGTTCTGTCTAAAGGAGTCTATTGTATAGCAGTCCCCATATGTAGATGTTGAAAATAAATTATTACCGCTTGTCATCCAACTTGTTGAAGTTATCTGCTCTTTGAAAAGCTAAATCTGTTGTTGTCAGGTGATTCACACTTCAGAATTCAACTCTTAGTACCAAGTAATTCAAAACGGCCAAGATTGTCATGAGCAAGTTATCATTAATTTTATGTGACTTATTTGGGCTTTTAATTTTCTATTCCAGGAAAGCATCCAGTTTCTGCCCTGGCAGAATATTGCAGTAAAAGGAAGTGGCAGCTACCTGACTACTCCTTGATCTTTGACCATGGCCCAGCTCACCACAAGCAGTTCCTGTTTAAAGTATTGGTTAATGGTACAGAATATCAGCCAGCTGTGGTCTGCGGCAACAAAAAACAAGCTAAAGCACAAGCAGCAATCTTTGCTTTGAAAGGCTTGGGCCTTATTCCTGAAGATGCTGACATGTCTGCTGTTTAGTGGAACCCTTGATAGTCCTTTCCCACATTATGCTCTACCAGGAGCCCATAACCTTGAGTGAGCAACTTGACTGTGCCCATGCAACGGTGTTTTTACAGACCAGTTTATGTATAGATCAAATTTTTCGGCGAATTTTGACTATCAAATAAGCCTTACAATTCCAATGGCAAAAACCAGAGACTTGAAAATAGTTTTTCTAAGGTTTTGAAAACATTTTATACTTTCATCTTTTTGTCATTATCGTCCTATGGGTGTGCACTCATACAGGACAGTGCTTCCATTTTCGCAGGAAAAAGTGCTGCCAAATGGTGCTAAAAATAAACTGATCTGTGAAAATGCCATTGCATAGGCCAAGTATGGCAGTTGCACACACCGGGTTATGGGCTCCTGGCTCTACTGAACACACACCATGAAATGAGGTTGAGTCTTGGGTGGAAAAGTTTACTACAAATCACTGTATTTTGCCACCTCATCCTCAAGTCATAAGCAGAGTGTTTGTTCACTAGAATGAGGGAACAGTCTTTTAACCCTTCAACCCAGTCCCAAGAGTGACCCACATCAGTTTTCTCCTAACAACATCAATATTTAATCAAGACAAAAGGTAACAAGAATTTACGAAATGATCACCTGAGAAAATACTTTGATCATTATCATATTCGTATACTCAGTCTGAAGGATTGAATGTGAAAATCTCTGAAAATGATCACCTAAGTGAAATACTTGGAGCTTATCAAATTCTCCCAACTAATTCTTCAAGGAATGTATTGTGGTCAGTCTGGAGAATTTGTTTGTGGATATTAATGAAATGATCACTTAAGTGAAATACTTTGATCTGTTATCAAATTCTCTCAGCCAAGGAATGTACTGTGGTCACTCTGGAGAATTTGTATGTGAATATTGTAACTTGAAGGGTTAAGGACAGTAAAAAAAAGTTGCAACTGAATGAGGTCCTGGAAAAATGCCGTAAGTAACTTCTGCCATATTCTCCTTACATTTCTGGAGTGGCTTGGAAAATAAAAGAAAGAATAAAATTTCACAAGAGATCAAGGGTTCTTACCATTTCAAGTCTTGCATAAACATAAACTGTTAAATTTGACATGGTTGGAGAACGACTTGTAAAAATGATCCGAATCAGGTGAACAGACTTAAAAGAGTGGAAAAAATTCCATCGCCTCAAATCGCAGTCCATATTTTCTGAAACTTTGCAAATGGAATGGTGCAAACCATTAAATGATTAAATCAAACCATTAAAACAAATTTTGATTTTCCAGGCGGCAATTCCAGTTTTCCCATTTAAATGGTTAATACCCCAGAGTCATGTGGGGCTTTTCTCCCATGAACCCACTTGACTGTTATCGAATTGTACAAAGGAGCTTATAGGTATGCTGTAGTTTGGTACCAACCCTGACCAACCCTTATCTGGTTATTTGAAAGGTAGGCCAATTTAGAATGTGTTGTTGAATGTATAGGCATAGTGTGTGGAATAAAGTCTCAAGTAACTGTTCATGTCAAATTCTCCCTTCCAATTGGAAGATTCTGTCAGTTCATCAGTTACTTGGGGTGTTTTACAGGCATGCCTTCATTGTAGAATTTGATCCAGAGTTTTGTAAAAATGTCTTTAAATATTACACTATTGTTATAAAATTACATCTATCTTATTATAAACTGCAACAGTTGTGTTGATAAACTACTTCATGTTATGTTTTCTTGTGACGAGTCTGTGGTGCTCTGTGGAAGAATTTGTGGTTCTTGTTTTTTGGACAAATGTAAGTGTGTCTTGATATACTTCTGTATCGTAGAGTAAGGGAAATGTGAAAGTTTACGTCTTTCTATAGAGGTGCCTATAGTATGGAGATTATTTGCAAAGGGAGGTGAATTGCCCTTATTTGTATACTTCCTTGTTCTCTAACAATGTTGCTGAATTTATTGTCTGCTTAAATCCAATAAATGCAGTCAAAATTCAGTAATCCAGTGGTTTGTGTTATGGTAATTATTTTCTTTAATCAAGGTAATTGCCAATAGCGTTTATGCTAATCCGGCAATGGAGCGGCCAGCGGTCGCCCAAATACATGGTATGAAATTAAAATGAAGCATTTACATGGTATTGAATTACATGGTATATTGTAGTAGAGTAGTTGAATCAGGAAAATTGTTTAAGTTCGGATCCTGCTCAACAGGGTTTGTTTAGCCAATTGAAAAGCGAGGTACAATCAAGCACAATTAGTGAGTGGTAATATCCAGAATTTCCGACATACCCTCGAGCCATGTCGAGTCGCATGCTCCCTCAGTGAGATCACTGAGGGAGTATGCGACTCGAAGGGGTGTCGGAAATTCAGGCTAGTGTGGCAAGGGAAAAAAGAAATTTCTTAATACCCGTTTCGTTTCACGCTCATCTGTTTCCCTAGACTTGCACCATATAGGCTTCTTTTTATTAGCAACACGGAGGTAAAATAAATCAATAACACTGGGCAGGGCTGAGTTGCTCAAAGCATGGTTAGCTTTAACCATTGGTTAAGCAGTATCAAAACCAATACGTTGTCAAGGTATTAAACGCTGGTTAACGCTAACCATGCTTCGAGCAACTGGGCCCTGGAGTTTGTCAGTAGCCTCAAAGAGAGCGAAGCAAGATTTAATCAGGTCGCCTAGCGAGCGACGCGGTCGCGAGGGTATTCGTTCCAAACAAAACAAAACCGCTCGACATACGAAGAAATTTGTGAACATCTTTTCGCCCCATCTCCAGCCAGTGAAAAACAAATAGAAAATCTACCCCAAAATTATAACAAAGCAGTCACGGGGCTAGCAGACACACATTAGCTTCATGGACGTAACAAGGCTCTCGTTAGGCATCTGCCTTTCTTAGCTACTGAAAGGTAAGGAGAGGCACTGCCCTTGTTCTTTCTTCATTGATTTCATCCAAACTTTTGAAAAAAATATTGATGTATAGTTGGACGGAAGAACACTCTCCAGCTGAAAAAATAAAGATTTTTCTGGAGAAAAATTATGAAAAATTCTGAAAACTTCGTAACAGATCTCTAGATTTCAAATTTTTCTGCAGAGGTATGCCTCCTAGCCTCCAGACCCCTTTAGCGGTTCGGGCCTTGGACGATCGCAGATCCTGTTTCGTCCCTGGCTCTGTGCGGAGCGTGATACTGTGGGCGCTTTCCATTTAGTCAAAATTTCCGGAATTTCCGGTTCGGCGGTAAATGGAACACGTTTCGTCGGTTCGTCCCACTGGAAAATTCCCAGAAAAAGTGGAAAATCTAAAAAGGTGGTCCCGTTTTCCCGGTTGGAATTTCCGAACGGAATGTCGTGTTCCATTTACGTTTCTCGTAGTTTGTACCTGTTCCAGGTCCACGGTCGGGCACCACGCCACGTACCGGGGTTTACGACCAAATGGAACAACTTTTTACCAATCGGAAATTCCACTTTTGCTACCACCGAAATTTCCGGGTTTTTTTCGTAAATGGAAAGCGCCCTGTGTCGCCCAGAGCTGTCTAATGCGGAAGGAGCCTGGGAAAAGGTCAAAGGAACACGAGATAAAATGCTAGATTCTCATTCCAAACTGAACTCTTTAATTTTTTGGCTTTAAACAAAGGTGGAACCCTGAGAGTGGTTGAGTAGGAGGCTGTATTTTACGTCGGGAACTCGAATATTTAGTCATCCATGATTTGACCAACAGCCCCGAGGCCGATGATGCGCTCATCTTGCCAGGAAAGTTGAAAACTAATACTTTTTGCGCTTGCGTCGGCATTCGTTTTCACTTGTTTTAAGCTTGCCGGCTTGTATTTTAGCCTGCAAAAACATCCGTTTCTCCTCGCTCTTCGTCGCTGGGGACGTTTCGCGAGGAGGAACCTCCGCGCGAAACGTCCCCAGCGACGAAGAGCGAGGAGAAACGTGTGTTTTCGCAGGCTACTTGTATTTGTATCATTTGTATCTTTTTTACGCCATTCTATAAGTAATACATTTGTTACTTACATACGCACAATCCTAGAAATCATGTGACTATACAGGATGCTAAAACAGTCAGCGGCGAAATAGAAAAGGAGGCAAAAAAAAAAACTAAATTAAATTATTTACAACAAATAAATATTTACATTACATTGCAATATTGTCTTATGGATGGCAAAGCATTCGCTTGGAAGTCAGTAACAGACTTAGCATTATTAAAGAGCAGAATTGGGAAGGCCATTCCAAAGGGGGATAACAAGTGGGGAAAAGGAAAACTTATATGCATTGGTGCGAGCAAAGATATGTCTGAACTTACTTGTGAGGATGATTAGAGCGATTGCTTCTATGAGCTAAGGTGACAGATGCTGGAAATGTTAAGTGAGTCCAGTTATGCACAGCTTTATACATTATGGTAGCGGCGTTTCCTGCATGTCGACGGACTTCAAGAGTGTCCCAGCCCTGCGAATGCTGCATAAAAGTTACACTGGAAAACTGTGAATAATCTGAACAGACAAATCTTGTAGCGCAGCGTTGGACAGCCTCTAACGCTTTACAAAGCGTTCAGACAAAAACTACTTGTACAGGAAGTTGATAATTAAAAAGGAAATTACGAATGGAGACGGAACTAATTGTAGCTTAATAAAATTACATGTAACTTTTCTCTAGAGTAGCTCAGTTATTCACATGATTCCCGTATACCCCCAGACATAAATTATGCAATACACTGTATTCTTTAAAGAAAACAAAAGACAGAACAATACTAAGCCTCTGGGATTTCAGCCATCATTAATATTTTTAAAATAAAAATATATTTTTTCAAAGTATTTTTACACGGTCTAAATTTGGCCCTTTCTGTTCTAAAATAAGAACTTTTTGGAACAAGATTTGCAGTATTTCAGTCAATTTGAGGTCATGGTTTTGAATGAAAATTCAACGTCCGATTCTTTTTTCTTCATGTTGGTGGTAGTAGAGGGAGGGGTCGTGAGGGGTGTTTTGCTCACTGCGTAACGATATTAGCCAATCAGAACAGTCCAACGAAAAACATAACAGGAATTACTGCAAATCCCACAAGAGCCAGTCTAATTAAACGTTTTAGCCAACAGTGTTTTGGTGTACATGAGTACATGTATTAATCGCTTTTTTTATTTTCGACGTGATAGTGGCTCGTTCAGGTTATCTCAGACACGACTATTTAAACTTACAATCTTCGGAAGTCGTAGTGGGAAGTCATCAATTTGACCCAATATCCGTTTTCTTTGTCAATTTTTTTTCATACTTTATGGGGCTCCGGGGGATTCCGACCTCTCAAGTGGGTGTTCCTGGTTGTACAGACACCTTCGCATCACTAGTAAGCTTTGGGCACTTAAAAAGAACAATTGGCTGTTGTGCGTTTTTTTTATTATCATTGCTGATGCTGTGGTGAGCGTTTAAGCTTCCCAGTGTTTAAAGAGAAAAAATAACGATAATACAACAATGAACACCGAAAACTGAGTTCTAATTTCTACCAGGATGACTACACACAGCTACATAATAAGCATTACAAATAAACTACCACCAGAGAATGTTATATCTGCTAGCCTGTGGGCAGGCTCAATTACGTGAGTTTGGGGAAAATTTTAGTCGCACTCCAGCAGGGCTGCCATTGTGGAAGGAAAGCGATTTTTCCTGCATGATGGAAGCTTCGCCACCAACATTTTCCTCAAACTCGCACCAGTGAGCCTGCCTGTGGGCTAATCATCTGCTGGACCAAGCAATGTGACCTGTGATCAGGCTACCTTCCTCACATTATCTTACATTTCTATGCTAACACATTTTATTTCATTTCACCTGCCAGAATTTTATTTACCAAGTTCATAAACTGAAACCTAGAACCTGAATATTTAGGCCTTCCTAAAGAGTCTATAGGCATGAGATTTCCCTTTTCCCTAAAAACCTGATCTCAGGTTAAAACACTAGTGAAGAGTTTGATAGACATAAAACCTCCACTATGACTGAACAATTCCTGCAGCAGCTACGATGAGACTTAGTACATGCAAAGCTAGACACTTGCACAACGCATTGAGCTCAAATTTTGTCAACACCGCAATCATATTTTTCTTCCTTAAACTCTTTAAAGAAGTGGCTATTTTAATTTGCCTATAATACTGCACTCACATTTCTTCCTTAAACTCTTTAAAGAAGTGTCCATTTTAACTGGTCTGCCTTTTGGTTTAGGCTTAAGTGAGAAACCACAGTCACCTCGCACCTCTATGAAACCTCAAACCTTATTGGACTACTCTATCTCAGAGCTCTTTTGTTTTAGGGATAGACTCCATTCTTAACTTGCTCATTTACTGTTTTCCCAACCGATATGATCCTCTGAGGCCTTACAGCAGATACGAGGTGCCTTGGAAATTGGAAACATTGAAAAATATTAAACTAACATAAAGACTTAACTCTTCAGTTACACTTGTCCATTCAAGCACTCTGTTACTAAAACAAATTCTGGAAATTTACACTATAATCTAACATTAATGCCATTAAGGAAAAACAAAATTTGCGCCAAAACCTGTGTAAAATACGAATAAAAAAATGATATATTATTAATATTATTTCACAGTACCTTAGACTCAATGTTCAAACTGTTTTAGTTTTCATTCTCCATCACTCCCCACTAAATTTTCTTGGAAGTGTAGAGTATTGCAAGCACACAAAACAGCTGAAAAGTGACTTAACAACACCTTGAACTTTTCAGATAAATACTTCCACCGACAAATAATATTTTTCAAAACATTTTGCAAAAAAGTGTTAGGTACAAACTACATTAATGAATTTCTTAAAGGACCTTTGTTTCTCACAACTATAGGGCCAGCTGGCATTCTTCAAGACAAGAAAAAACTGAATACACCTGACTATACTTGAGTGAGCCAAGTACTGTCATAACAGCTTAATTGCCCATGTATTAGAGACTCATTTATAACTTAATTCTTATATTGTTAACCTGACGCCATGGAAACATAGAATTGTAAAACACACTTGTCAGTAAATTTTGTCTATACATGTAATAAGAACCCTAATTATAGTTAGTTTCTCAAAGTTGTTTTAGGTAAAGTCTTCTAAACTGACTTCGCCATTCTTCAAGCCAAGGTGATGATAACACTATCGTCAATACTAATAGAAAATGCATAGTCCATGCTGTACAATAATAGAATTTATGATACATTGTACTCATTAACTGTCCTCTCATAGGCTAAGAGCCTACAGCGAATTTTGGAAATCAGTGCAACTTACAGATTAGTTAGTTATCTTCTCGCAGATAATTGACTAATCTGTAGGTTGTGCTTGCAATGCATGATTTCCACTAACGATATCAATTCAGGTTCCTTGCGATGGTGTGTTTGTCATTATTTTCTTCAAAACAAGGTATAATAAAACAATTATTAGATTCGGTTTTTGTGATATCCTAAATAATCAAGGTCTCAGTAAGTGTTATCAGCCTCAGCCTTCGGCTTCGGCTGATAACACTTACCTCAACCTTGATCATTATGGATATCACAAAAACCTCATCCCATAATTGTTCAAAATTATTCACCATACAAGAATACCAGTAACTTGATATGATTTTCTGAAATAGTCCACTTTCCTTCCTATCACCCTTGTATTTTATACTTTATATAAAATGGCAAATTAAAATGAAGAGAGCTAATATTAAAAATATTGTTCATTGTAATATTCTTAATTAACTGCTACATTAATTACAACACTTTCTAGATTCCTGTTGTTCAAGTAAATCTTCAGCTGACACAGCATGTCCAATGCCCAGAACATCAGTAGGTCGCATCGGCAGGGCTTTAATTCCATCCCAGCCATCCCTCAGCCCTAAGTCACCTCTCTCCATTCGTTTGTAAACTTCTTCAGTGACACTAATAAAGGCTTCTTCAATATTACATAACACCTTAGCAGATGTCTCTATGAACATCATATTGTTTGCCTCAGCAAAGCGTTCTCCTTCCTCAGTGGAAACAACCCTTCTTGACTCTTTGTCAATCTTGTGACCGACCAACATGAATACAACGTCCTGTTCTTCGACACACTGCCTTGCCTCCCTAAGCCAGTCTTTGACATGGAGAAAAGACTCTCTGCTAGTAATGTCATAAACTATTAAACATCCAACCGTATTTCTGTAGTAAGAGTATGTGATAGAGCGGAATCTCTCCTGTCCTGCAGTGTCCCAGATCTGCAGTTTTATTCTCACATCTGCTATTGAAAACACACAAATAATTAAATAGCTTAAAATGTTCCTTAGAATTAAAACCCTTTGCTGGTTGAAAATACCTGGCTGGTTAATAATCTAAAAAAGGTTTAGTAAAACACTGAGAGCAAGTACATTAATCTTGATAAAACACTTGCTCTGAATGTTTTGAACGGTTTGAAAAGTTTGTCCCTGGAGTACTTCATTTGGTTGATGTCTTGTCCTTTACAAGCATGTTTTATTAAAAGTTCAGAATAGAATAAAAGAAAATAAGAAATGTTGGTGAACTTAAGTTATTCAAACAAAAAGTGACACAGAGGTGCACAGTTGTAAGTGTCTACATTATTTTTGTTTACTAATTATCTCCCCAAAAATCATTTTGCATTTACAGTAACAACGATCATTATTATAATATTTCACTTTTAGTTTTAATATTGAGCAGAAAGTCTCACAAGCCTTTATAGGATTGGTATAAGATTCTCAAGGAAAGCCCCCTGACAATAACTATAATCCACCAATTTTAATGCTCTGGAGTGTCCATCCTGCATATTTCCAGTCCAGGAGGCAATAATCATTACTTTCAGCATATTCCATGCCAAGGTGGAGTTGGTCATCTCTGAGAGAAGGGAGCTGTCAGGGGGCTTCAGACCACTGGCAAATTAATTCACGCATTCAGTTGGACAATAAAAGCTTACTTACAGAATATTGATAAGTTTGTAAGGTATCAGTATTATTCTCTACTTAAGCCCCGTAAAAACACCTATATGCAGTAATTGCTCCAATACTGCGAAATTCTCGAGAGATCTATTGTGAAAAAGCACCCTGCCCGGACACTTATGAGATTCATCACGTCTCTAACAGTAGGAGTTACCAAAACTGACTACAAAAGAATCTTTAACTCCAAGTTCAAGTAAATTGTATTTGCATAATCTTTAAATACAGTATGACACGCATAAATATAGGCTTAAGCTTAACCAAGCCTGTATCAACACAAAAATTCCAAAATAGGCTTCAGAGTTTTCAGCAACTGGGAAGATTCTAGGAAGTACTGTAATTGTGGAAATCCGTAAAATATTTTAAGGAAAATATCGCAGTTACAATATCAGAAGGTACAAAAGTAGCCAAGAGCTATTTTTACATCATCATAAAAGTGCCCACTATGTTTACAAACTCACCTGATAGCATTACAACTCTGACATGGAAATCTACCCCGACAGTTGGGTCAGAATTTTCTATGAATTGTCCCTCTGTGAACTGGCGTAAGAGAGATGATTTCCCCACAGTACTGTCTCCGATTAAAATAATTCTGAACTGGTAAAAATATTTTGGCTTAAATCGGGCCTTATCTGCACTTTTATGTCGATTCTGCATCGCCATCATGTTCCAAGTACTTGAATCTTTAATAAGACTTACAAAATAACGTAAACGACCGTAAACATAATTTTTTGCAGATCAAGCTAAACTACGAAGTCGCCAGCTTATTCCCTCCGAAGTGCAGTTCTGCAACAAAAGAATATTAATTGTATCATTCACAGAAACAATGTCTTCTTTGCATATTCCACAATAATGTACAGTTAAGCTTACTTGCAGCTGAATATGTCTAATTTCTGTACGAAAAATAACCCAACACAAGCCGCCTGATTTTAGAGCTCGATCAGCGTTCAATGCTGTTACATATTGTGGCTGATTAGGCAAGTAAAATGATATTCGAAAAGAAACAGAAAGTGCCTTGCGTAAAAATAAACTTAAAAGTTATCATGCAACGGTTAAAGTAACAATACCATGCCTTACCTCAAAGAATTCAAACGAACAAGAGTTTTTCGCTGAAACGAACTCTTCCGCGCGCTGTATGAGGTTTCAGAGCCAAAACAACCTTCGTATTCAGTAAAGACAAATTTGGTCATTATGGCCATGTATGGAATTGGCCAATTTCCAAGATGGCCGATGAACTGGTTGAACATGCTACAAGTCGTTTTCCGTTTTGTGCGGGAATTTTCAACCGGTAAGAACTGTTCTTAGTAATAGATAAGTTAATAGTACCTAGTAACCGACCTTTATGCTCAATAAAATTTGAAACTGGGTTATTTGTGTGACCAAAGGATCAATAGTAATTAACCTTACATAACTTCAAGTCATCACAAAAACTGAGCTGACTTGAGCTTAAACTTAGCAGTGAGGCAGTGTGTAATTTGGTCTTATTTATTAAGCCAAAGCTTGAACATTGTATCAAAAGAGAATAAATTATGTATCACAAATAAATAAGTAAAAGATATAAATGGAAATGATAAATGCTTTAATGGTAGCACATTCATAGAGTGAAATCGGAAAATTATGTTAGTTTTCGTGCAACTGGGAGAACTGTGAGGTACCTGGTGAAAATTAAACCTCTTGGAGCAAGATTCACCTAGTGAATTAACTTAAGACCCTGCAAAATGACATCAGGTGAATTAACTTTCAGGTATTAATAATCACAATTCTATATCAATAAATTGTATTTTTTATAACTTTCAGGAAATTCCTTGTTATCCTTGCCCTTGGTCAGCTTCTTTCTTGGTTTGTCTGTGGAACTGGTGTATTCAGTCAGCTGTTGGTCACTAATTATGGCATTGAGATTCCAACAACACAAAGTTTTCTAAATTATTTATTATTGGGACTCATTTACACAACAGCGCTAGCTTGTAATCCAAATGATTTTAAAGGGAAACTCAAAGAAAGAGGATTGAAATACTTTTTTTTAGCACTTTTTGATGTTGAAGCCAATTATCTGGTAGTGAAAGCTTATCAGTACACAAACCTTACAAGCATCCAGGTGAGTGCAGATATTTAATCGAAAGTGAGCGGAAACGTCTTTTGAATGAGAGATGAAAACTGCAAGACTGTAAACAAACAAACGAACAAAAACTGAAATGAGGAAACTGCATGCATTTTGTAAATATCAGATGCGAAAACTGAAAAACCAGCGACTTCAAAAAATAGAAATGAGAAATTTTGCTCACACTCTCAAAAGAGCTTACCCAAATTTTTGTAACTGTTTAACCTTATAGAAAAATGTTAACTTTTCATGAAAAAACAAAACTGGAAACAGAAGCAAATATAGAAGGTCCTGAAAAAATAAACCTTCGCATATAAAAACTGACAGCTGCTTGCAACTAGAAAACTGATCAAAAAAGTCCCAAATGATAAAATCGGACGCCTCTGAGTAATCCTGTTAACATCTTTGCTCAGTAGCCTCTTTAATTTGGGGTTTCTGAGACCATTACCCTCTTCCAGCCATCAGAATCTCACACTTGGTTAATATGGATTTATTTTATTTTAAATATGGATAATCCGACAGATGACAGTCATCTATGGGTAAAGCTTAGTTCTTCAATAACTAGCGACAGCATTCTGCCGTGCAGCATTTAGCTTAGTGAGAGTTAGAAAGCTCTGGCTGACCTGTTTATCTTTAGTGTGTTACATGATTCTTGGGTGGATTGTTCTGTGGTTCAGTTGAACCCCCTAAGGTGAAACTGACAACATCTTAAAAGTGCAGTCACAACAAAAACTTCCATCAGTGGTAAAAAAAACTAAATGACACAAAAATTCACTTGACGTTCAGCGATCAAAAAAGTTCAATTTCGCCTTCAGCATGCTAGCTAGTACTAAAATGTTAAAATTTTTAGTTGAACATGCCTAAACAACCTCGCCATTGGGGTTCTCTCCTATACTTGTGTTGTCTCTATTCTCTTCGCTGGCGGACAAGAAGGAGACATCCCGTGGGAATGATGTTGTACACCTGAAGGCCTCCTTCCAATAATCATTTATTTGAACCCCTTCAAAAATAATCCTGGACCCATTCCAGATGATTTAGGCTCTGATTTAAAAGGGGTTCTTTCTTGCTAAATTCAAAATATTTAATTTCTTTTAATAGTAGACTTAATCAGATTGCTGTGTTGTGGTTTACTTACATGTATTCTAAAATGAACTATTACAATACAGGTTCTGGACTGCTTTACAACAGCATCTGTTTTAGTTCTTTCTTGGATCTTCCTCAAAGTTCGCTATCAGTGTGTCCATTACTCTGGTGTTGTTATATGCTTGGTTGGCATCATCTGTTTAGTGATAGCAGACTATTATGGTTCTCGATATTACGGAGCAGGTGGGACAGTTTATAGGGGACATTTTGTTGACTTTCTTAGAGAAATTGCATATTAATTTTTGATGCAAAAATAAATATACAGCTGTTTCAAGAAAGGTTGTTGGAAAAAGTGAACGCGACAATCCTGAAGGGTATTGTGGGTGGTTTTGAGCTCACTGTTTTTCAAAGAAATTTGAAAGAATGGCTCGAGAGGCCATGGAAATATGTTTGCAAGTGTTAAAGGAAAGCAACAAAAGTAGGTTCGACGACGACAGTGTCAGGAACAGTGTATCTGTCACATCCTATATTACCTTTCGGGATTGTTCCATGTACATTTTTTTTCTGACAACCTTCTCGAAGTAGCTGTATATTTAATGTGACCTGTCTGCATGATTTGTTTAAGATTTACCGGGAATCAAAAGAAAAAGTTTCAACAGCTTTAAGTTATGAGTTCACTTTACTTTTCTCTCTTACCGAGTTAGGGGATGATGGTTTATTAAGGTAGGGCTTTCTTTGGGTGAGGGCTGTCATGAGTAACAATTAAGCAGCCAGCCTTTCTCTCCCATTACTGCAGTACAATCAGCCAGCTTCTCTAAGTATGAAAGTGAGTCAACTATAACATGTGGGAAGAATGATGATCCGGTACTTTCCCTGAGAGACAAGCTACTTAAAACTCTAATGACAGTCCTCTCCGTCATTATGAATGAAAACTAGACAAGCACTAATGTTATGCTCTAGGATGAAGTATGGGCACATGATTCTTGTTTAATGTTTCATCCGTTATATGCATTTTTATCACTGTTAACCAACTGCATTGCTTTGTGGAGGTGAGTGCTTGAATTTGTGCGGCAGCTCCTACTTTTTGGCATAGCCAAACCCAAGACAGAGTTGCCCCTATGGCTGATAAATCTGCAACTCCAAGCCATGAGCCCCCACACCAACAGAACCAGGCACCCATCACCCAGACTAGAAAGGAAGAAGGGTAAGGGTAAACACAAGATCCAAAGTCTCCTGGAAACCCATTAGTGGCCACAAAATCCTGTACCCTGGTGGGAGCTGTGCCTGCCCCAAAAATCTGACCTCTCACCAACAACACAAGATGGCTTTGCTTGATGTTAAAATTTATGTTCATTTCACTGCATTATATTACCAAGCATTTGATTTTTCCTTGATTTTGCAGGCAAAAATCAAGTAGTCGGGGACATCCTGGTCTTGTGTGGTTCTATAATGTATGGAGTTTCCAATGTTGCTCAAGAGTTTGTTGTCAAGAATTTTAGCAGAGCAGAATTCCTTGGAATGATTGGTTTCTTTGGGAGCTTTATCTCGGCCATTCAAATGTATGTTTTTCGCTCTGTTTATATCCACTCATATGTTCCCTTGTAATAAGACTTTGCAGATTGTAAATGTCCCACAACCTAATTACATGTATTGTAATCATAAATTTCTCTGCATGTGGTTGTATCTTGGCAGTAGATCCAGAAGCCCGAGCTACATGTATGTTCAGCTTCTTTACCCCAATATATTTTGTGCCAAATTTGCCATGCATAAAAAAAAACATGGGAATCTGAAGTGGACACTTGAGTATCTTAAACCTAATGAGTTGTATAATGTGGAATTTATAGAAAAAGTTCTCACGATTTTCATGTCTTACTTGCAAGTGGTTTGGTGTATGATGCTGTTAAAACATGCAAAATGAAACCTTAGAGTTCATTTTTTCAGCAGTTTACATTGTTATGCACCCAAGTTATCCTACTCTATGACCCTACTGTAATACACAAAGTAATATTTGGCACACCTTAATTTGGTTCACACCTCTAACTATTTATGTGCCCAAAAAAATACATAAATTATTAAATAAAATATTTGGTCCTTTTGCCATTCTTGTCCTCACTGTATTGAGGGTTTAAATTTGACTATTAATTTTAACATCTGATTCTACAAGGATTAATTTAAGTTAGCATGAAAATTAAAAAGTTGACCAAAAAGCTATCGTTTTTTATCATAGGATCATTCTTGAGAGGAGTCAACTTTTAGCAATAGAATGGAACTACAAAATTGGTTTGTGGAAATTTGGAATTTTCTATTACCGGTATATGTTATTATTGTAATAGAAGGTTATTGCAATTTGAATCTAACATTTCGATTATTATCATCATTTTTGCTATTATTATTATTATTATTATTATTATTATTAAGCAGTACTATTTAAGTAGTAACTTTTTTTCAGTTTGAATTATTATTTTGATGCTTTTTATGATTGTTATTAGTAGTCTTTAGATAGTCATTTTACGACAATTCTCTTTCGTACACAAGAAGAATGTACATAGGGTATATATTTTAATATTTCATATTCTTGAATCTGGAAATAGTCTATTTTTTAAATCTATGAATAAAGTTTTGTTTTATTATTATTATTAAAAAAAAAATTGTTATTATTATTATTATTATTATTAAATGATTATAAATTCTTAATCTGCTATAAATATGCTTGACTGACCAAGCATAAAGTCAAGATGATTGAATATTGGCCCTTTTTTTCATGGACCATGACTTTGTCCCTGTCCAAAAAAAAAACAGTCAAGAGAAAGAATGATGGCAGTTAAAAACGTTTTGTGTGGAAACAAAGAAAGTAATCCTGAGTTCAGTTTAGCCAATCAGAATACAGTATTTGCTTCATTTTGTCTGCTCATACAGCCAGCCCATAATTATCATTATTTCGTTTTCACATGTATTGTACAGTATATTGATACTACTCTCTCTTTCGTTTTCAGCATTATACATTGTTGGGTTTGCTATTTGTCTGTTTCTACTATACAACCTGATGCCAATTGCCATGCAGTTTAGCAGTGCAACAGTTGTAAACTTGTCATTACTTACAGCAGACTTTTACAGCTTACTTTGTGGTATATTTTTATTCCATTATAAGGTTAGTTTTTTTGCATGTAAATTCAGTCTCTTAGTAAGATTTTACACTGTTAAAGGTAAAATACTTTTTGTGACAAAATTAGAAAAGCAATGGGTAATACACAGTGCATAAAAATAAGAAAATTGCAGGTAAAATTAATCCACTTTCTACCACCCGTAAAGCTTAGTATGGCTACATGTATGGTTGCGGCACATTTAGAATGCACCCTTGCAAAATAGAAATGTCGATTTTTAGAGCACAAAGCAAAAGACTGAGGAAGTCACTTAGCTAGCATTGGCAACATGTAACACCATAGACGTGAGTTTATAAATTGCGTTAACTTTCTGTCCAAATGGGCTGTTACTTGCCAACAGTTAATTTAAGGCTGCAATCCCAATTTGTCACTAGCCAAAGAGCTATTTTTTTGGCGTAAGGTTGAAAAACTGGGCCGGCATGAGGAACAAGGGAAGAGGAAGTTGTAGCGAGCACACTTTCTTGAGAGAAACCTAAATCAAAATTGCCATGGAGTGATATTGTTATATTATATTAAACTTAATCTGAGTGACAATGTATTTATCTCGAAAGTGCCAATTGAGGACACTATTAGTACGTCTCTAGACTACAAGTAGTCCCCCATTTTTCCTCGGGGATGGTAGAGAGAGCGAAACGCGAGCGCGCGTGAAAATCACCCCACGCGAGAAAAGGCGAGACGCGGCGGGGAGAGAGAAAAATGAGCCTTTTCTCGCGTGGGGTGATTTTCACGCGCACTCGCGTTTCGCTCGCTCTACTATCCCTAAGGAAAAATGGGGGACTACTCGTAGTATAGTACGTCTCCTACTGAAGACGAGACCGCCATAGTCACGTGGTCATCCGAGTCACGCGAAAGTCTAGCCATTTGCAGGGAAAAGGCAGTAACTTTATTTCTCAGTTATTTTAAGACCCTGAGTATAGGTCCGGCCCTGGGGATCGAACCCACGAATTGCGGTCGTTTCGTCCGAAAGTTGATTCGCCCGAAGGCGTTCGCGAGGACTGAAGTCGATTCGCCCGATGACATGCAACACTCTACAACATGGTGAACCCTACTTCTCCGAGATGTTATTTTAGTTAACCTTGGATTCCACATGTGCAGTCACTGTCTTCCCATGCTTGTTCCTTTTTCTCAGGCTTTAAGAACGATAAATACACATCGGGTGAATCGACTTGGTCTGGACGAACCGCCATTCGGCGAATCAACCCTCGGGTGAAACGACCCGATACCGAACTCACGACCTCCCGCATTGCAGTCCTCCCCTCTACTGACCGACTGTCGCAGTTTAATGTTCTTATTGTTATTTACGTAAATGTTTCTTTCAGTTCTCTGCTCTCTACCTTGGATCCCTAACATTTATAATAATTGGACTGATTGTGTACAATCTCAAACCAACGCCCAGGCGCGCTGACCCTCCTGTTACACAGACTTCACTTTCTTACAGACGACTTGAGGAAGACTCTGAGGAAAGCAATGGTGACTCATTTTTATCATCATGTCATGATCCTGTACCATCTCTCTGCTGCCAAGAGTTAAGAAATGTCAGTGAATAAATACTGGTTTTTATATACATGCTAAATGCTTAGGACATACATGTAGGGTGATTTCCATTCCGCCACACCGACTGGTCAGAAACACTGGAACTAACCAAGAGAACTTTTCGGCTGATGCAAAGTTTCCAACCGCACTGAAGCGTTCCATGTACGTTTCGACTGAAATCTTGATTACTAATCGGCGAAATGGAAACGAAATTTTTTGAAATGGAACGGCAAGTTTAGGTCGAACCATACCGTCCGGTCAGAAGGATCTCAACTGAAGACGGGCTACTCTTCCCTGGACCAAAGCGTTCTATTTATATTTCGACCGAAATTATGTTTCATTATCTTATTGTTATTGTTTTTTCTTTGTAATTACTGCATGTTATTTTGAGCGTGAAAAATGTTGACAACTGAACATTTAGTTTGGAAATTGGGGGTATCTGTTACAGGTCAAAATTATATTCAGAAAATTTTGACTCAATGGAATGCACCCGTAGTCTGCGGAGTGGCAATGCCATTTTTCACCATGTGTCCTATTTTTTGGGACTTCTACACAGTCTTTTTGATTTCTTAAGCACAAAGAATTTTGCTTTTGAAACGGATCCCAGTGCAAAGCCTCTTGTGAAAATCAGTTTTATTTACATGAGAATGAAAAGTCATTTTCTTATCATCGGCTTCGAAATTAGCCTCGCTTTGAAACAGAGGCTTGAGAGGCTATTTGCTTTGGCGTATAACAATGCTGCCAGTTTTAGTTGTTAACCAACATCACTCTTTGAAGAAGGGGTCCTTTCTACCAAGGACAAACCTAAAAAATTTTTGCAAAGTGTAATTCATTTGATAAAGAAGTTCTCCCAAAGATATTTGATAACAATGATTTCGCTAACTCTTGTTGTTGAAGACATAGAGCAAAACTGACGACAGCAGACTAAACAAAAACTGATAAGTTTGACAAACAATACAGCGACAGGCATAATTACGAACACGGATCGAAACGCACGACTTTTTTTAAACTTTAGAGACTTCACTGCCGATAACATCCAATGCGTGCAGGAAAAAGGCTGCCTAGGGGGTTTAAGGAAACAGTCGCGTTGAATTTAGCTTCTGATGGAGGGAGATCGATTTAACAATACCAAGGTTTTGTTGTCTGTAAAGTATTTTTAGGAATCATGATTACAAGATTATTTTTAATGTAGTTATTCAATTTAGAATATTGTTTATTTATTTCAAGAGATTTTTAATAAATTGTTTTTACTTTATTTCGTTTCTCTTAATGATTGCTCAACAGTTTTAAAATGGAGATCTTGCAGCTCGCAGGCTACATCGGCTCCGTTTCTAAAGCGCATGCCCTGAATCCTTTCAGGGACTCGATCTCTCTTTTTTTTTCTGTCCCACCTTCGTGACGTTACCTCCGAACAATCAATATTCCGCGGGACAATAACCAGCGCATATAATTACTTCCGCTTCGGTACGGCAAAAATCTAGCTGCTCAGCTTTTTAAGGCTCAGTTGTCAAATACCCCTAAGTCACCCTAGAATTTCTCTCCCATTAACCAGGGAAAACCGCATGTTAATTGTGCATAAACAAAAAGCGACATCAGTAATTCCTTTGCTACGATATTTTTAGATTCGTCTTTTATATGACTACCGCCCCCGCCTTCATTACCGCGACTTGGTTTCCGACAGTCGAATATACTGGGTATAACGAGTCAGAGGGCCAAAATAGCATTGACCGGTTACTAATAAACGATTCATACTGACCTTTGTTTTCTTTGACATCTCCGTCGAAGAGGACGGAACAAAAAGTTTACTTTCGTTTTATGAGGTAGAGAGACATTTTCGACTAATCGGCGCTTTGTGGTTTCTTTTTCTACATGGTCACTTGTTTGTCGCCTTAATAAATACCAATTTAGAACATGAACTGTTTTTAAATCCAAAATCCTTCAGTTCTTGAATAATTTTAATCAGAAAGGTGTTGAAGTCCAAACACTAATCACAATAAGAAAATTTTCACAGTTTGAAGAAAACGAAATAACACGACACTCATTTTAGAATAATAGCTTCAGAAAGGTAAACGTTTGAAACACCTGGAAAACTGGTCGAGAATGAGTTGTTGTAAGCTACATACACTGTGAAAAGGAGATCTGAATTACAAAAAGTTAAACCAGCAAAACTAAACTTAACCTTTATTGTTTTCTCGCTTTTTTCCAAACACGAAATTAAAAACTCGCGAATTGAGGAGTTTTTTTTGCACGTATGTGCTACTGTAACAGTTGTAGAATGCGGCTGAGTTTGATATGAAGAATTATCTGCATAGTTCTTCATACATTATATCAATGATGTTTATTTAGTGAAGTTTATTATGAGCTTGATTTTTGTTCTTTGATATGATGAGAATTACACTCGAATTGGTCCAGTGTGAGATTGAACCAAACTCCGATGGGAAACCATTACTGGCCGCCACTGCCGCAAACCACAAATCGTCCTGACTTGACAATTTGGGCGATCTCTACAAGCCCCCTCAGCGGAACTGACATGCAGATTGAAAAACCGTTAATTTGCCGCCAACAAGCAGAACTAGGCTATGCGTCATTTTTATTCTCTATTCAATATTTACCTACTATCTTTTTGAACAATTCTTTGTCACTTTTCATTCTAAAGTTCCAATATTTACTTACTATTTCGAGAAAGGTTTTCGGAAAATTTGCTTACGACGACGTTGGATATGATCAAAATGTTCCAGACAGTCATTCAAAACAGACGTATAGAGAACGTTGCAAACATACGTCGATGGCTTCTAATGCAATTCTTTCAAATTTCTTTGAGGAACATCGAACTCAAAACCATCCACAATACCTTTCGGGATTGTCGCGTGCACTTTTTCCGTCAACCTGTCTCGAAATATATTTATAGAGCATATAATTAAGTTGTGAATTTTCTATCTTTTTTACACACAGAAGAAATCATTAGGCCGCACTTCATTACGCTGAGGACAAAATATACGTTAGGTTCTTGGTATCGCGGAGGTGCGATCACCATGGCACACTCAAAGATCCGGCTCGGCTGCAGTTGTTAAGCATAAGCTCTTCGGAAATAATGTATAGCCTAGCATAAGAGGGTTTGTTAGATAGTGCGATTATCTTTTACGTGTTGAATCTTTCTCCTGTTGTCTAAGTATACGAAAATTTTATTTTTTCACTGACTTTCATATCTTCATCGTCTTCGGTTAAATTACGAACTCACAAAATGACCAGCTGCCTGGTTCGCAGTTGGCTTAATAGGTCAGTTGGTTAGCGCGCTGTATCGGTATCGTGGTGTAAAGGGTTTCTGTAAAAGCCTGACTTTTTTAACATGCTTTTTTCTAAAGCAACTCAAGCATTTATTTCAAACCACGATTCTTTTTTTGTTTCAAGCTTTTTCTTCTCCCCACTGACCTTACCAAAGATACTTAGGCTCTTACTGATATCAAAAAAATCGTTGCTATAACGGACTGCTTGCGCTAGGCATTTAAATTTTACACGTCGAACGAAGAAAGCTTTTTCGCAGCGTATTGGGCGATTGGAGGATTGTTGCAAAAATTGACAAACCGGTATCTACTTATAACACTAAGTCCTTACAGGAAAAGTTTAGGCATTTTTGCGGAGTATGCTACACCTTTGAGAGACAAGTTTCACGAAAGATTAGCTTGTCATGTGAAAACGGGTGTTTGTTGGTGTGGCTGAAACTATTGTTGCGTCTGTTTTCGTTCTGTGGCGGTGTGATATTGTTCAGTGTCTTTTCAACTTTTATGAGTATAACGTCATTTGGCGATGGCGCACCCCGGCATCTCAACGCGAGGAAAAGGGCTTAGCCCGTGGGAGGTACTCCCTATAATGACATGTACGTAGAGCCCGCGCTCAGCCTTTTTAGGCTTCAGGCATATGAAAGGGTGGGGATTTTGTTGAGTACCCGCCCTGTGGGGGGCCTGTGGAATAAAACGGACACAGCAACACTGAACATTACTGCACTAACAATGTTGAAAGTTTGGGGTAGTGTTGGCAGTAGTTTCTGGCTTGAAAGCCTAGCCGCTTTTAAACTTCGCGCAACAGCAATTGCAAAAACACTTGACACGGACAGGAGCTGATGGGCTCCTGACACGGAGTTTTAACTTAATGTTGGTTCTGGTTTCGCAAGTGGGGTAGAGGGTGTCTCTGCTGAGTCACAAAAAAACGTTAAAAAAAAAACGTTATATTCTTCGAGATAAAAGTAGTTAGATATACTCCATTATGTTGTAAGAAATTAAAATAGTTCTACCGAGGAGACTTATAAAATGAGAAGAGTGTGAAAGGAGTTTCATTCAATTGGTATAGTGGTTTTTTTAGCTTATATCGTTCCGTGAGTTAAGAAAAAATTGTACAATGGTCCATTATTTTCTGTTATTAGTTTTCGAGAATTGTGGATATTTGACTGATTGATAATTAATTGATTGATTAAATTTTAAATGAACATCATTTTCAATTAACTTGGGGGTCTATCGACAGAACAAGTCGATATCACAAAAAACTAAATCTTTATTAGAACGTCCTCGGCTACACTAAAAAAAGGAAGTTTTCATTTACCTCGACAAAATATATAGCGATGTTGTTCCTCTCAACTTTATTACAAAACTATTGTTGTTTGTGTCAAAGATGAAGGAGTGTTTGCCACTGATCAACGCAAATCGAGAACTTAGTACTCCTGTTCATATTTCATTCTGTTTCGTCACAGCAATTAATCAACAACAATTAAGGTATTGCTAAAAAGAAGGTGTGATACAACAATATCACGAATCCGTGTAAACGTGTCCTTAAGGTCAAAAAGGTGTGCATGGCCTCCGCAACTGGCTTAAATAAAGATGACGGAAAACTTGTTGCAAATAGTGTATAACGGAAATCACGATTTGTCGGCCCTCTTCAGTTCCCACGCTAAGAATGTGTCTGCTTTGTAATAGCTCATGAACTTGAAAACAAAGTTTGAAATAATATGTTAAATTTTCTGTTTTAAAAAATTGTCAAACTGACCCTTGTTATTAAGTTGAAATTCTTTGACTTTAGTTTAACAGGCGCATGAAAAGTAAAGTAGTTGATATTATGATGATCTTGCCGATTTTAAGTTTCCCGTCAGTGGAATATGACATATTTTGCATACTATACGTATCTATAATATTGTTATAGAGGTATCCTATTGAAGCAATACAGATCGGCAATAAAAAATGGTTGACTGACGGTTTCTAAGTATCTCGCATGCTCTAAATAGCAGGAAATGATGTATTTATTCCCCGAATGAAGTAGTAGATATTTGTTGCTTGCAACTGTTCTGTGCTGATAACCATGATGGACAGATCAAGTAAGTAGGCCTCGCTAGGTGTACTGCAAGCTTCGTTAAAATTCACTTACTGGAATAAGAAAGTCAATGATGAAACATTTTTTGCTCTTTTTCTTTCACGCTTCAGTTAAAAGAGTTATTCTTTGGCTTACCGTTTTATGCGCTTGTGGAAAAGCCAGTGGCCAGAGGTTTGGTAAGTGAGCGAATCTACGTACTCTTTCAATAAGCTTCCTTTAATTCAACTGGATGGACTATTACAGCGGGTATTTCTCTACCAAACCGAGCTACGATGACTTAGTTTCTTTAGGCATGCTCAAAACGAAACTGGAAATCTAATTATTATAGGAATTATTTTAAATAAGTGTGTAATAACTTTTCTTTTAAGGGGAAGTTGTTTTGACAATCATGACGAATAAGGCTAAAGTGGATCGTCCTTATAGTAACCACACTTCAGTTAAGCTTATAAGCCTACAACTTTGTTTGTCTTTTGGCAACATAGAGATGAAAATTGAATTTGCATGTATGGTTTTGCCTTAAAACTTATACCTTTGATCATGTTATTGATGCGCGGACTGTATATGCAAATTTATAATGCGAGGGTTCGTGTTTGAAAGCACTCATGATATTTTCCCAGTGTTCGGTGGGAGGTAGTTCATTTAATATCGTTTACGAAAGACTAAACCTCGCGCTAGTCAAAGAATAGTTTGTCAATGGTACTTAAAAAATACTAGAGAGATCTCAGTTAATCTAATTTATGTGGGAAAATGTTCACAGGGGCACCCAACGAGAATACAAAACCACTCAAACATTGCATTGTTAAACGTATTTTTTTATTTACATGTAAAAGGTAGATATAGGCATATTTTTATCCCCTAAAAATTTTTCATCTGTTCGGATTTCCTAGCTGAAAGCTAGGAAAGCTTTTTTCAGCCAGAAAAAAGGCTTCCGAAAATTTTAGGCGACCTTTTTAGGTTAAAAATCCGTTAAAAATGGGCAATAATACCATTTTTTAGGTGTTCGAAAATCCTAGGAGAGGCAGGCAAGCAAGAAATTTTACAACAAATGTTCCGAAAATTCTAGATCTCAAATCGTCTTCCGAACAGATATTTTCCGAAAATCGACGTCGGGTGCCCCTGATTAAATAAGCGAAAAAGACGCCAGTTTGGCGAAGCACGGAGTTTTATAACAGCAGACAGAATTTACTAGAAGGTTGACGTTTTTATATTTGCTCGCCACGAACCATGATCTAAAGAGTAACTTAATATATTACAAAAGTAGGTTGAGTTTGATCGTCCGTGTGAACGTAGTCTTGAATAGGACTGTTGTTGTTGACAGTGACTGACGTTTCGACAACCTGTGCGGTAGTCATCTTCAGACTCAAAGTGAGTTGTATCACGTCAGTAGATGGTATTATACTCTGGTGATATTACGTAATACGCAATATGAGTAATTTTCAATACGCTGTTTTTTAGACTAGACTTCTGAAACCAAGCTTAAGGCTTTGTCTTTCCAATTTATGAATTTTGGCTAAAAGAGACAAAACGCTGCCTTGATACATGTTATAATATAAGTTGTCTTGCCAACAAAACAACATCCATTGTTAATTTGAGTGCATGTTATGAAGTACCATTAAATCTTGTGCCCCGAAAGCTCTTAAGGAGGTTTTTCTGACTTTTAACGAATTTGAATTGTGATGACGGGAAAGAACAATACTTGGATTTAATGATCGGCGTATGTATAGCCTCCAAAGTAGGCGTATTTTGCAGCGGGATCGGGGAAAATGCTACCCTTTCATCTTGGACAAACGGAGAGCAACAAACAAACGGAGAGTTGGGCGAGTCAAAAATTGATTCAAGCTGCTATATCATGACAACTGATGAAAAGGGAACGCAAAGTCAAATTGTTTGTAAACAGCACAGATCACATCAAAATTTGGGCGTGGTGTTCGTTGCTTATTGGACAACTGATACCATTAGTGATCTGTGAGTTATATGCCGTGTGAGACCGTGTGAAAGCTGAGCCCGCGCTGAGCGGTGCGTTTCCGTGATCCTGTACCAGGTATTCACACGTGATGTGTGCATTCAAAAGGAAGCTTAATCTCGCAGTAAATCCGGACATCTCAGCTCCATAATATGGTCTAGTCTCGTGTTTTCTAAAATTTAATGAGGAGTTTTCTATAGTAGTTTTAAACATCGTGCTTACCATCTCGTACCGGTTTGGTACTCCCCCACAAAGTTGCCGCAAACTCACAAAGTTCTTTCACCGCAGTATTAACCACTTCCACCTCTTAGTTAGACTTCCTGTAGTCCGGAATACGGAGCTATACTTGCTACATTGCAATTAGCGCTTAGAGCTTAATGTCTAAAACCAAAACCAAAGTAATAACGATTAGAACAAACGAAAAATGTTGCCAATGAGAACGAAGTAAACGGTAACCGGCCTATGGCGGGAATACGCGAGTAACCAAGTCGCGAGGGGTTTTGTATCTGATTGGCTTAGAAGGAAAGTTTTCTAGTCACAAAAGCAAAACCAATGCAATCCCGGATTACTTTCGACACTCAATTGAAAATTACTCTAATGTCTTGGTTAACGATAAAAATGTTGCCCGGAACTGACGGACTATGGCAATGCGTGTAACGGGGGGAGAGAAGGGAAAGTGTCACAAAAGCAAGCCATGTACTTGAATGACTTGAACAATGCAATGTGTGAAAGCCCAGATACATGTAGAACAATCACCCCGGTTTAGAGGATGAGTGTTTTTCGTCCCAGCAAGATTGACGTGATGTGAGAGAAACTTGATATAATGTTTTCTCAGTTACAACGAACCAGCAGCTCAGTTGAAAGATCATCACCTTTTTTTAAAACCCTTCACCCCTGATAAATCAGGTTTCATTGAACTTTGGTGTGTTTTATAAGTTATTCGAGCCAGCTGGGATTTTTCTTTGACAAGTAGGAGTAAATGAATGGTGAATTATATTTTTCCGCTTCGTTGAATGCAACAATACCGAAGTTCATTGTACAAACGTCCAATGATAGAATGGCTTTTAAATTCTCACTACACATAATAAACCAATGTTTTGCTTTAGCTCAGAACTCATTAACACAAGGCTTGAATGAGGTTGTTTAACATTTGTTTTTAATCTTTTATATTTCTTTTCGATCATCGTGATGTTTTAACAAAGGACAGTTGTTTTGGCAAAATGTGATATCATTGCCATTAACAATATTTGACTTATGAATTAAAACTCGTCACGAGTTAGTACGAACAAATCATTTCTTTTTTTAAAGGAATAACGGCAAAAACAATTAACTGACTTTTAAAATCAAGCCGTGAACTAAAAATATTAAGAACGAAAAAAGATGTTTACTCATTAAACTCAATAGCTTGTGGTCTATCTCTTTTTGTAGGCAACAAAATAAGGAATGAATTTAATTGACTGATCTAAGGAAAAGTGTCTTTAACAAAGACCGTCTAATAGTATTTTCACTTGCTATTTTATTGTTTTTCATAAACTGATTCGTTGCATGGACGAGTGCTTTTCTTGGGCAATATAACCGTGTTTTCATTAGTTGGTGATCCTGTTTTCGATAACTTTACTGTAAAAAATGCAATGTCACGGTTGCCTTTTTCGCTGTTCCGTTAACAGGCAATAGGCCTTCGTACTGAATTGGAGATGAAGTGTCGTTGAAGACTGAACTTGAATCTTGGTAGTGTTTTCTCGCTTTTTCTCCACACAATATTACTGACATTGTTTTCAATGACATGAAAAGCATACTTGCAGCCCTTTCTATTTTATCTGATATTAGGGGCTATGTACGAAATATTTCTAAATAACTAGAGATAGATATGTCTGATGTATCGAAACGTTTTTAGTCTACAGTTATTTTACGTTATGCACAAAACACAGCTGGACAAATTGGTAGTCGCTAAAGAAAAGTTCTGCAATGATGCGTTGTTGGTAGAGAGAGTAAAAAAATTGGTTTTATCAACTGAGTTCAGTTATAAAGTAAATACGCCACAGTAAAGACATTTAAGACGATGCTTCGAGAATTTTTATGACTGAAGGGGTCGGTTTAAAAAGAAACCTTGAGATGCAGTGTCAGTACGTGATGAAGTGAAGATCTCATTTGTATGAAGAGCCAGCCCTACTGAAAAAAAGTGACTTTATGGTTTTCACTGTGGCCCGCAATAAGGACAGACTAAAACAAATACTTGAATTATATAGAAAACAAGGTTAAGTACTCCAACTGGCCGAAGGCAAACCAGTTGGCTATTTTACAGGCATGACTGAGGAGTTTCTGAACCCGAGACTACCGAGAACAAATCCTGCTAGTGATCAGCAAGGGACCGCTTAAACTCCGGGTCTCCAGATTACAATTACAGCACTCTAACCACTCGATCACGATACCTCCTCGTCAGCTTTTCAATCCGTTTTGCCCGCGGGCTGAATTGACTTGATAAAACTGAACCAAGGTTTTGTCTTTTTTTGCGAAGTGTAACAAGGTGCGTTTAACTTTTATTAAAAAGAATTAGAATTCTCGTACATTTTCACATTTCACATTTTCTTCTTTGTATCTTGAAGAAACACTCGAGCTGAAGCACGTTTCTGGCTCGATATTAGCTTGCGATTTTCAACTTCCAGCGTCGGAATTTGTCGTTATCCCCTCAGTCAAGGACCTATTGCTCAATAGTTGCGTACCCACCCCGTCTACGCGTATCCAGATCTTTGTGAAAACCGAAATTTTTTTGTTTCCGTTTTAGCCTTCCGTCTACCCGTAAACGGTGTTTTCGGTCACCAAAAACGCCAGCCTCTCGTTTTCGCGTGGACGGAGGAAAATGGAGGTTTTTGAAAACGATGATGTCATACATCACACTGCTCATATCCTGTGAGGACGGAAATGCTATCGTATTTCCATTGTTTTAGCGTTTTAGTGTGAAAGGCTAGACGGGCGAAAGACATTCGAATACGCTACGTGTGGACGCGTTTTGCGGTTTTCGAAATACGGAGAATAAAATCTTCGTTTTCAAAAGTGTCCGAAATCACAATTTTTTTTGCAGCAATATGGTATACTCTCACGTTACCCCACTGAAATACTTTAACAATACTAATGAACGTCAAGTTTTCTCAGAATGAAGAAGTTAAGACCATTAACTTCCCACGCTTTAAGTAATAAAATGTTAATACCAGGCATAGTTTTTATTTTTCTTGAAAGCGTTCATCAAGCTCAATATATGTGGTTTAAAAAAAAAAACATGAAGGTTTGGTATTACAACTTACAGGAGTTGAACTGGTTTGTAATTTTTCTCGTTATTCCGTTGTCATCAGTATGGATTTACTATTCTTTCTCTATGGGTCTTCAGTGGTGATCAGAAATGCTAACTCCAAGAGCCCATGAACTACAATGTGCGTCTTCTCTTACGTTTATTTGGAACCTCTTACGTATATTGCAAAAAACAATTAGACTAGAGATAATGCATTCATTTCATGAGTAGATTTCTATGTCATCGCCATGTTGAGCTCGTATTTTTTATCTCAGTTTCTCAGTCGAGCTGTTTGACCCAGTCTCACTTAAAGCTAAACGCTTGACGCGCGTGCGTTGTAAAGCACAGGCGCCCTACTTAACGCGCGTGTTTCATCGAGATAATTAAACGCCGTTACATCAATAGTAGAAACGCGCGAAGGTTTAAAACAAGAAATAGAAATTTGCTTCTCGTTTACTTTTTACTAGTTAGTAAGTTACTGGAAAATTTTAGGAACACTCGAAATATACAGGAAGTACTCAACAGCTTTAACTTCCTTAACCTTAACTTTCGCAAGGTAATCGTCTTTTTACGTGCTCTTTAAAAGTTCCTATACTGCTTGTATTACTCAACAATTTACTTGGCATATTGTCTTACTATGATATACCGACTGTGAGCGTGCTGGTATGTAAAGCTGTTGTCGTATATTTTCTCTTTTCTGCTTAGTATGTTCAAGAGCGCTGGACATTGCAATTGCCGTAGACGTTTCAGGAAGCTTGATCGACAATTTCACTCAGATCCAAACGTTTCTCAACGAATTGGTGGGAGAATTCACTATCAGAAACAATGCTGCGCAAATAGTGGTATTTGGTTTTGATCAAGAGCCTCGCTTGACGAATGTCAATAGCTTTGACCAGGCTGGAGCCCAGTCTCTCGTAGGTGTCAGGGACCAAATAAGCAATATAAATCTGACTCTTGGAGCGACTTTAATAACGGTGGCAATAGCAGAAGCTTCAAGACTTTTTAATGAGTCGACTGTCCGTAATAACGCAGAGCGTGTGGCCGTGTTTGTGACAGATGGGGTAAATCAAGGTGGTAGCAGGTTGATAACCCAACCAGCAGCGGATTTGAGAGCGGTAAGTAGAATAACATACACTTCTAAGACTGGCCAAAACTGGGAATAAAATAGCATCCCTGCTACGGATTGGGTCAATTTTATTCCCAGAGCCCTTCCTAATGAGATCCAGGGAAACACTGCAACCGAGAATGGGATTGGCTTCTTATCAGGGACGCATTCTAGATATGATGCGCATTGGAACATTTTTATGGAAAATTGCACACCATAAATGTAAATTATTATTATTTAATTATTATTATGATCCTTTTTGTGGCGTCAACAGGCGTCAACATCAGAAGCTGGATATAATAAGACCTCTAACTGTATCATCAATTTCTCGTAGTATTAAAAAAGGGCTCAATTTACTACTTTAATAACGAGAAGAGAACTAGCCTGTGCCAGGCTCTCAGATAGTATAGTGGGGACGTATTAAACGAGCAAAGCGAAAATAAGACGCGCGCGACTCTCTCCCCAGCCCCCGCGCGTTGTCTTATTTTCGAACGACGACTTTTCACTATCTCGGAGCCTGGAACAGGCTAGAAGAGAACCTGAGGCGAAATACGTTCCGCAATTGTTTCTGGGATTGTTACTGGGAACGCGCAGGTCAGCCATTGGCCAATTTTTTCTCGGTTTCCTTAGTGACAGCCCCAGAAGTCGTAGCGAAAGTTAACTCGTCCCAGTCTCGTTCTCGTTTCTAAAGTGACGAATGCGGTGGAAGCATTTGCGTTGCACGGTTGATGTTTCGGTTTTTGCCAACGACTAATTCATTTCTATTACATTGAATTTAAATAGTAATCAATTGTTTCATTAGTTCAAAATTAATTTCATTCGTTGAAAAACACATTTTAAGGTTTAATTAAGGCCAAGAACCATTTTCCGGGGCACGAGGAAGGCTGACGTTGGATCGATCAGCCTCCAGATACGAGACATTTAACTATTTTCAAGCAATTAAGTGTTAACGGTTAACTTTCTTTATTTATGAAAATTTTTATGACACTTTATGTCATTCACTTTTTCTTTACGATTTTTCAGAACTTCAACACTAGAGTTATCGGTCTAGGAGTTAGTCCTTCTGGAGACATAAACGACATAAACATACCGGCCTTTGATTTGCTAACTGGAAACCGTAAAAACCTCCTGATCCTGGAATTTGAGAGGAGAAGGTGTCCAACTGGTGGTGGTGGTGGTGGTGATAGTGAGGATGACGAAGATGATGACGATGAGAGTGGTGAAGATTCTGACAGTGACGACGGAGGTGGCGCTGCATGTGAAGATGAGCTGTCAAGAGCTGCTAAATTGATTTGCGGTAATTAAGCCTGGCAAGCTGACAAAGAGTTTTTACCAGAAAATTTATTTAGTTGGCGAATTTTAACATAATCTAAGTGCACTTCTTAGAAGTAGGGACAAAATCAAAGGAATTACTATTAAACTGAGAATGTATTCATTAGATTATGACTAAGATTACGTCCATCATCCGGAACGAACAAGTTATTCTCCAAAGTACAAGTTTGCTCACAAATGTTTTCGTCCTTCGGCATTAAAAGGAAAAGAAAATTAAGTAAATTACTTTTTTTCAAGACCGTCCAAACACCTTCGGAAGTATTTACTTCGGCAAGTTTAGGTGCCCGCTTCACAATGTTTGCTAGAATTTTCCTTAAAAAAAGTGGTCTGCTTTAAATGAAGAGCCAGTTATGTTTACTTAATTCTAGAGCAATTTTCAATTGAGTGTTGAAAGTAATCCAGGATTGAATTGGTTTTGCTTTACTGTGCTGTTTGATTGGTCTAGAAAACTCGCGCCACCCTCTCAGCCAATCAGATGTAAACTAAAACCAATCGCTCCTTGGTCAGTCGCGTATTCCCGCACCACAGGCCGGTTACACACGTTTACTTCGAGTTGCCATTGGCTCCCTCTGATAATTTCCTTTACTCTGATTGCTCGTTGTGATTACTTTGGTTTTGGTTTTCGACACTCAATTGAAAAGCGCTCCATAAGCAAGTTAAACTCATCATTAGTTTTAGATGGGAATGTAGTGTTCTAGTCTGCCATTCTCCTGACATGCAGTTCTTCTCAAATCAGCACGCTAACACTCCAGGTCGTCTATCGACTGACTAAACTGTGTCAGAGCTCGTAAGAAATTCAACCTTTTACAGCCAATTTGTTACAGATTTGTTTTCCAACGAAATTTCCTGTGTTCGAAGTCCAATATGGCACTTTGCAATACATTACCTGCACGACAGCTGATATCCTACATTGAAGCACCAATTAAGGTCCTTGCTTACAGGCTTTTCAGGTTCTCTGTAGTTGACCATGTGGTGTACTAACATGTAGTTCATACCAACTATGCTGATCTCTTCCGACATTTCTTGAAATCCTACTCTGATATGATTGGCCGAAGGTAACATTATGACCCAGGCCTTACGTGACAGGTGGACCCCCGGTGTGATCAACTTCCTAACTCATGCTAACCAGTCAAAATCAAGGCCGAAAAACCTTTCTTAAGTGCGTAGGTTGCTTAGTTACCGCTTGAAAACAAATCTGGACGAGATAAACTAGTCCAATGACTTATATTTAGATGTGTCTTCTTAAGAATTTGACAACCTGTTTACCACTATTAATTTATAAACTAGAAAGCGCCGAAGGATGCATAGAACCCGAGGGCTACTCAACAAAATTTTATACGAGAAAGCTCAGCCCCGAAGTCCAACCCCTTACCCTTTTATACACCATTTTTGCTAGAAAAGGTATCGCCATCGTATACCTTCTCAGATTGACAAATGATACCCCTTTAACATACCTAGTTCATAACTTTGAATCTCTTTTAGCTGCTGTAAATGCCCTGACTTTAATTTAAGAATAAATCTCAAAACCACAACGTTTTCTCGACTTTTTCGCAGCCATAAATGCGCCTGTTAGCCTTTTTGGTCCTTTTTCAACACGTAAATGACAGATTTGCCTACCCTTTCATATACCTGAAGCCTCTAAAAGGTATCCCTTTTGGGCGGAGCCTTCCTGTGTACGCCATTATAGGGAGTAGCTGTACAGCGCCCGAAATGATCCCTAACCCTGAAATGGGGATCATTTCGGGGTGCAATTGGGGATCATTTAAGGGTTGGGGATCATTCCGGGGTCGGGATCATTTCAGGGGCTGTACAGTTACCCCGTACTAAAGTTTACAATACAACAATCCAAATCATAAGCTGCAGGATCATAATGAAATAGGAACTTAGCTTTTTGTTAACTTATTACTGATATGGACAAAAGTAATTGGTAACAGGACTTCGGTGTTCTCTTGGCCACTCTACTGTCCCATTACCAGTCTGGTACTTGTAAATAAGTCGCCTGGAGACGACACTGCATGTTACTAAAATTTATCGAATCTTGACTGCCGCAAAAAAAGGCCTCTTTTTAGCCAAATTTGTTTCTGCGGACTGAAAATATACTCCAGGGCCATTATTTATCCCTTAAATAAAATAAAGGTCAATTTTATTTTAGTTTAGTTATTATTTATCTCCATTCCTGACTTCCGCTGTTTCTCTTTATCAGTGTTTATAGCGCTTCATTGTTAGTTTTTGCACCCGTGCGTCACTTTAGCAAAGGGTTGCCACTTTTCCAAGCAATATCTTTTCAGTGTAATTTTTATTTTGCTATTATACAACCCAAGAACACTTTGGAAATAGCCTGCGAACGCAGCCGTTTTCTGGTTGTTGCTTCTCTCCACCCGAAAAGTTGCGCCACCCTCCCCTCGGCGAGTGAAACAAAAGACGAAAAGGTGTCTGTTAAAGCAGGCTACTTTGCAAATCGAAAGGGAAAAAACTTGTTCCCAGTTTTAGAGTCCAAATTTACACAAGAGGTCCACATATGCTAGCGATGTTGGTCCAAGGAGGTCCATTTATGCTGCGACACCGGTACCTGCAGAAAGAACCCATATTTCATGGATGGGTGGATTTAGGGGTGGGGTCGAGGGGTATAGGGGTGGGGTCGAGGGAAACGCGGCCCGCTTATTTTCTGTGAAATTTTCTATCAATTGAAAATAATTTTCAGTAAAACAAAAAAGTATCTATATAGCTAGCAAATGTCCTGTCTCGGCCACCTCCAGCCTAGTCCCTAAGCGGTTAAGCGTGCTCGGCTCGGTCAATCCTGGACTCTACTGTGAGCTGTGACCTCACCGAGAGATAGACTTCGAGCGGACAACGGGGCAAGAGAGAACGCCTAGGGACAAGGCTGGGTCCCCCCCTTTCTGAATTTTCTGGCTCCGCTCCAGGACATTTATTTACCATGTAAGTCCAGTTCAATGTTAGATGTAAAGAACCGCACGATTATGAGAACATCAGATTAGGAGACAATCCTTGACCACTTGTAAATAAAAAAACCTGTTGTTCTGGTGTGAATGTAAATGAAACGGCGCACTCCAATGAAGTTTTCCATAGAAGAACTGGAAATAACTCCCCATCTATTCAGTTACCTTTTCCTCACTTTTGGGGTAATCACTGAAATACCGTAAAATTCCGAAAATAAGCCTCTCCAAATATAAGCCCCCCAAACTGGTAACGCAAAAAACCCTCCGTTGAATCGCCCCTGCAAATATAATTGCCCTCAAATGCAAAGTAAAACAAAGCCAAAACGGTAAATTTCCTTCCAACTATAAGGCTAGCCCAATCGATTTTGAAACGCAAATTCCCCTCCGTAGATAAGCCCTCCGAATATAAGCCCCTCCGAATATAAGCCCCTCAAAAAGGGCCTTTGAAAAATATAAGCCCCGGGGCTTATTTTCGGAATTTTACGGTATCACTTCAATATTTGCCTCAACACACTATGAGCTTTTTTCACCCCGACAAAAACATAGCAACGAAAACGTCACTTGACCCAAAAACCTTGCGCCCCCTCTTCCCCCTTTGTATTGATTAACTAGGGCTCCCCCCTAAGATTAATATCACGAACGTTTTTCAGTTTTTAAAGAGGAGATTAGTTGGTGGGTAGGAACGTAGGATCTGTAGAAGACCTGATCAGCAAAATATATAATACACAGTAGACATATTGAATTCTGCAAAGTTGATCGTCACAGTACTGATGTCTTGAAAAGTTAATTTAAGGACGACCAGCTTGGCAGAATTCAATATGTCTACTTTGTATATTTTTGCTGATCAGGTCTTCTATAGATCCTACGTTTGCGGTCCTTTGCAGTTCATGCAGGGGCACCCAACGGGAAATTTTGAGAAAAAGACCTAAAAACAACAACAAAGCATGAATACAGCTTTCTGAAACAGTTTTAAGCATTTTGGGAGATTGCTGGGAAAAATTTATCTGTTCCTCACTCCCAGCAAGACTGATGGGAGAGTTCCCAGCCAGCAAGGTGCACCTACAATCTATAACATGTCTTACAGACGTGTTCAGACATTACTGGCCAGTTTGGGTGTGATCATATGGCAGAATTCAGCCACTGGCGGGGGGGAAGGCGGGGGCGTGGATCTTTAGGAAATTGGGTGTGGCCAAAGGACGAAAAACCATCCCTTAAGTGGAAGAGCAGATATCTTGAGGAACAGATCCATTGGGTGCCCCCGTCCATGTCTATTTACTTTATAGGTTGGGGCCGTCGGTCTATTTTATAATATGATATGCTGTACATTTTGCATGGTTCAGTTGTCCATGTTCCTAAGGTTGGTTTTGTCCCCGGCAGTTTTTTCCAACCTGTAGTTTCTTCGCAGGGTATCAACGCGACATTTGGACTCTTGCCCTCCCAGACACATGATTCTGTGGGTATTGGAGTTTAATGATGAGGGGGTTATTTTTCTGCAGAGCTTCTCTGTTTCAGTCCATCCCGACGAGCAACGGCGAAACAGCCGCGACGGCTACAACAGCTTTGCAGAATTCAGTATGTCTACTTGTTAATTAAAATCAAAACTGAGATGAAAAAACACAAGGTTTTATTCGCCACATCTCATGTAAATGAGGGCCTCAGTAGGACGCACGCATTTACAATTAGCGGTTGAGATTCCAGAGGCGGATCTAGGGGGAGGGTGCAAGGGGTGCGCCCCCCCCCCCCCTTCCCCGAGATGACCTGCGGTTTTCTTATACAACTGGTATTCTGCAACAAAAAAAAACTATGTGGTTTATTGGTGTTGAAGTAGAGCAAGAGACGAGTGCACCCCCTCCTAAAAAAAATCCTTGATCCTCCCCTGGATTCTGGCCATTCTCCACGGCGTAAAATCACTTGCGCAAGTGTCCCTCTGGTCCCTCCTCGTCGGAGACTGGAACTAAGTCGGGGTCGCCTTGAAGAATTTAGCGTGCATGGAGAAAAAATGGCCGCACCGACAGAGCTGAACAACGTCTGCGCATGTGCTTAAACGGGAGAGGTCTGGGATCTAACCTAGTATCGTTTTCAAAGGGTTTTTCAAAACATCCTCACTTTTTGACGATTATTAAGGTGGATTCTGAATATTTAAGGTTCTCATTTAAACTAAAGGTAGATTATTTCATACTTTATTGAATTCTCGTTTCTACCCTTGTAATTTTTCTTCTACTTTTTTCTATGAACAAAAGAAGACGCACGAACGAAGCGTCCCTTCAATAATAGTATCGTTTGCAAAGGGATTTTCAAAACATCCTCACATTTTCCCGATTTTTAAGGTGGTTTCTGAATATTCAAGGCTCCCATTTAAACTAAAGGTAGATTATTTCATACTTTATTTAATTCTCGTTTCTACCTTTGTAATTTTTCTTCTACTTTCTTCTATGAACAAAAGAAGACGCACAAACGAAGAGTCCCCGCTATAAATAGTATCGTTTGCAAAAGGATTTTCAAAACATCCTCGCATTTTCCCGATTTTTAAGGTGGTTTCCGAATATTCAAGGCTCCCATTTAAACTAAAGGTAGATTATTTCATACTTTATTGAATTCTCGTTTCCACCTTCGCAATTTTTCTTCCGTTTTTTGCTATGAACAAAAGAAGATGCACGGACGAAGCCGAAAACAGTTCTTTCATTCGAATGTGTACATTTTCAAGCGTAAACACATGAAAGTACAGACTATCAATATGTTATCAGTTCTAAGAAATCGTCCGGACATCATGTCAGTGTCAGTATTAAAGGTACATTTTATTTATCTTTGTTTTTCCTTGAATGATGGTCTTTTAGTTATTTCTCTTGTTATATCTCGCTTGGTTTCACTATAAGAACTGTAAGAACACAAAACAATCACTGAGGTTTCGAATTCAATCAAGTTCTTTCTTCCAAACTTGTTTCCCTTTATGACTCATTGTTAGCTCAGCTCAAAAGAGCTATTATAAATTTTTGTATATGACAACAGGCAAAATTAATGTTGAAAAGAGTAAATGGGTAAGTAATACAGTCGATGCTTGCTGGTAAAAGTATTAATGACTTGAAGTTCTCTAAAAGGCTTCATTACAGAGAGAAGAACTTTCATTTATTTTTCTCTTCAAAGTCTAGATCTTCATTCCTTGATTCTTCTGCTTCATTCAATCCTGTCATAAATGGAAAACCTATAGTTAATACGAAAACTCACATACAGCTGAGCCAACTTGTGATTGTTTCTCAAAACTTCAACAGCTTTAAACTTTAAAAGTTTATTCATTCTAAGCTTAAAGGTGCAAATTAAATTTTAAACAAACTTAACTGAATAAATACTGATTCTACATCTCGACCAGCGCCTCTGAGCCGGCTAGAGGTACGAAAAAGCTTCTTTCATTGCACTAAGATTTGTAACTAATATAAGTTTATGACTTTCATGACTTCTTGTGTCTGATGGTATCATCGCGCTCAAAGCCGGCTTTCTTGCCACCAAGAAACGGTCAACAACTGCTATCGCTCGGCCTACATTTCAAAGATTTGCACCTCCTTAACCAGAATAAAGTAATGTTTAAGTAAATCGTTTACGTACCATCGAAGAAAAGTCGCCCAAACTCCAGCACATTGCTCTTTTTTAATTTCTCAGTCATCTTTCTGCAAACTTACTGACGATCTGCATCAAAACAATGCCGAAAAACCTTCGCCGGGACGGTCAAAAACATTTTCCTTGATCCCTGGATTACGTAACATTTCTTTCCATGAGTTGCATTTCTAACGTATTCGTAGAATTTCTCCTTCGTTGGCATTCACAAATATGAGTTTGGATGGTCGAAGATAGAATGGTCTTGCAAGAATTTCACTTTGCTCGAATGCTTCGCGCACGGGCTAGACAAGTAAACAAGTGATGTCACGGACATGCGTAGTACGTTATTCAGCCCTGTCGGCCGCACCTGAGATGGGACTTGTCGACGGTACCACATCAGAATCAAAAATTATAGCAAAGCACAATGATCCATGGAGAAAATTTCATCTGGGATGTTTTGGTCGTGTTAACAAGGAACTTTTAGTCTTCAAACTTTATTACTTCTTCCTTTTCAGCGCTCAAGCCTGCGCGAAGCCTTTTCTCCCGGTATTCTTTCGCCACGTTGGCATGTCGGCCGAACAGACTGGAATGTTATTGGGCTTGCAGCCAGTAGCTCGATTTGTTGGAGCGCCTTTATTCGGAGGTTTGGCAGATAAGTATAGAAAACACAGAGCTGTGATGTTAGGGATGTGTATAGTTTCTACGGCATTATTTTTTTGTCTTGTGTTCGTTCAATTTACTAAGAATTCTGATATAGAGGAAAGAATTGAAGGAAATCCTTGTAACAACAGTAACAGCTCTTCGTGGAATAGTTCTAAGGATGGTCATGTCAATGATGATAACTTACCATGCCGTGGAATAAACTGCTCTCACTTTTCAATGTCTAGAATTTGTGGTAATGGCTTGCCTTTAAATATGTCAAAAGAGGTTGCAGTGGATTCCACAGGAAAATCAAGGGACAACAAGAAGACATTTATAGTAATGAGTATACTCCTCATTACATCACAGCTTTTTGGGAACTTTAATTCCCTTGGTGATGCAGCAACAGTTAAGTATTTGACTGCTATTGACAGAGGTGGCGATTACGGAAAGCAGAGGCTTTGGGGAGCAGTAGGCTGGGGATCCATTGCCATATTGTCAGGATTTGCAATTGACGAGTCTGCAAAAAATTTGAGTCGAAATCAGTTTCTCATAGCATTTTGTGGATTTCTTTTATTTAGCATGGCAACTATTGCAACCATTTTCAAGTTACCTTTAGAGTGCATGGAGGGAAGAGCAAATCCTAAGTTTTTCAAGAATGTTGGAACTATTTTATCAGACTGTCGCATTGCAACTTTCTTGCTTGCCATTCTTATCATGGGTACATGCATGGAAACCATTAACATGTACCTATTCTGGTTCCTCCAGGACTTAAATGGCAGTCATCTTCTGATGGGACTTACACTTTGTATGACTTGTGTGGCAGAGGTTCCAATAATGTTTTTCTCTGGACATTTGATCAAGCGGATTGGTCATCATGGTGTATTGTACCTTACTTTTGTATGCTACACAATAAGATACCTTTCATACTCCTTTATCCCTAAGGCATGGTATGTATTGGTTATTGAACCTCTGCATGGTGTAACATTTGGCGCTATGTGGGCCGCTACGACGTCATATGGTGGTAAAATTTCTCCTGATGGACTGGCTGCCACTGTGATGGGCTTGGTTACTGCAACACATTTTGGCCTTGGAAAAATTATTGCAGGTTTCGGCGGTGGAAAGGTCTATAATGTGTATGGACCTAGAGTTCTTTTTAGAAGTCTGGCAATTACAAGCACAGTGACTTGCCTGCTATTTTTTCTTTCACAAAAATTGCTCAAAAACAAAACTCAATTGAGCTATGTGCACTTTCAGAATGATATGCAAGACATGAACTATGATACTTTGGATACAGAATTGAAAGAGATAAGCCTTGACTCAGGTGATGAATTGTAACTTCGAAATTAGTGATTGTATTTTCAGTTTAGGTTAAACTTGATCAAGCCACTGTTGAGAGAATAGCCCTTGCTAGGCTTGACTACCAGCCACTGTTCTGGAAAATGAGCCCGCACTTGTCTCTTCAAAAGACGGGGGAAAAGAAGGATCAATAACAATCTCTGGACTCTCATTGTTTGGGGGAGACACACCTTTTTTGGTTCTGGTCAGGGGAGCGGGGGTCACAAAGATAAGTTTCTACAGCTGAACCTTATATTAAGCCAGTACGGAAATAATCTCATATATCTTATCTAAGAATATTACCACATGTATTTTATTTTTTTTTATTTGGTAATGAATTTCCCAGTTGCCAATAGTGTGACTATTTGACTATTTAATGGTATTACACTATCACACACATGAATATAATTTTGCGTCAATGTTATTTATTTATTGCGATTTCATAATATTATTGCTGTTTTAGTTCAGTGAAATAAAACATATTAATGACTTCAAGATTACATTGTCAATAACAATAATAATAATAAGTAGTAGTAGTAGTAGAAGAATCCTGAATTTTCCTCTTTTCTTAGCTTTTACCCTGTTTTGCCAAATTTTCTTAAATATCCATATTATATGACATTATTGTAAAGTTTTGAAAGTTTTAGTAAAAGGCTTTAAATTTTATCCTGGTAAGACTCAAATGATCTCTGCACATCATATCTGAAAAAGAAATAAAATACTGGTGTTAGAATGTAAAACAAACTACATCGTACAGATTTCTCTTATTTCTTTTCAAAGTTGCAATAAAATTTTATTTCAGACTTCTCTCAGTTTAACGCCCCTTTGGGTGATTGGTTTGAATTTCATAGTTCTAAAACAAGAAATCATCATGAGTAGCTGTGCCACAAGTTTACTAGTTTCTGTAACTATTCAGTGCTACCCTCTTTAACCCTTTAAGTCCCAATAGCGATCAACATCAATTTTCTCCTAAGAATATCCATAGATTGTCAAGAGAAATGCTTATGAGAATTAATAAAATGATCACCAAAGAGAAAATGCCTTGATCTTTTATCGAATTCTCTTTACTTATTCTTTATGGAAATGTATAGAGACCAATTTGTATGTGGGTATTAGGGCTTAAAGGGTTAAATAAAGTGTATTATTATTATTATTATTAATATTTTTATTATTATTATCAAATGTGTTTAAGCATTTATACCTTTTTTCTTCAGTGAGACATAATTATCATTTGTATCTGTTCAATTAAAAATTTTTGGTTCCATGTAGGATAGTTCAAGGCTTTTAAACAATCGATTAGGCCAATTTGCACTTGTGAAAAGGGACAGGCCATTAAAAAAAGTTATGGAGGACAGGAAATATTTTTATGAACATTTGTTTTGCATGATTTTTTTTAGGCCAGCACAGGAATATTTTTAGGGCGACTCTACGTAGATGAATAATTTCATTTCCCATGCAAGGATTTTTTTTTCATAATGTAGTAATCCCTCCATTTAGTCTAAATGTTTAGGAAGACTAAACTAAATTTTGCACAACCTTGATGCATAGTACTGAAAAGCTGTTGGTATGCCTGTGGTTTCCATTTCCACACAGCTTACCAATAGTCATTTTGTCCGCTGCCAAAAATTTTCCCCGAACTAGCACAATCGAGCCTGCTTGCAGGCTAGCTTACCAAGTGCACACAAGGTCCAAGACTTCATACATAGCATTAGCGAGTTTATCGAAGTTGTCCACTAGCACATAATGCCTACGATCGCCAGCCATAACTTGGAGCTCTTCTTTGCTGACTGCCCATCCCACACCAATAGGAACGATGATGACGTGCTGATATTTCTGAAAGAAAAAGGACAATCAAACCAGGCCATAATCAATTGTTATTTCACAAAGATGATGGCGTAGGTAGCATATGAGGCAGGACGAGACGCTTTTCGAGTTGAAAAAAAATACCTGAAAGATAAATTTCCCCCAAAAAAATGACCGTTTTCTAATATTATGCCCGATTTGCCGGTCCGAATGTTCCAAACGGATCCCTCAAACCAAACTTCGATATTAGTTTCAAGCTTTGCGTGCCACTTTCTAGTAAATAGATCTGATTATTTGTGCTAATGATAAAAGTCCTCTCCTCTTAGTCCCGTCCTAACTTTCTCGACGAACTCGTGCTGAATTGTTTAATTCGCAGGCCTAAATTGCTAAATTTTTTGCATACCATTTGATTTAACGGTAAACCACCAGCAAGAATATGGTAGACAACCGTTAACTTTTCTTTCTTTATTTTCTCTTGATCATTGTAATTTATAACGTACCTTCAAGTAATCCACTGGCGGAATAAGTTTCCTTTTTCCACCATACGTCCTTCCATCTGTGAGAACAACTGAAACCCGACGAACCTCGCTAGCGTTCCTCGCGCCATTGCCAATCCCAAAGAACTTGATAACTTCTATCAATGCTTGGTGGGTCAGCGTCGCACCTGAAGGGTACGACATATTCTGCAGCTTTTCCTCCAAGTTAGTATGGTTGCGAAACTGTTCATCTTTGAATGAGAAGTCTTTGTAAACGAAGTGATCATAGTGCAGGCAGGCAAATCGTACCATATGACTCACGTCGAAATGTTGTGTAAATAGCTTCAGAAATTCCCTCACCAGTTGGAAAGAACGGTCTCCAACGCTTCCAGATGCGTCTATTGCGAGTGCAATATCGATTGGGAATGAACAGTCTGAAATGAAAATCGCACCAAAGCATGCGTCGATCAGATTATATCGCAGGGAACGATACGAAGCAGGAAGGGAAGACATTATTTGCTTTAGAGCAGCTCGATAAAAGGCATTTGGTAGACTTAAATACATAGAATTCAAAAAGAGAGTCATTTGAGTAGATTTGGATACTCTCATATGTTGTATAGACTGTACGCAAAACATAGAAACTCTTTTTCGTGGAGATAAAATTTTAATCTATTCTGCGTAGCCGGCGGAATCGTTAGCGAGAACAAAGTTTGAAAAGTCATTTTGGCAAAATTGCTGCGAAGCCGGGCGGAGAGAGGGGAAGAGACCCTGCGCTGCTGTTAGACTGCTGTTGCACTGTCGCACAACAAATTCTGTTTATACTTCGTTAATAATAAATAATCCTTTTTCGAATTAAGAATTAATGCGCACCCTACATATCTCTATGACTAGTACAAAATCTTGGCATGGTCTCTTGGTATTGCCTCCGAAAAACTTTATCGAAACACCTTTAACTTTAGCATATGTACAGACCCCCCCCCCCCCACCTCAGAACATAATCGGAGAAGGGACCCCTTCTCTGATTTTTTTCTGGGAGGAGGGGGTACTTTGATTTGAAAATCGTTGTTGTCAATCGTCCCGTCGTGAGCATCACCCTAACTCCGAAGATTTCAAAACTCTTACTCTCAGAAAAAATAACTCCGTCAGTTACGCTGCATGGCTAACCTTAATTTTTTCTAGTATGTGATGTATATAATCTCCAATAAATGAACGATGAAAAGTCAAACTGATTTTCACCTTTTTCGCAGTCGACTCCATAATATCCCTGGACACATTTACAGCGGTATGTTTTATCTCCAGTCGTGTTGCATTGGCCCCCATTCTGGCATGGTTTATCAGCGCACCGATTCACTAAATTAAGAGAAGAGTCAGTATTGTAACAATAGAGTAAGTAAAATTTATTTATAGTAAGCGATGCGTATAAATCTGTCGTCATCATGTCACGAGAGTGGGAGAACGAATTGAAAAATTCTTGAGTTTCCGACAGAATTCGAGCCCATCAGCTTCCACACACCTTGTGGGCGCTCTCTCGTCCGTGCTATAAGGAGAAAGTTGTAGAGGACAAGGCTATGTTTACGCCTTGCTCCATTTTAACATTTTTCGCCTAAAGGCACTATATCTAAGACTTACGATAAAGAGACTACCACGATAAATGACTATTCTTTTACTGAGGAAGGCATCGGTAAAGGTAAGGTCAGCAAAATCCCATTTTAATATAACTCATCTGTCATAATCACCATAATAACATTACAAGCCCTCTGGGCCTCGAATACGTACCCTTCTCGCAATTTTCTCCAAAGAATCCCTTGGTACAAGAACAACTGTATTTTTTGTCTCCGGTTACTACGCAGTTTCCACCATTTTTACAAGGGGCTTTGGTGCAAGCATCCACTAAAATAAATCATTAAAATGGTAAACTCCTTCGACATGCGCCAATACAAATTCTTTGCGGGCGAAAACTGATAAGTCCGCGCAAGCAAAGCCTAAGCCTACATATAAGCATGCGTTGTTTTTCTATTTTGTTTTTCGTTTGTGTTGCTTTCGGTTAACCCAAGGACCCCTTCAGCAGGCTGTTTCTTTGATGGTCATAGTGTATATTCTTCCGTTATGAAGAAAGAGCCGTAGTTACTTTCGTTTTTACAGGGGCACCCAACGACAATTTTCGGAAAATATCTGTTCGGAAGACGATTTCAGATCTAGAATTTTCGGTACATTTTTTGCAAAATTTCTTGCTTGTCTGCCTCTCCTAGAATTTTCGAACATCTAAAAAATGGTATAACTGCCTATTTTTAACGGATTTTTTACCCTAAAAAGGTCACCTACAATTTTCGGAAGCCTTTTTTCTGGCTAAAATTTTCGAAAAGGTACGTTTTGATCCCTATAATTTTCGAATCACTAGACTTTCAGCTAGGAAATCCGAACAGATCAAAAATTTTTAGGGGATAAAAATATGTCTATATTTACCGTTTAAATACTAAAATACGTTTAACAATGCTATGTTTAAGTGGTTTTGAGCTATATTCTCGTTGGGTGCCCCTGTTTTTATACTTGGCCAGGAAAAGCATGAATGAAAACTCTTGTCCGCGAGTGAACTGAAACAAACATATATGTTGTGGCTTACTTTTATCAGCCCCTGGTTTAAATTTTATCTTCCTTCCTGTTTTCCTAGTTTGCTTGTGATCATGCTAATAAATGATTATGAAAAGTAGGTTGAGTTTGATCGTCCGGGTGAACGCAGTCCTGATCAGTCCTGAATAGGACCGTTGTTGTTGACAGTGACTGACGTTTCGACAACCTGTGCGGTTGTCATCTTCAGAGTCAAAGTGAATTGTATCACCTCAGTAAATGGTATTATACTCTGGTTATTGATCTGATTGGCCAATTACGTCGCGATGTTCACAAATAATTATGAGTTTGAAACAAAGGAAAATAAAATTTAAACAACGGATATAACTGAACCACAACATGTATATACACAAACTCTAGCCTCTTCTTTCTCAATAAATGACTTAGAAGAACCAAGGCAGCTGCCCAATTTTTTCCGTTCTTATCAGCGGTACCTTTTTCACAATTGTTCCCGAAGTACCCATTGGGGCACTGGCATCTGTAACTGTCCTTTCCCGTCACCTTACAGGTCGCTCCATTCTCACAAGTGTGGTTGGTGCATGCATCCACTTATCCAAAAGAATGCAAGAAATTATAAGCACAACTTTATGATGGCGAATTAGATTTGCTACTCAAACCGTTTAGTATTACCTCCAAAAAGGTATAGACATATGCCTGTTAAAAATAAAGGACTTTTTGTTCCGCGCGTAGCAACGTTGGGGGATTTTAGGGGAGGAAGCAGTGGAACTCTGGGTCTCGGGCCCCATCCATACTTTTTGGCCAAAGAGGCACGCGGGGCTGAGAAATAATATTTTCGAGGCCGGGCGACCATCGTTTCTCAGTGTCTGGATGAGCGGGACCCTGATCACGTACTTGAAGATCTGAATCAGTCAGTGCGGAACAGTTTCAAGGCAATGATATAGATAATATTCTGAAGTCGATCTAAAAAGGATGTATCGGACGCGCGAGGAATGGAGGATAATCAGCTCAAGGTCCATTTTACAAGATTGGAAGTTGGAATCTTATCGCTAAAAATTTGGGAACAGCTGATATTCAAACCAATCAGCAAGAGATATTATGTACTTTTAATGGACCCATAATTTTAACTTAAATTTAAACTGAGGATTTTAATTCTAACCAATGGCAATATTTTTACGCTGAGAAACAGAGCGTAAAACTGACTGGTCGAACAATGCCCCTTTTGAAGGCATCGCCTTCTCTCCTCCCTCACGCATCAAGATTCTCTTTTTTTCCTCCCCTTTTGCCCAAATGCCGTTCACGCAGGTTACGAGATCTTTGAAAAGTACAGGGAAAGAGAAAACACTCTCCAGATCAAGTGAAAATTAAAAGTAAGAGAAGATCTAATGATACCTTTTTGCCCTATTCGGTGGGACGCAGGTGGCTGAAAAATATTGAAAAATAATACAAAAGTTAACAAAGAATAGCCCACGTTCGATATATTAAAATTCTAACATGACTCCGAGACTTTAGGGTCAAAATTGCAAGTTGTCATGACTCCAATTGTCTCACAATACTCAGAAAAGAATTGAGCACAAAGAAAACCATGCAAACCAAATAAAGACCGATTGACCAGAAAGCCTCGAAGTCATGTTTAAATTTTAATATATCGAACGTGGGCTATTGAAGCTTATAAAGTGAACAGTCATATTACACCAAACATAAAATGTCAGGCAAACCTTCCTGTCAGCATGTGGTGAGTGGGGGTACACATATCGCCATGTCCCATTCAAAGTTTGTGCCAAATTCAAACTCGAGCCATTAGTTGCAAAACTTCGTGTTGAAACGCAAGTCCCAATGAATTAGAATCCCATTTTACCAGAAGGAAGGTAAATCCCTGTTTCCCGACATTCCCCGTTCACAGCCCCTTCTTTGTACCCCTTATTGACAAACCCTACGAGATTTCCCATGAGACTGGGTTGTTGATTCGCTAAGTTCTAAACGTGTGAAAAACTGGGCACGATATGCAGTCACAAAGCTTCTTGTGGTCGTCTGGAGGAACAGCACGACCTACTACAAATGCTGTGTTCCAAACAGCAAAAATAGAGTCAGAAATGCAACTTTTTTTTTACTAATACAGTCGAATTCTCAAAGACCCTGATGCGCTAAGTATGTCTCCTTCAGAGAGCAACAAGTGGCTTGCTGCTGTCCGCCATGGTTTTGCTGTCCCTAGGAAGATTTCTTTAGAGCTTTTGCGTTCATAAGTCGTACTATTTTCCGCTGATTTAGAACATGGCCAGGAAATGTTTGGGGACGTTATCACTTGCTTATTGTCTCGTGTGCTGGTGACTATTAAAGAGTTGTGCTAGAAGGCGGGGTCAAAATTCGTCCCACAAAACGGTCTTAGCAATTTTAACTGACCCAGCGCAAACCTCAAAATTGTCAATAAAGAAACAAGCAAAAGTAAACCAAACACAGACCTGCTGTAACTTATAAATGAAATTTGCCCAATTCTCCCCAGTACATGTTGTGTTCGATCCATTCTTGGCACATTTCTTGAATTGTTCATCAATGCAGCGTCGTACCGGTCTGTAGCGACGGCTCGGGATGAAGGAATGGCTACCCCAGCATTCTCCGTAAAATTGAATACCAAAAACACGATATCCTTTCCTTTCGGCCTCTTTTGCACAGTCACATATAATGCTTCAAAGATAAATGAACACGCACGAATGATAATCACTATAATAAAAGTATAACGTTGTACGTTTTTCACTGGATAGTCTGATTTTTTTAGGAAAGAGTGGAGGCAAGCGACTCAGCCGAACAATCACAGAACCTTGCCCGGTAGGTAGTAATGAAGGAGCAAGGAAAGTTGGTTAAATCTACAACCCATGAAATTTCCATGCTTTATCTAATTTCGTGCCATACTAAAATCTCCTCTAAAGAAGACCTCTGAACGGAGCAAAGTCGCCCCAACCCCACCCCCTGTTGAAAGTTGTTCCGGTGCGGCCGCAAACAACATTGGAACAGGGTAGGGGGAAAACGGCCAGTCATTCCATTGGCGAGGGCACGCATTTTTGCAAGGACGAGTGCAAAAAATCGGTATTATTTTAAAGGGAACCTCCACTTCAACAAAAAGATAACTTTAAATCACAGGAAATAACTGTTACAGTCAAGTCAATCTAAAATATTTTTAAAGAAAGCGTTTGTATCCGAAAGAAATAACTTTTAGATTCGCCTATTTTTGTTTTCAAATTTTGCGTGCGTCGCCATATTGAATAATTGTGACGTGTAATGGTTGCCCTATTGTTATTAAACAAAAGCTCTTTGTGTCAGAACAATAGAGCAACCGTAACACGTCACAATTATTCAAGATGGTGGTGCCGCGAAATTTGAAAATGAAAATAAGCGATTTTAAAATTCACTTTTCCTGATATAAACACTTTTTTAAGACAAATTTCGAACAAATTTGTTTATCAACATAATTTTATTCGATTTAAACTTATTCTGTAGTAAGAGTGGAGGTTCCCTTTAATCTATCGGCACAGATTTTGTCCTAGGTTGTCACGCGTGAGTGATTACCAGTTGAAAGGAGCTCGGCTTTTAGGCTTGGCTAGATCTATTGTGTATTACGTGTATGTCCATTTGAAATACATATCGAGTAACTAACTGATCCTAGCATAAATTACCGGTATGCTTTCTCGCCTTTTTCCAACTAGCTATATGTTTTCATCAGCATTTTAATTCTTCTTGCATTACTGACTTTTCTGTGCATGCGACTGAAGTCTCATGGCACTGATTTAAATGAAGCTCAGTTAACGAAAAGAAGAAAAACATGGATTACCCAATTACCTTGGTAGAACTTTGTCATAGTTTTGCCAAAAATTCGGTATCTTTCCCCTTTTGTTTAAGAGCAGTGTCGGAAGAGCTCTCCTCTTTGTATCTCTGTAACATCCAATTTCTCGGTAACTTGCTAAACAATTATCTTGCCCGTGTGCTGTGCGAAAAAGGAAAAAAACAAACAACACATTTCCTCAATTAGTAAATAAACTTCTACCGGCGTCTCCACATCTGACGATAATCGAGCATGAATTGTTGGGCCGACTGTTGACCGTAAACAAAAAATTAAGAAACCAAGCATGCACCAAAGGTTTGAGAACAACCCTCAAGGCAATATCTTCTGATTGACCAAGAAGATTTTGTCTTGTGAAATGTCGTCGGTGGTCTAGTCATTAACTGAAACTGTTGGGTTTACTAACGTGGCCGCTGCGGTCAATAGTTTTGTTCTTCAGTTATAATAATTTCATAGTTTTTCTTTCACTGCAAATCTCGCAAGCAACTAAAAAATGTCTCAATTAAGTTTCCCGTCATTGGCACACGAAAAGTTTGAGAATTTTGTGACAGTGGATTATGTCCCATTTTCTTTACTAAGCTGGATAGCATGTTTGCTTTTCAGTGGAAACTATTGCAGCTATAAACCAGCGTACCTAGCAAACAGACCACCGTCAAAAAGATTACATAACGCGCCAAGAAAATAAATACAACAAAAAAAAAATCAACAATAAAATAGTCCTTCCATTTCGATAAGGTTAAAAAGGTGTAAGTTGAGTATATTTCACAACACCAAATAATCGATCTCTCTTCTCAAACTGGAAGTCTGTTAGGAGTGAAATCTTTCTTACCTTCATACACCATAAACGTGACCACGAATAACAAGGTGGAGATGTAAAAAATCTTACTCATGTTTCACAGTTTTTTGTAAAAAAAATTCTACTGATTTCCAGTGGGTTTTCCGTTTATCTATGAATTGTCATATTTGTTGGCCTCAATTATTCGGTAAAATAAAGAGGTACAATTATCGAATTTTCCATTAAGTAAAAGTGGGTGTAATTGAAAATGACTAGGGACAATGCCTCCCTCTTTCCATTAAGAGAAATATAGCGGTTTCTCTCTTTAGATTATTTTCTTAGCAACCTCTGTAATTGGGCGTTACTTGTTTCACTGAAATGGCATTGTAGCGTTAGTTCTTGTTTGCGTCATATCTGGTCAAAACTTGAGAAATCAATTGAATGAACGTGATTTCATGAGAGTAAACCTTTAAAAAATGCTGAACGTTTTTTAACTTCCTCTTACTGTTTTTCAACATTTAAATGTTTTTAATTGAGGGCCAGTTTGGCGCGGAGTCGTGGTGTAAGTCCTCTTCTTTTTGGTTAATTCTTATTTCTGCACGTTGCTCATTGTGAATATAGTGTTGTAAAGGGATATATAGCACAGAATATAGCTGTACGATCAGTCAAAGCAAAAAGATTGAAACAATCTCTAACACAAAGATCTGGAGGTCTGATTGTCTTACAACCATGGCCCACGTTTGATTGCGTTCAAAACCAGCTCAGAAAAAAAAACTTTGCGTCTTTCGCGTAAAGAGGGGGTTAACTAGCAAAATTACCTGGAAATGTTTTCGTGATTCTTTCATTTAATAAAAGTGCATTTAGTCGAAAACTTTTTGATTATTTTGTTTCAGAAAGCAACGAAAACGAAAATCTGGCCTGATGGTTTTTAAACGCATTGTCATTTTAGGAATCGAATCGCTTATCATGGACATTACAAAATAATATCTTATAAATAATAAACTTAAAATGACTTTATATTTTGTCACTGAAACAACTTAGAAACGCCTTATAAAGCACTACGAAACAGAACCACGGGAGACCATCAACTTCGTTCACGATATGCAAATCTTAAAAATGTAACATTTTCGAAACTTGTCGGAAAATATCTACTCCTCAAAAAGTATTCTCTTTAAGTTGAAAGGGGTTACTGTTAAACGTCAACACGATTTGCCCAAAACAGGTTGTAAACCATGACTATTCAACTAGTATGGCGCAATAATGAACGAAGCAATCTAAATGCTTGCTGTTAATTTTTATTCCCTTAGGAACATGTCTTTGTTGGGATAGTCATCAAAAAGGGTCAGAGTACAAAGCTAAAATACGTGACGAGATAGAAGAACTCCGAATTAGATCGCAGCGAATCGATTACATGATTTGTTCCAGGATTTGTGCGTATAACTTAGTGTTTCAACCAACGCAGAGTTTTACTACCATTCAGTTTCCGTCCTTCCTCGAAGATGCACGCCAGTGCTTGTTTCTAATTAAGGTCAAAAACTGGGAGGCGTACTTACTCAAAAGAAGCTTAATCAAGGAAAGGTTGAGGGAAGGGGGTCATGAAGTGTTTCCTTCAATGACCTAGAACTTTTGTTTCAGCTTTATTTGTCTTGTGCAAAAACAAACTTATTATTAATAACGGAGAAGAAAACTATTTTCTTACAACGATTCCTGTATGGTCAGAGTCAAAAGAAATGATAGTGAACAAAGGAGAAAGCTTTCTACTTACATCCTCACTGCTTGAAGGGGCACTTATTCACTGGTCTGGCCCGAGGCGAGGGGGCTAATTCAAGGAAACGCGAGAAATAAACAAACATATGGCAGCAAAAGTGCTAACTTCATTTATTTAGAGGCTATGTATTCTCTTAGGTTTAACAACCAACGGACCTACATTGTTTTTGAAGTACCATATTTGCAATAGCTGAACGACGGATTCGGCAGCAAAAACTTCTCTTTAGTTGAAGTGTTTCTAACTTCATCGTTGTTTTACTCCGTCGTTCATTTTGTCACATGTTTGCGAATTTTTCTCTAGTTGAATTCTTAAGGACTTAATCAAAACTCAGAAAAAGAAACGGGAAGTCTTTCTCTTGAGTTTACTTCCTCCATAAAAAATAGGATGAAAAATAGGATGAAAATAGGATGTTTTAGTCGTTTATAGTAGTAACCGCAAAGAAATAAAGCGAAAACTGTGATGTACGTGCAGGAAACTGTTCGCCAATCGGCTATTTTGACGTTTTTGTTGTCGTCGACTTCTTCGTTGCTTTATACTACGCTTTGTATCGGCTTGCAAACCAACCTTAAAGCAGTTTACAACAGATATGGCAGGCGTCAACTGATCACAATCCCTTTTATTTGCATCTCATGAGCAAAGTTACAAACAAGCAAGGACCACACTCTGCAACACTGACAAGCTAAACAATTTTTTTGAACTTTTTTTTTTACATAATTCAAACCCTGTCCGTTATAATCTTCTTCAGGCTTGTCAGTCGGTTCTTTCTATTGTATTTGCTGCGTATTTAAGAGCGGTTTTCTGTAAGGACCGACTAAGGGTATGCAAGATAGGAAAATCCGATTTTCCCAAACTTTGCCAGAAAGAAGGCCTTGGTGAACTGTTTCTAAAAATATAACTTTCGGGTCGTTTGGAGTTTTACTTATTTTGTAGTAAATTTTTTAAATTTTGGCCGTTAACGCCGGCTTTAATCACGCCGAAATATGCACTTTTGCAGAAGCTCCCATTAATACCTTGAAACCTTTCTTAAAAAGATTAACCAAGCAAATCAAACTATCTTCTTTCGTCAGATTATCGGTGTCGTCAAATGCAAATAAAATGTAAACGTGAAAATTTGACAGATTTTCTAATTTTACACCTTTCAATGGTGATTACAACAACAGTATTTTGGCTAAATTCAAGGCCTAGAAAAGCACTCTGGTACATCGCTTTGACCAACAAAACTATACTACAAGGAAACATTATCATTTCAACTAAACATTAATGAAAAAAAAAATTGGGGTAAATGAGACGGCGAGTTCTGAGAGCGATT